AATACCTCAACCAGTAAAAGAGGCCATAAAGGAGTGGATAAGATGATGGAGAATTATATGCTGCTCACGTTATCTGCTGCTGCAAGAGGAGCTTTCTTCTCTTTCTGATTCTATTTCATGGGGATAAACACTGTGGTTAGTCTGCTGCCCCATTCTTATGTTCAATGAAACATGTTTAATCATGCCTGTAAATGCAGCGTCTAAAGAGCACCTATCAGCAGAAAACACACTCCTGCACTCTTTGATAGATGTGTAGCTGAGCGTGTGAGGTAGGGCAGAGGCTCGAGTTTGGGGGTCAAACATAGTTTCCCTCCGTCTCATAAAACATCCTCCTGCTGCTGAGCTCTGCAGACCCCCCTGCTATTCTTCTCAATACCCTGAAGGACGCACACATCACTTCTGTCGCCTCCTGTCTGCTGTCCAAACACTTAACTGTTTGTGACCAAACATGAAGTCCAGGAGGGCCACGGTGGAGTGGACTGGTAAAGCCGTAAAGACTGTAATGAAATCTGCTCTACTGGGTCATAAAAGAGTGACTAACCTGCAGAGTGTGCAGGGTTACAGATTCACCAAACAAAGACCATCAGGAAACAGATCCCAATATACACCAGAGCGCTCCATAGAGACCGTTAATGAGAGTGACAACAGTTTAAACTCGGGCTATAAAAACATGTTGTTTTGTTTAATCAGAGGTAACTGTATGTGAATTGTGCATTTATAATTTTATAATTTCATATTTCCATCAGGTTTTTTTAATTAAATGTAAAATAACTTTTACCAGTGAGTTTATTTAGGAAATCAAACAAATTCAGTGAAATGTACTTTATGATCTTGACTTTATTTTTCACACCATTGCTTCTGTTACACGCTACACTCGTATACCATGACTTAGAGGAAGAAAACTGACAATTCTGTCAAATTCAGGGTTAATTTTTTCCAAGGGTTGCTAATTAAAACATAAAGAAATATGTAGAAGTGAACAAAATGCCCAATTAATGTCAAAGTCCAGACACCCAGGGATTACTGGTTAATGCAACACTATCGACAGTGTCTCACAAGTTCCAGAGAACGATATTCAGTCACACATTATCTGGGACAGGAAGGATAGTCTTGGATTCAGAACATTACAGTTCCTGACTTTTCATATTGAGCCCCGGCCTTCTGACTTTTTCATGCCCCTGGTAGCCACCCTGAATAGACTAAATCACTCAAACTCTCAGTCAACAAACTCCAAACTATCCTCCTGTCATTAATGCTAAAGTCATAGAAGGTCACTGCACCAACATTTACCTGGACTGTAATAAATATTTAGCATGAACACCTCTTTATCTGCAGCCTGCTCAGTACTGTGAGTGTTTCAAACTCCAAACAGATAAACGTCTGATCGTTGTACTTCCTGTTCCAGAGCATTATTGGACCTCAAACTGCGTCTACCTGAAGATTATATTCCTCGTTCCTCCTTTCGTGGCTTTTTTCCCTCTCTAAAGGCTGATGAGTTTTTCAGTCTCCTTTTTTTAACATCCAAATGGACCCATTTTTCCTGAGTGAACCCGTCTATGTCTTCAGGGCTGATAGCAGAGGTTACTCCCGCTCTGCCTCAGTTTGTGTGGCGGCTCTTATTAAACCCCCGTACTGTTGTATCTCTCTCCATGACCTGCCAGAGATAAAAAATCTGTTTACTGTAAATTGGACCCCGCTCCCTCTCAAATACCATCTGCTGCCCAAACCACGCCGCTCTCCTCTTCTAAAAATAGAGCTCCTGATTGGCTCCTGAGGAGACGGGGGGTCCACATCAGCCCTAAACCCCTGAACGCTTGTTTATGAGTCTGTGTTTGACTCATGGCTGTTTTTCATCTGCTGGAGTCTGAGTTACACAGGAGGACTTCACCAATCTGGATCATGTCTAATGAAGCAGGTGTTTGTGATCGGGGTGGACTGGCAGGGTTAGAAAGCCAAATACTGACACGGAGATGACTGCCAAGACTTTCCACATGTTTAAAGGTACAGTTTCGTCTTAAAGGTACAAATTTGGCTGCATCCCATCAAACCAAACGCATGTTCTGCGAGTAATTTCTTAGTTAGGCCAACTTCTTTAAACCCATCTTGTGTTGGTTTTTAGTCTTTCATAAGTCTGGAGGTCTGAAGCTCTGCCAGCAGCCCCTGCAGGCTCGAATCTTCATTAACAAGTAAGAGAAGAAAAAACTGTTTCTGCTCAGAGACAGAAACAAAAGCTCATTTATAAAAACTTGGGCAGGATAATAGGAAAAGTGATGGAGTTCTCAGAGTTGGTGGTTTGCTGCTCCTCTGATGCTGTTTTTCACAAAACTTAGCTAATTGAAATTAAAGCTCCCGTGAGGAACTTTTGGTTTGTGCTGGCGCCCCCTGTGGACAAAACAGTCCAGTTTTTTCACAGGGATGAGAGGCAGACTGTTTCCTCGACAGTCAGCCTTATCGGGTACAGAAACCAGAGAAACAGCAGACTCCTGTAGAGCGGACTCTCACACGGCTTTAATTGATTTAACGTTAAGTGCCCTCTTTGAATAAATATCTCTTCTCCATCCTGACCCCGGTCTCCTTATTAAATGCAGATTCAACCATGGATGATAAAAAGCTATTTTATCTCTGGATAAGGTTAAAAGGATTGCAGAGGTACACATGGTTTAAATGGAGCTGCTTGAATATTTTAAAATGGAACATGGTCCTCGCTCCATAGATGAGGAGGTATCGTGTTAAAAATCACAGATGGGAGAAAATGTCCTCTGAAGAGCAGAACTTTTTCTAGCTCTGCAGATAAAGCAGTTTACAGAAAAAAGCCAGTAGGGGGATCTATAATAACGGTGCAGAGCCCGTATCTCAGCTCTGCACATATTTAAAGGTCACCGCTGGTTTTACAAGAGGAGGTAATGGCGTTCTTATATTTCCGTGAATTGGCTGATCTGTCACTGAAGGCTTGTTTATGAGCCGTTTGTTCCTCTGCGCGCTCCTCTCACACCACACTGCTCATTTCAGACGCCATAAAATACACAATTGCTGCGATTCATCACTGAATTAGTGAGACGCTGACACTTCCCACCATGCCGCGGTGCGTTCGCTGACCCAGGTGCAGACGCGAGCTGTTATTGTATCAGCTGATTGGCATTGAGTGTCATCACCGGCTGATTGGGCTGATAGAGGTCCAGCACAGACACAGTCCAGCTCATACTGAGGGTCTGATGATGGGCTGTTTGTATGTCAGGGGTTTGATCTCCGCTGGAACTGACATCACTCAGTGAACCTTTGTTTATATCTATCCAGCTCATATGTGGTTTAATTGTTATACAAGAAATTCATAGATTTATTTAACAACAGTGTACCTAAATCCATGCCTATATTTGTGGCATAAGTGACCCCTACTGGCTACTTCTACTTTTACACGTGAAAAGGCAGACGTTAAACGCAGTGGTAGATAAGCTGTTTCAGAGCCCTGAAAGTGTACACTTGCATCCTTCACTTGCACTGTTCACCTGCATCCTAGTCCCTTCCTCCACACCAGTGAGGCATTGAGAGGAGAGAGTGAACGAGGAAACAATACCAACCAGCTGTGAGGGAGTGAAATTTCTAACATGCCAAATATTCATCTTACTGCTCAGGAGTAGCTACAGCTGTGAGCGTCCCTCCAGTCTTTCTGTAATTAGTCATGTGACTCAGAAATTGAGAAGTGTCAGAGTGTACATCTGGGCTAAGGAGATGAGTCGAAAGCGATTGACAACAGACTTAAAGATGAGTGAATATCTGACTTAATGGATTGAATAACATAAATTTGACTAAACTATCCCGTGACTGGTGGATGTCTAAATGATTAACTTTAGTTAGTGTTGTCCGTACGTTGTTTCTGCTGCCCTCAGTGGCCAAAAACTATCAAAATAATATTTAGCTGTTGCCTGTTGTTGAAAGCTTAGAGGAGTGTTTACACTGTTTCCAGTCAAATTTGCAGCACAAGGTTAAAGAGGAAATCATCTCCCTCTCCTCATCATGATGGCTGCAGTCATGTTTCAGGTATCTGATCTGCAGCTCGTTGTCATTTCTGTGATTTTACAGTAAACTCGATGTTGTGACATTGAAGAAAAACAGCCATTTAAGCCGAGCCTGCAGCAGTGGACGGATACTGATGCTCAGCTGGCTGCCTGTGTATAATATTGAGAGAGGTCGTTCTTCTTTGCCCGGCGTTTTTACTACACTTCTATCTCTCACCTCCAGCTCTGCCGGGGGCCGATAGCACAGGGGTGCGCTGTAATTTTCCTGCGTCTTCTCATCTTTATCTTCTCGGCTGGTTTGGCTCTGTATGAGCAGAGCGTGTCCTACACACACCCCGGAGTGTAATCTCACATTGTGGAGCTGCTTCATTTAAATGAGGCCCCTCTCAGGGTCGTCACCCCTCTCTCTCCCTCTCTCTTGCTCCAACCCCCCCTCCTCCATGGAGTGAGTCAGGGATGCAACCTACACAGGCCCCTCACATGCAGAACAGAGCCAGGGGATGGACGCTCAATCTGTAAGCACACACTGCTGGCTGTGGAGCTGGAGGAGAATTAGATTCTCTTTCCAACAAAACACAGTCCAGCTTTTTTCCTCCTCTGTTTTCCAGTTTTTCACACAATTTGGCTGAGCGCTGAGTCAGGGTTAATGAAGAAAGCAGCACCTGCACACAAAAAGGCAACATCAGTGCTGAAAAAAACGGAGCTGAGTCGACTCAAAACAGCCAAAAATTTGCAGTTCCACAAGCACACACGAGGGGCTGACACTATAAGGGAGTCAGTGTCCATTTTTACCGCAGAACTTCACATGTTTACAGCAGATGACAGTAATGCAGATGATGTCTCGTTCTGAATACAGAGGCTGTTACTCAATACATGAAATGTCCTTTTACAAAGACAGAATAATGTCTGGTGGGATTGGGCCTTTATTGGCCAGTGCTGCCTGCGTATCATCAGCTTAACGTTGTTCAAGTATGCAGATTTTTGGCTGTTAATGTTAAAACAAATGCATCTAAGTTTTGTCAGTAGTGGGATTATTATACAAATAGATTTTTTTCTTTTTTTAAATCTCTAATTTGCAAGGAAGGGTCAGGACTAGATAAGCTTTTTGCTTCTTTCTGTTCCTTCTCAAACTGTTTATTGTTGACATACTGTACATAAGTTGTGTTAATTTATCTTTGACATGTACAGTTGTTTTGTGTACATATGTATTATTTTGTTCAGTGTTTTTGTTTCTAGTTGTTTTTTTTTTTTTTTGTTGTTGTTGTTCTTAAATTTTGAGATAAAGAAGAAGAAAAAAAATCACGAAGAAGAAGAAGAAGAAGTTTTGTCAGTTTTGGAGTATTTGCTGGTGGGTTGTGCCTAGAGCAAATGTAAGGTATTACATAGTCCAGCACTTAAATCTGTGCATTCCTAAATTACTGATTACATCTGTGTGAATATTTCCAGACAGCCTAACTTTGTTTTGTTTAACTTCGCTTTAATTCAATTATTTCTGTTGTGATCATCTTTAAACACTGCAATAAAATCCTGTGAAACACAAATAATTCATAAACTGTTAGGGGCCTAATATCGACCCCTGAGGAGCTCCACTCTTTATTTTTAACCTCGGCTTCATGTTGCATCTTTTCTTACTTATTCCTGCCTCACATAGTGTATCACTGAAGCTCCCCTGATACTTGTGCAGTATATCAAGTCAACTGTTAGAATCTAAGGTGTCGGATGTTTAGTCGCAAGGTCGGCAGGTTGTGCAGGTTTAGACACGCTGGAAGCTGCAGTATCAGAACGCTCTGGAGCCCTGTCAGCTGGCTGCAGGCCTCAGCTCGCGGCGGGGGGCCTCGGCTGGACGGCTGCAAACCACCACAAGGCAAATCACATCACAGCCGGTGTCTGAACTGCGCACGATAAGGCTTCATTTCCATAAGTTTATTTTCTCCCGTTGAAACGGCTGCTGAAACAAAAGGGCAGTTGATTATTTTTCCTTGATCAGTGTAGCATTCAAGGCGTCTGCTCTGACAATGAAATCCCTCACCGGGATGAAGAGGAAGGCTGACGTGAATACAAGGCAGGCACGACGCTGGATTCTGAGGTGGATCAGCCTGTCCAGCCTCCACAAAGGACCCGGGAGACGAGACGGGTGCACAAAGAGCTGAATGTGACAGTCCGTCCACTCTGCCGGCCACCGTCTCCAGAGATGACGAGCCAACCGCCAGCTTCTCCACCTCCACAAAAGCCTCCTTCAGCATTGTGCTCAATATTTGACACATTTGACACATTAGAGTCAGTTCACAGAGAAACGGCCTCTCAGGGAATAGACTCATTTGAATACGTGTGTGTGTGTGTGTGTGTGTATGTGGAGACTCTGTAGTATGTTCATGTCTGTCATGAAATCATCACTGAGACTGCTCATCTTCTTCGCTTTTAGTTGAACGATAATTATCTGAACCGAAAAAACTTGACGACAGCCGGATCTTCTTTAGCAGCAGGATATGCAATCAAATACTGAGACATCCAGCTGCACTAATACCAGACAGGTGTTTCTACTGACCACTTGATTAACTGATGATGTAAGTGCAAGATTACTGGGATAGGTCAAGAACTATTCAGGAGTGTGTGGGATGTTTTAACAGATTTTAGGATGGATTTGAGAACATCACAGAGAGCAACTTTATGGCTGTTGTGGTTATAGGAGCATATAGTGCAATTAAGCTCTATTTACAGATGCTTCACAAAACTGTACGATCCACAGGCATGCAGATCTTGGCATCGGCAGGAAAACAGTGTATGGAGAGCAAAAGCAGTAGGAACATAATTACTCATCTGTGTTAATATGAAATGTCTCTCAATAAACAGATATCAGAATGTAAGGTCAGATAAAAACCAAATTGTAGATTATCAAACATTTACTCAAAGACTCCAAAGACCATCAGGGTTTGGATTTCCTGATTTCCCTGACACAGCAGAAATGAGGGATTTGACCTCTGTTCAGCGAGAAAAACAAGATTTTTTTTCTCTCCATTTAAGGAAAGAAAATCCTGTCAGCATTAGAAGTGTTTCTGGATATTTATCCACCTCCACAACAACACCACAGGAATTACTGAGAGCCTGCTGAAGCACAACAGACCAGTAGGAAGGAGTCATATGTAATATGTGAAAACAGAGTCTATGATCAGCTTTATAACTTACTTAATTGGCACTACGATGAAGTTTTCAGCGCTCAGTTTTGAATCTGTGTTTTTGTTTAAGAAAAATCTCATCTTTATACCGGGCTGGAGGAACGTGGTGGAAATGTGTGTTTAACCTCTGAGCCTGCCTGATGTCATCAGGCTGATTGGCTGGATGAGAGGGCTCTGATTGGGGACAACTCTGGCTAACTAGCCTCTAATTTGAAGGCCTGATTGATCAGAGGGGGTGTGAACAAGGAGTGAAGGGCATGCTGTACTTTGAATGTCTTCATACAGCCACGTGTGTGTGTGTGTGTGTGTGTGTGTGTGTGTGTGTGTGTGTGTGTGTGTGTGTGTGTGTGTGTGTGTGTGTGTGGCCGGATGCTGATTCGATGTGTTCCATTATCTTCCTGTCTTTGATAAACAGGGATTAGCATTTAGCACCAAGCTGCGTCTGAATGGAGAAACAGCAGCATCTCTAAGAAGGCTGAGAAACAGAGGATTACAAGAGGCTTTCTGCTCCGTAATTTGATTTTAAAAGAGTCTTACCTTTGTTCTGTGTGCCCAGTTAGGATGTGCTGGGAGGTTGAGATTAGCAGAGAATCCAGTTTGTGACAAAGCCGATTAGCAGTTGAAACAGGGCCAGAGACGGTGTCTTGGTGAGAATCTGCATTTTGGAGTGACGGCTCTCCTGTCAGGGAAGGAAATCTTTTAACTACTCCAAATTTGAGCCAGAACATGATGCGAGCCATTTTTGTGCTTTACTGTGATTTTCTGCAGCTGTAGCATGCACACACTGCAGGCAGGTAAAGTTTCAGACAGGTGTTGAAGAGAGGCAAACAGTTATTTAATCCATTTACACACAATAAATAGATTTCATTCGAACCAGGAGGGACAGTGCTGCAGCTGAAGTTTCTGTTGTGGTCATGTACTGCCATCTGCTGGATCATACTGTCATTATGTCACAGTTAAGACGCAGCATTCAGGGAAAAACCTAACATTTGATCTTTATTATCTGATAAATACAGTAAAAAATGTAATGAGTGTTGGGACAGGGACATTTCGCCGTTGTTTAAACCCTCTACAAACAGGGACTCAGGAGACCAGATTCTGGAGTCTGAATTGAAAAGTTGTCCCATTCTTACCTGATAGAGGATTTCAGCTGCGTAACAGTTTAGGGTCTCCTCTATCTTGTTTTTGGAGCTTCTAAACCCGTAGATATATTTAGCATTAACGGAGTCTTCACAGATGAGGAAGATACCCATGACATGGACTGCGATGGTCCCCAATACAATCAGGGATGCTGGCTTTGGATTGGGAGCTGAAAACAAGTCAGGTGCCTCTTGTTTTAATAACTGAAGACGTGGTATCCATGACTTCCAAAAAGAATGTTAAATTTTTTATTTGTATGTCTACTGAACATTTTTCCACTTCAGTCCAGTCCATCTTAAACAAGCTCTGGCCCAGAGAACTCTCTGGGATTTCTGGCAGTACCTTTTTAAAGGCCAAGGACAATGTGTCCATGATTTCCAAAAAGAATGCGAAATGTATTGTCAAATCATTACAGATTTTTTAATGTGAGTTTGAGCCCATGAGGTGATTTCCACTCCAGAGTCATGTCTGTTTCTAATGCAGTGCTGCCTGAAGGCTTAAAGATCAGGACCATCCAGCCTTGGTTCCTTTTTGTACAGAGATTTCTGCAGTCTCTTTGAACACTGTTGGACTCTTTTCTCACACAGTGTCTCACTTCCTTTATTGTTAAGTTTACATCTGTCATGGTTTAGATGAACAAGTTTTAATGTTTGAGAAAAGAACTTCAATAACTCGGGGAGACTGTCTTGGTTGCAGCTGAACTACAAAGAGATTAATCAAAGTAAACATCCGTACACCTATCAATGAAATTTGTTTTATATTGAGAAGTGAGCGAGTGTCTCAAGCTGCAGAGATCTACACATCCTTTAATGCACGTTCATATTTCTATTACCATCGTGTCAGAAAGTCTGTGTTTCAAAAACATCCTCTTGTTTGGTATTTAAAAAAAATGAGAGATCTCCTCTTCCTAAATGCCACTTGCGATTAAACGCTGAAGGATGCAGCTGCAGGAAAAATAACTGATGCAGCTGAGTGCACCCTTACAAGGATGTGTTGAAGAGAATCCAGATCTCCAGTCAGTCCAGTTTGGGGAACAGATCCAAGAGTTTTGGGGCTTATAAAGACCCCAAAATGTTGTCCAGATATTTGAGATCTCATAAAGAGATATTAGAACCTTCTTAGTAGTTATTGGGATAGCAGTTACTCTGAAATGTTTTGTGAAGATTATGAGATAATCAACAGAAATTCTTTGTTTGCATTATGGTTTGAATATTCTCTCACATGTTTTTGAGCCAGCAGACAAGTACTTGGTATTTTAGGAAACTTTGAGTTCTGCACTTACATTTTAACAAGGTTCTTTTGTATTATAGCAGCGAGTCTACCATCAAGCTGCAGCCTGTTCTGCCTCACAGCAGTTCCAATGGTGACCAGTAGAGGGCAGACTTCACTCAGGTGTACACAAACACCTCGGATTCCAGTTAAACCTTTAGCCCTCTGTCTGCTGTGTTTGTCTGAATTGAGTACTATCAATCTATTAGGATGCCCTACTGCTAACAACAAATGTCCTCAGAGCTTTTCTGTTTGTTAGCAGAGACTTTATATCTGTGAGCCTAGGATGTGCGAAATTGCCAACAGATGAGAAGAGCTCTGATTTGCTAGATCTCTGATTTAATTTAGCTGTACAATGTAAAAAAAAAAAACCTTAGTTTGATAGTGAAGAGATCACTTAAACCCTATCATGAATTTAAAGAGATAGTGTAAAGACTTAAAACTGAGGATAAGTCATCCATGCTTTTAAAAGAATGTTGAATTTGGATTCATTGGTTTACAGACTGGCTTTGAACTGAAAACAAGCTGTGTCTTCACATCTACATCTTTGGAGAGGGAGACTCATCGACCACGAATTTCAGAATAAATGACAGTTTTTCTGTTTCCCCTCAGTCCATCTTAAATGGACTTAAGCCCAGAGATGGGGGAGATGCTTGATCTGATGCCCTAAAAAAAGCCTAAGATTCAAGCTTTAAATCTAGTCTCTGTGTGATTGAAAATGGTGCAAAGACAGTGTTTTAAATGTTGAAATAAGTCTGTTGTAGAGTTGGGGAAGTGGAATCCATGATTTCCAAAAAGAGTGTCTAATTTGTATTCATCAGGCCACAGCAAAAGTTTTCATGGTTCGGTTCTAACCTCATTTGTCTCTGCAGTGATGAACTGTGTTCACAGACAATGGTTTGCAGAGAGTTTTGAGCCTTTGCAGTGATTTCCACTCCAGACTCCTGTCTGTTTTTAATTCACTTGTATTTTCACAATCACTCACATTATTGCTTCTTTATATTTCCAGTATTATCAACAGTGAAGTCGTTGATCTACTGTATCTGTCAATGTTGTTTTCTCTCATTTCTTACTCATCATCTCCCTGCTACTATTCCAGTCTTAGCCCTTAAATCTGCATGAAGTCCTCGTATGTTTGATCCAATAATCCTGATTCTGATTGGACCAGTATATCAGCTGCAGGAGAAATGAACCTGAAAGATATACACACACTACAGAGTGGACAAAACAACCAACAGTTTTTTTTATTGCCATTGTGCATGAACTTTGACACTGCAGGTTACACAGGGAGTATCATGTGGTGAGTCGATGAACACTCAGACCTGCATGTGATGTGCTCTGCTCGCTCTCAGTGCTGGTTTTGGATCGGTTGATGGCTTTAGCAACAAACTACTTGCTGATCCAGCCGCCATGCTCAAAACCAAAGTAATGCAGGATGAGACGCTTGTGTCAAAGAACGGACAACATCCGGGAGGACAACACCTTTTTTTATCCTATTATTGCACACATCTAGTTTACCAATGCCAAGTATATGTGGGACATTGGGAAAGCCATAGCTCTTGGTAAGGTGCTGAAATGTCTCAAGAAACCACAACATTGCATTGAGCCTCTTTAAAAGCCACATATATACAAAATATGAATGAGCGTCAATGCAGGGAGTCCACAAGCACACCAGATACCAAAATAAACGTGGTTATATTTCACTCTTGCAAATGAAAGCTGTGGATCATTTACACCTGGGCAGGGTGATGCTCATTAACAGCCTAGAGGATGGTGTTGGGCACAAAGTATATGAGATGTTCGGGAGCGTTGGGGTGTCTATGACACTGAGTAATAACAGACAGACAGAGATGGAGGCAGGCCAGTGTGGTCCTTTAATCTGTGCATCAAACACGTGAAGGCGCCGCCGCCAAACCGCTCTCTGCTGCAGCAAGCCTCAAATCAAAAGGCTCAGAGATATTTTAGGAATGAAGCATTGGGAGTCTATTTATGTCTGGGATGCTGAAATTTCATGGAATGCATTTAATGGAAAAGTGACTATTTGGATTATCACAACAGTCAAAGCTTGGACGTGCAGGCTGGAGTCTGAAGTTGTACAAACACTCATCCTGATTGGCTAGTTCTTTTTTAACTCGTATCAAACCTTGGTGCTTTTGAGTCACTTCATGCAAGCTTTTCATGTGAAATGTTAAGAACAAAATGCAAGGTTTATTTAGATAATGTCCATGCATTTGAGACTGATTTCTTCAAAGTTTACCTGCAGAGATTGCAAATGTAAAGAAGGTGGTGTTTACTTCATGTTGTAGTTTAAGCCTTAACGGTTTAATTATCAACAATTCAACTAAATAAAGATCATTTAAAAATATTTTCAAAAAATCACATCATGCCAAAGTTAACACTGAAACGTGTACTTGTTCTAATGGTTGGGACACTTGCTCAAGTTTGTAAAACAGAATATGATGGTTTGCGCATTGTTTATACAGTATGTATGTATGTATGTATTCCAGGAGCAACAAAAAAGGTAAAAAGTTGTGTAATGTTAAAAAAACAGCTGGAGGAACATCTCCAACTAATGAGGATCACATCGAACAGATTAGAAACATGACTGTGTATAAATACGACATTCAGAGAGGCTGAGTCTCTCAGAAGGACAGATGGGCAGAGGTTTCACCACTCTGTGAGAGACTGTGTGAGCTAATAGTTCAACAATTTCGGAATAATGTCCCTGAGCGTCAAAATTAAGACCAGATGGTCCTGATCCTCAGGACAAAGGTAGGGCTCTGTAGTTAAAGACACCACATGGGCTCAAAATCACCTTGTCATAATTTGGTACCGCACAAACAAATTTGTGTTAAAACTGAACTAAGCAAAGAGGAAACCAACTACTCTCTTTGAAATTCCTGGATGATGCATCTTCCATTCTAAAATAATTTTTTTTCAGCTGTTGATGCGCCATCTTTGCAGTATTTTCTCAAAACAAAGGCTCTAAATGATTTGCAAACCATCACATTGTGTTTTTATTTAGACTGTACACAGTATCCACACTTGTGAGGGGTTAGGGTTGTAAATTAAAGTGATTTAAAGCTAGAATCTTAGATTTTTAAGGGCATCTTTCTAATAAGTGCAGTCTGGTTTTGCCTGAGGTCTCTGCGTGTCAGAGGAAGTTTATTTTATTGCCACTGTAACTTAGTATATCCTGTAAAGTCTTTTGGATCCTACAGGGTCTGATCTTCTTAGATGAACTTGTTATCTTGTCCCATCTTACTGTTGGGGTTTTGTGACTAAAACAGAGTGTAGTCTAGACCAGCTTCTTTTTAAAGCATCTTGTGATTGATAGAAAACAAAAACTGAAGTCCACTCTCACTTAAGCTGTATTTTCCATTCGGTCAGTATGCTTTTTTAGTCCTTTTTTCCCCAGGCACTATTTTCCTCATAGTTTGGAGAACAGATGACTGAAACAGGAAAAACTTTGGAATCAATTCAAATAATTCAGCTGGTAGCTACAGATATATATGAATGTAATTGATTTTATAAAAAGGGCCTTTAGGCTGTAGATATGATTTTGTATTCAGACATGTCCTATCTAAAATTTATAAGGAAACAAAAATCAAACTAAGACTTTCTATTACCTTCAATTTTCAGAATTATTCGTAAGACTTTCAGTGATTTGAGGAAACCCACAAACTTTTGTTCCTTGAAGTCATTTCAACCCGTAAAATGTGAAAATGAAGCATTGGTACGGCGCCCTTCTTCAGTTTCACGATGACAGTGCGTCTTTGGCTTAGAAAACCGAGGTTTAGTTTTTGATTGGATCATTTCTAGCTCAGTAAAGTGTTTGTACATCATCTGCTCCAGCCTGCACCCGCACAGAACCGAACGCTTCAGTCTGATTGTTTCTTCACGTTACGCTTCTGCAGACTCGCCAGCTCCTGGTCAACTACCACACATGTTGTCTTCAGGTTTCAAAACCCAACAAACACTGCAAAGTCAGCATGCTCCCAACAACACACACGCTCACACACTGTCAGTGCCGTCAGTCACAGTGTGCGTGGTCCGTCTTGAATCCCACCGTGAACCCTTCAGCCTCTGCAGCCTCACTCTCAGCCTGCTCAGAAAGGAATGATTCGTTTAGGAATGAGAGAAAAGGAAATCTGGTCTGCTTCGTCGAGCTGCAGATCTTCGTATGGACATTCATTCCAAATTACCTGAGTACACACTCTGATTGTGAAATACCTGAAGCGAGGCCAGATGCAGACTCTGTGCAACCAATTAGTGGCCATTTTCTCTGATTTCTTTGCCCAATTCTTCTCTCTGTCGAGGTTTTAACAATGAGACCTGGATCGTGTAAACAGAATCCTGAATAGTACAGCTGTTCCTCCTGATCGCTACGTCACACAGCAATACACGATTTTGGATTTTCTTCTTTTAAAACAAGCATGTTCTTTCTTTCTTTTCATAGAGTTATATTTATATATATATATGTGTGTGTATATATACGTTTAGAGAGCTTATTCATACTGTGAATGTTGAACTTAACACAATAACACATAATTTAATCAGAAATATACTACCAGTTTAAAATGCATGCCCCTCCCCCCATCCTTAGTGCTCCGTTCTTCCCTCGGATGCCTGCACGTAACCATCAGGTCCTCCCCTGCCAACAACAGAACGCAGGACAAACATTGAGGTGGCGAGTCTTTGTGGTGGCGGTGGTGGTTTTTGGGACATAGTTGCTACGTCATGCAGAGATAGAGGGGGGTGGAGGGGGTCAGCACAGAGAGACAGAGGCCCCCCCTCCGGCGTAGCAGAGGGAGGTGTTGGTGGGACAGTCAGTGGTGATGCTCGGTGGAAACCTGGAGCCAGAGACCAGCTCTGCTCAGGTCTAGCTGATGGCTGGGCTGTCTGTGGGGGGGTCTGAGGTCTCTGAGGGCGAGCCAGGCTCCTCGGGGGGGTCGTCTGTGCTGGTGCTCGTGGAGACCTGAGTGGGGCCGCCGTAGAGTGACGTGGCCCCCTGCGGCTCCGTGTCGTCTTCGCCCTCCTCGGGCTGTGAGGCCGGGTTGAGGTGCAGGGAGCCGGGGAGTTTGACGGGGCAGAACGCCGAGCCCGTCGGGATGAAGTTGACCTTGTTTTTGTCGGGGCAGGAGAAGAGCGGGACCGAAGCCGACGCTGATTGTCTGGAGCTGCAGGAAAAAAAAAACAAACTGAGTCAGAGGAGGTGGAGAGGAGTTCAACTCAGAAGACTGAGGGGCATTTCTGCACACCAACAACCTGACTGTCAGAGCACTTCTCCCCATCACTCACTGTTATGAGTTAGAGAAGTCTGTCCTACATGCCACTACACACCTGTTCCAAATGAGGAACTTCAGCTCTCCTGTTTTTTTCTTTCGAGGAAGTTTTGAAAGAATCTGCAGTAAACTGTGCTGGGATCTGTAAACTGTGCTTTCTTCACCTTATTGTTGTCATTATCTGTGCAAGTTTGATCACGTCCATGAAAATGAAAATATTTGAACTGTTTACATTTAAATGAGAGAGCGGACCTTCTGACATTTTCTCATTCCAAAACCTGGACCTTGTTTCCCTGATTTAATACCCTGTGAAGGACTTAAACAGACAGGTCCTGTATTGGAATCAAAACCAGGTGCTCCAGGGCTCAGTCAGATTTATAGAGATGGATTGAACATGGGAATCAGACAGTCTTTACCTCTGCTCGTCAAAAGCTTTAATCTTCTCACAGCCCTCCGGCGGCTCTCGCTTGAACATGTAGCTGTTGTTTGGTTTGGGCGAGGAGGCGAACTTGGGCAGAGGTGAACTGCTTCCACTGTCTGAAAACATAGAAGAGAGAAACAGGCAGAAAAATCAGCATCAGCATGGAAGCACTGAAGAGCGTTCAGCTAAGTTTTGAACTCCTACGAATAATACACCCTGATTGTATTTCCTAAATGCTTTTCAAAGCAAAAGCCTGAGCTGTTTTTTCCCTGTAAGAAGACCCCATGCTTTTATTCTGAAGTTGTGCCCAGGACAGTTATCCTGCTAAAGAAGTCTCTTGCACAGCTCCTTTTTTCTGCACGTTTGCATTGCACCAGACACCATAGTTTGTTTTTGTTTTTTTTTCTCAGCTCCAATCTGACCTCAAGCCAGCAGATCTAAGCTCTTAGTTATGACATAACATCACACACAAAAGATATTTCCTCTTCTACAATCTTCCTCTCCCTTTGCAGCATGTCTGAGCCCCTCTCTCTGCTCAGCTGGAGTCCCTGTTTTCAAACCCCTGACAGCTTCCAAAAGCATTCCCTGATATGAACATACTTAATAGGATCACGATGCATTTATGTGCATACGGCGTCATGGAAATGCAGCATAACATCTAGTTTACCTTTATCCGGGTCATACAAGAGGTCCTCTGTGGAGTAAGGACTGCCGTCATGTGATCCTGGTGGGCAGGCGGGCGAGGGGCAGGGCGACAGGCTGGAGCAGCTGCTGGACCGGCCGGGGGCTGAGGGGGTCTGGGTGTCCACGCTGCGGGTGCTGCTGCTGCGCTGCTGAGGAGGGAAGGGTGCTCTCCGCCCGTCAGGGACCTCCAGAGACTGAAGAGACAGGGACAATACTGATGAGAGCTGAAGGAAAACAGACTCACAGGTCCGAGCTGAATGAAACACCTCCCTACCTTCAGCTCCTCCTTCTCTCCGTTGTCTTTGATGAAGACCTTCTCCAGCTCATGGTTGATGCCCTCCATGCTGCTGGGCACCCTGGAGATGGAGGGCTTTGGCACCGTGATGTTGGAGAGCGGCATCTGAGCCGACTTCGACATGGAAACCTGCTGCAGAAGGACCAGATCACTGAAGTTACTACAACATAGAACATTTCACATGAAAGCTTTTTAATAACAAGAGATGATGAAGAAGAATGTGAGAAGTTTGCCTCAGAAAAGTCCCATTCTCATGTTTTTTGACTAAAACTGCCAGATTGTCTCCTTGTGCTCAGAGAGTTTGATAGCTGACAGCTGATAGTCGACACTAAACTTCAACTGTTCATACGAGGGTCTCACTTTTGCACAAGATTGAAAAAAGACCATTAAAGGCACCATGAGAAATTGTCTTGCAACACAACAAAGAGTTAGTGTTTTTCTAGGACAGAAACTTCATTTCCCATAGCAGGGCTCCACAGTAGTACTGGTCAGATGGACTGGCTGCATGATTGACAGACTGGGCCAACAGTTTGAAGGTTTCACTGGCCCTCTCACCTGCTGTGCTGCACTTGATTTGCCCTAAATGAAGCACATTTCCCTCCCTGCCTTCACAGCATTGACTGAAACTTCATTATTATAAGCTCAGTCGGCTGCAAACTATCAGGCAACCACAAGAGGAAAGCAGGGAGAGCAGGAGGAGGAAGAGGAGGAGAAGAGAAGAGAGAGGAGAGAGGAGAGCAGGAGGAGAGGGAGGTGCGTGAGTCTGAAAAGCTATGTGACAGAATCAGCAATGTGAGCACAGCACATCTGGAGCTGCATCCTTAATAACCGTTTTTGATGAATCCACATTTTAAATCTCTAAAATGAACAAACGTCCCCACTATCTTTAGCTTCAGGGACCTTGTTACAGGTTGTTGTTAAAGACCAATCAGTACCTGGATGTGGCTAGCTATGGAGGTATGGTTGGAGGTGCTTGTTATGGCGGTGTAGGTGATGGGGGTGTACTGGAGGGGGGACAGTCGGTCCTTGTCTCTGCTGTGGCGTCCTCCTTTACTCCGCTGGAGCTGATGTCGGAGCTTCACAATCTGGAACCAGGAGAGAGGAACACAGGAGAAATGAGACAACTAAAAAGAGTAACCAGCAGAGTGGAGCTGAAGTTTCTGCTTGTTCCTACATGCAGCCTGCAGAAATGTCAGTTATGGTGGTTTTTGCTGTGGGCAGTGTGGGTGACCGCCAGGGGTGTAACCTATGTGAGGGTGCACCAGGGCATAAGCTTAGTCGGGACTGGCTCTGAGTTAATTCCCTGTAATCTGAGTTTGTCGTGGCCAGAATCAGGCTTTGACAGTTCTACAGAGGTTTGTTTGTGTTTTTGTCAGAACTTCTTTGAAACATTCTGAGAGAATCCGGATGTCTCTGGATCTGTCAAAGTCCCTCCAAATCCTCTAAATAAGCGAAACGAGAGCAGCGTGTTCAGGGTGAGGATCTTTAAGACTGTAGCCAAAAGAATGACCAAGTTCCTGCTACAGAACAACTACATCGACACAAGCTGCCAGAAAGCTGGTGTCCCAGGGTTCTCAGGTTGCTCAGAACACGCAACGATAATCTGGGACCAGATCCAGTTTGCCAAGAGAGAAAAGAAGGACCTCCATGTCGTATGGTTGGACTTGGAAAACGCTTATGGTTCTGTCCCACATAAGCTGATTAGTTTTGCCTTGGACTTTTTTCATGTGCCTGTAGGGGTCAAGAACATCATCGAGAGCTATTATGCGGACGTGAAGATCTGCCATTCCCTGCAGAGCTATACAACTGACTGGCAGCAACTGGGAAGAGGAATAGCGATGGGGTGCTCAATCTCACCCATCCTCTTCACAGCCGCTTTTGAGGTCATCCTGATCGGAGCGAGGACCATGGTCAGAGGAGTGCGCAATAGCGCAGGCCTACGATTGCCACCACTTCGCTGCTTCATGGATGATGTTACAAGCCTACTGCAGACCGCTGTGTGTACAGCACGGCTCCTCAAAAGGTTTGAAGAGTTGCTGTCTTGGGCCAGGATGAGGATAAAATCCAAGAAGTCTCGCAGCCTCTCAATCCGCAAGGGTAGACAAATGGACTCAGTCTCTTTTCTAGTGGCAGGAGAGAGAATTCCCGTACTTGCAGAACAACCACTCAGAAGCCTTGGCAGAGAATATACAGCGGATCTCTCAGACAAGCACATGGCAGCTGCAGTCACAGACCAACTGAAAGAGGGGTTAAAAAGGATTGACCAGAGCTACCTTCCTGGCAAGTTCAAAGTCTGGTGTTATCAATTCACACTATACCAGCGGGTGATGTGGCCCCTAAAGATGTGTGAGATAACGGCAACAACAGTCACGAAGCTGGATGCCAAGGCCAACAACTACATCAGAAAATGGCTTGGGCTCCCAAGATGCCTCTCCGATGCAGCGCTGTTTGGAAGAAATGCACTGCAGCTACCAGTGAAGAACATCTCAACTGGGTATAGGCTGGAGAAGTCAAGGCTGGTGCTGGAACTCCGACAGTCAAGTGACCATCTGGTCAGAAATGCTGGGGCTAAGATCCGGACAGGCCGAGCATGGAAGGCAGAGGAGTGTGTGGACGATGCAATCTCCAGATTGAAACATCAAGAGCTTGTCGGAAGAACACAGCAAGGAAGGCGTGGCCTGGGCTGGGGAGAGCCACAAAAGATGTGGTCAAAGGCATCCTTGAAAGAAAGGAAACAGCTAGTGGTCACAGAGGTGACAAGGATGGAGGAAGACAGGTTCTTTGCCAAGTCTATTGGCCAATGCCAGCAAGGTCAGTGGACAAAGTGGGAGGGCTTCCTACCAAGGTCAGTAAAATGGAACGACCTGTGGAAGATGCCTCAGGCAAGACTGAGCTTTCTAATCAGAGCCACATATGACACTCTTCCTAGCCCAACGAACCTGGCACAGTGGTATGGATCTGAGGACAACTGTAGCCTCTGCGAAACAGGCAAGGGAAATCTTCGCCACATCTTGTGCGGCTGTCCAACAGCCTTGGCCCAGGGCCGATACACATGGCGTCATGACCAGGTGCTAAGAAAGTTGGCGGAGCACACAGAGAACATGAGAGTCCTGGCCAATGAGAAGACAACATCCCAACAAAGGCAGCAGGTCCAGTTTGTAACAGCGGGACAAGCCAAGAAAAACTGCCCTAAAGCAGACAGAGCAGCGGTCCTGACTCCAGGCAAAGACTGGTCAATGAGAGCTGACCTTGACAAGCAGCTACGCTTCCCTTTCGACATCACCACCACCACACTGAGACCCGACATCGTCCTGTGGTCCTCAACTGAGAAGCGAGTCCTGTTAGTCGAGTTGACGGTCCCTTGGGAGCAGAACATCCAGGAAGCGTATGAGAGGAAAATGGCCCGTTATGCAGAGTTGGTGGCAGAATGTGAAGAGAAAGGCTGGAGAGCATCAACCTATCCAGTTGAAGTTGGCTGCCGCGGCTATGCTGGCCTCTCAACAAACCGCTTCCTGAGGGACATCGGCTTCACAGCAGCAAAGGCCAGGAAGGTCCTACAGGATCTCTCAGAGGAAGCAGAAAAGGGAAGTTTCTGGCTCTGGCTGAGAAGAAAAGACAGGAGTTGGGGGAATCGAGATGCCACACAGTAAGCCTGAGTGCCGAAGTCCAGCTGCAGGGAGTGGCGGGGAGACGTCCCTGACCGCTGCCCCACCATCCTGAGATGTTCTGGTGATCAAAGGGGCGAAACATCAGTGAAGGATGGCTCCTAGCTGATGACCCTGCAGCTGGTACTTCTGTACTGGCTGAAGTGGGCCCGATGGAAGCGGCCCATGAGGTTTCAACCTTCGCTTCCCAACCATCAGGTATGCGGTCAGGTGCAAGCCTGGCTCAGGGAGGAGGACGCCCCTGCCATGCAGAGTCTAGGGTCACTACCTGGAGAGGGGCGAGGCCAGGATGGCTCTCAGCCGCAACCCTGCAGTTGGAGTCTAGGCACCGTCGGAGGTGCGTCAGGCAGAAATGCCCTGCAGGTACCAACACCTATCTGTCACATAAATCTGCTTTCTGGGAAACCAGTGACTACTGAGAATAGATCAGTTGGAGTCCAGGGAAGACTGGAGGACTGTCAGGAAAGTCTGACTGGCAGCGGGGAAGACTGCAACTGGGGTGGGCGGGCTAGTTACCCTTCCCACAGGCCAACCTAGGCCAACTCAAGCAAACTACAAGCAAAGAAAAGAAAAGACAACCCAGTGGTCCTCCGAGAGGTGGGATGAAAGAAGGACCAGTACGGACAGACGCAACGGCAACGAACGGAACGGACACGACAAAGGAAAAGATTCTCAGGACGTGCACGTGTGGATGGATGAAGGAAACAACCTTCAAGGGATTGAGAATTCACCAAGGGATCAAAAAGTGTCGCAGGGATGACCGAGTGCAACCTTGCACTGCCCAGGCAGATGAGACAAGAAGGGAACAAAGCCAGGTTGAGCACCACAGCGCTAACGAGCCCACTGTTGCAGATGGTCAAGTGCCATCAGAACCCCCTGACACAAACCCACTGGTGAACCCTCAACCGGAAGAAATGATCCCAACAACCGAGGACAGAAGGAAGGAGAAAGAACCTGGCAGAAAAAACAACATCTTGTGGCCAAAGGCAAAAGACTCTGACATCTGGAGCAAGTTGGACGATGACCTGGCAACCACTCTTAAGAACGTCCTCAAAGGCAAAGTGGAAAACAAAGTCAACATCTTCAGTGAGATAATCTACGATGAATGCCTTGGCAGGTTTGGCCAAAAGGAGAAGAAAAAGAAACACCTGCCCAAAGCCATGAGTAGAAGAGAAAAGGAAATCCTCCAGCTCGTGAAAGAACGAAGAGCACTACGCAAGGCTTGGAGAAAGGCTGAGGCAAATGAGAAGGAAGGCCTCCAGGCGTTATGGGATGAAGTGAAATGCCACCTATCATCACTCAGGAGGGCCGAGCGCATTCGAAAGAGGAGGAAGAGGAAAGAGAGTCAGCGCGCAAGATTCCTAAAGGACCCCTTTAAAATGGCCAGAAGCCTGCTGGAGGAGAAAAGGAGTGGTACCCTGGTCATGGCAAAGGAAGACCTCGAGGAGCACATAAAGAGGCAGATGTCCGATGCAGGACGGCATCTCCCTCTTGGATCCCCTGGCCATGTTCCCCAACCAACTGCTCCAACCACAGAGTTTGAGCTAGTACCACCCAAGCTGAGTGAAGTGAGAGATGCAGTAAGAAGAGCAAGGTCGAGCTCCGCCCCCGGACCAAATGGAATTCCATACAAGCTCTACAAAAGATGCCCTCAAGTCCTGGAAGAGCTATGGAAATTGATGAGGCTGATTTGGAAACAACAGAGCGTCCCCGCTGAGTGGCGTAGAGCTGTGGCCATCCTGATTCCAAAAGATCAGGTTTCTTCCACCATCGGCCAATTCCGAAGCATTGCTCTATTCAACGTAGAAGGAAAGATTTTCTTTACTTTCATTGCCAAAAGAATGACCAAGTTCCTGCTACAGAACAACTACATCGACACAAGCTGCCAGAAAGCTGGTGTCCCAGGGTTCTCAGGTTGCTCAGAACACGCAACGATAATCTGGGACCAGATCCAGTTTGCCAAGAGAGAAAAGAAGGACCTCCATGTCGTATGGTTGGACTTGGAAAACGCTTATGGTTCTGTCCCACATAAGCTGATTAGTTTTGCCTTGGACTTTTTTCATGTGCCTGTAGGGGTCAAGAACATCATCGAGAGCTATTATGCGGACGTGAAGATCTGCCATTCCCTGCAGAGCTATACAACTGACTGGCAGCAACTGGGAAGAGGAATAGCGATGGGGTGCTCAATCTCACCCATCCTCTTCACAGCCGCTTTTGAGGTCATCCTGATCGGAGCGAGGACCATGGTCAGAGGAGTGCGCAATAGCGCAGGCCTACGATTGCCACCACTTCGCTGCTTCATGGATGATGTTACAAGCCTACTGCAGACCGCTGTGTGTACAGCACGGCTCCTCAAAAGGTTTGAAGAGTTGCTGTCTTGGGCCAGGATGAGGATAAAATCCAAGAAGTCTCGCAGCCTCTCAATCCGCAAGGGTAGACAAATGGACTCAGTCTCTTTTCTAGTGGCAGGAGAGAGAATTCCCGTACTTGCAGAACAACCACTCAGAAGCCTTGGCAGAGAATATACAGCGGATCTCACAGACAAGCACATGGCAGCTGCAGTCACAGACCAACTGAAAGAGGGGTTAAAAAGGATTGACCAGAGCTACCTTCCTGGCAAGTTCAAAGTCTGGTGTTATCAATTCACACTATACCAGCGGGTGATGTGGCCCCTAAAGATGTGTGAGATAACGGCAACAACAGTCACGAAGCTGGATGCCAAGGCCAACAACTACATCAGAAAATGGCTTGGGCTCCCAAGATGCCTCTCCGATGCAGCGCTGTTTGGAAGAAATGCACTGCAGCTACCAGTGAAGAACATCTCAACTGGGTATAGGCTGGAGAAGTCAAGGCTGGTGCTGGAACTCCGACAGTCAAGTGACCATCTGGTCAGAAATGCTGGGGCTAAGATCCGGACAGGCCGAGCATGGAAGGCAGAGGAGTGTGTGGACGATGCAATCTCCAGATTGAAACATCAAGAGCTTGTCGGAAGAACACAGCAAGGAAGGCGTGGCCTGGGCTGGGGAGAGCCACAAAAGATGTGGTCAAAGGCATCCTTGAAAGAAAGGAAACAGCTAGTGGTCACAGAGGTGACAAGGATGGAGGAAGACAGGTTCTTTGCCAAGTCTATTGGCCAATGCCAGCAAGGTCAGTGGACAAAGTGGGAGGGCTTCCTACCAAGGTCAGTAAAATGGAACGACCTGTGGAAGATGCCTCAGGCAAGACTGAGCTTTCTAATCAGAGCCACATATGACACTCTTCCTAGCCCAACGAACCTGGCACAGTGGTATGGATCTGAGGACAACTGTAGCCTCTGCGAAACAGGCAAGGGAAATCTTCGCCACATCTTGTGCGGCTGTCCAACAGCCTTGGCCCAGGGCCGATACACATGGCGTCATGACCAGGTGCTAAGAAAGTTGGCGGAGCACACAGAGAACATGAGAGTCCTGGCCAATGAGAAGACAACATCCCAACAAAGGCAGCAGGTCCAGTTTGTAACAGCGGGACAAGCCAAGAAAAACTGCCCTAAAGCAGACAGAGCAGCGGTCCTGACTCCAGGCAAAGACTGGTCAATGAGAGCTGACCTTGACAAGCAGCTACGCTTCCCTTTCGACATCACCACCACCACACTGAGACCCGACATCGTCCTGTGGTCCTCAACTGAGAAGCGAGTCCTGTTAGTCGAGTTGACGGTCCCTTGGGAGCAGAACATCCAGGAAGCGTATGAGAGGAAAATGGCCCGTTATGCAGAGTTGGTGGCAGAATGTGAAGAGAAAGGCTGGAGAGCATCAACCTATCCAGTTGAAGTTGGCTGCCGCGGCTATGCTGGCCTCTCAACAAACCGCTTCCTGAGGGACATCGGCTTCACAGCAGCAAAGGCCAGGAAGGTCCTACAGGATCTCTCAGAGGAAGCAGAAAAGGGAAGTTTCTGGCTCTGGCTGAGAAGAAAAGACAGGAGTTGGGGGAATCGAGATGCCACACAGTAAGCCTGAGTGCCGAAGTCCAGCTGCAGGGAGTGGCGGGGAGACGTCCCTGACCGCTGCCCCACCATCCTGAGATGTTCTGGTGATCAAAGGGGCGAAACATCAGTGAAGGATGGCTCCTAGCTGATGACCCTGCAGCTGGTACTTCTGTACTGGCTGAAGTGGACCCGATGGAAGCGGCCCATGAGGTTTCAACCTTCGCTTCCCAACCATCAGGTATGGGGTCAGGTGCAAGCCTGGCTCAGGGAGGAGGACGCCCCTGCCATGCAGAGTCTAGGGTCACTACCTGGAGAGGGGCGAGGCCAGGATGGCTCTCAGCCGCAACCCTGCAGTTGGAGTCTAGGCACCGTCGGAGGTGCGTCAGGCAGAAATGCCCTGCAGGTACCAACACCTATCTGTCACATAAATCTGTAGGTTTGATTTCCCAGTCCTCCCACAATCACCAGTGCTCCAGAACATGTACGTACATGTCCCCTCACACAGTCCTCCTCACACTGTCTCTCCTCACAACACATGCAGTGCTTATCAATGTGGCCTCTGTGTCAAACAGCTGTTATGTGATCCCCAGATTAGAGCCTCTGAACCAGTTACACCGAGGAGTCCTTCTAGTTTTTGTTTCCCTCTCAGTCTTCACCCCGATCTGGAGCCTTTCATGTTTTTCTCAACAGTGTGCCGACTCTAAATGTCACATGCTAACAGAACTCTGATATTAAAATGTCACATTAACATGCAAAAACTCAACTAAGCTGACTTCTTTCTAACTCTAAAGCTCATTTTTAAAGGCTGCATGTCAGAAAGATGCAACTCCTGCAAAAGACTGAGTCAGAACTTTGCAAATATCTTGACCCCATTTGATTCAATTTCATTTTTTGAATATATTTCAAATATATTTTTGCTTGGAGTTCAGAGAGCTCTCCACCTCCTCGTCCAGTTCCTCTTTGGAGTCCCTGCTGTGCAGCGACTCTGTTAACTTGGGCGAGAGGGTGAGAGTAAAAGTGGTGCATCACTGTGCAGCAGGGGTTTCCCCTGTTCATTTCAGCTGAGTCACCAGTGTTCACTTAAGCAAAAAGCACTTTGTATGTTGATACTGACTAATACTTCGATGCACTTTTGCTTCATTTTTCTGTTCTCTTGAAACAGATTGAATGATTGGTGTTGATTTTTCTTGTAAGACATAAATGTTTACACTTTGACATTAAATTAAAGTTCTCTTTTTAAACAAAAATAACGCTGAGTTCATATTTCTTTACAAGTTTGTCATCACTTGATGTCCCTTTAAAAAATCATGGAGCCCAGCTTTGCTCAAATGCTCATTTCTGTACGTCGCAGTTTCTAACAGCAGCTGCTCAGCTCAGTCTGCATCTTCCTTCTTGCCTCCTTGTATCTTATCTCCTGACATCTGTGGATTCTGTGTCAGCGGCACTCCTCCTCTGCGGCCCTGTAACTTAGTAACGTGCCTGTGCACACATTACCGAGGGCTGAACCGTCATCCAGCCGGCCCTCATTGTTCTCTGCTGCAGCAGGCAGAGAGGAGCCAGCTGGGGCTTGGCTGACCATAAATTGCGTCGGGTTATGGTCGTTTCAAAGAGGGGAAGTGAGTAGTTAAGAAGGAGATAGCGTTATCTGCCGCCTCCCTGCTGCTGCATGATGGAGCTGAGAGGGGCTGATAGTGCCATGCTGGGTGCAGCTTCACAGGAAGTGTGTGTCACTGCTGCTGCACCCCATCAGCACCACAAAGACACTGTACCAAGTCACACAGGAGGTAATACCGCTTGAGGAAAACGCCATAACACTTAGAGAGTTCCTGTGGTGCTGCTCTCTCAACATTTCTGTCCTCATAAGTCTGACTGTCAAATAAAACCTGCAGATTTTCAGATATTTTTGATCAGTTTCTATCTAAATGTCACTGAGAGATGACAACATTCAGTCTCACCAGTAAAAAATTAAAGTTTCAAATGTTTATGACAGAATCTAACCAGCTGTTTATGTAAGTAAATGTTCTTATAGTTTTTGAAAAAGAAGAGCGTTACGGTTAGGGTTAGGATTATTAAAGTCAGAGTCATGCCTCTTTGAGATGGTCGGCACTGCCCCAGGACGCAGAGCGCTGGTGGGTGCTCCTCTTATCTGCTGCTTTGTCACTCCAACATCCAGGAGTCTGAAAAAGAAAAAAAAAAAAAAACATCATGAATGCATAAAAATTTGGAGAATGTGAACTTGAATTGGACATTTTCACACTAAAACTAAAATGTGATCTGTGTTGTACAGTCCCAATCCTACAAAAAAAATGAATTGGTATATTCAATTTTGAAACTCAAAGATTTTATCGTCATATGAAACTCATCGACTCATTTTAGATTTGATGCATGCAACATGTTCCAAAAAAGCTGAAGCTAAAACAACTAAACAGGTAGAGCTCTTAGAGGAAAAACCAATGAGGTCAAAAGGTGAAATGCTAAAAAAAACAGCAGGAGGAACATCTCCAACTAATGAGGTGAACTTCCAACAGGTGAGTAACATGACTGGGTATAAAAAGAACATTCAGAGAGGCTGAGTCTCTCAGGAGGAAAGATAGGAAGAGGTTCACCACTCTGTGAGAGACTGTGTGAGTTAATAGTTCAACAGTTTCAGAATAATGTTCCTGAGTGTCAAATGTGAAAGAATGAGTGGATTTTATCATCTACAGAACATCATATCATTCAAAGATTTGGAGAATCTGAAAAAATCTCTGAACTAAAGAGACAAGAACCAAAACCAAGACTGGATGGTTACTGGTTTTCAGGCCCTCAGGCAGCACTGCATTAAAAACAGACAGGACTCTGGAGTGGAAATCACTGCATGGGCTCAGAATCCCTTTCAAAACAACTGTCTTTGAACACAATTTGTCACTGCATCCATTGGAAGTAACAGTCTGACAAATCAAACTTATCATTTTTCTTGGAATTCATGGACGCCACATCCTTGGCTCTAAGAAATAGGGACTCCTGTGCTTATTATCAGCTCCCAGTCCAAATCCAGCATCCCTAAAGGTTAGGGCAAGCGGCTCTTTCTTCCCTAAGCTGCGGCTCCCTGTGGATTTGGAAAATAAATAATAAGTATTTCATTTAAATTGATTTCAGTTTAGTTTTTTTGTGTAATTCTAAATTCAAAGATTATAACGCTCTTGTAACATTAAATAATTTTTTTATCACTCAAAATATGCATCATAACTGCTGACTAGGGAAAACCGAAAACCTGTGTGAAGATGAAAGTGATGTCACACAGCCTGGATGTGGAAACACTGTGTGCTGAGGTTCAGGAGCGAAAGTCACATTAGGCAAGTAAATCTCACATTTTAATTGGTTAACATTTTGCAAATATATAATATCTTAGATTGTTCAGTGAAATAATGTTTTTTATTTAACGCACACGCTTGTTGTGCGATCATCCTCTCTACTACTCCGAGTGTGGCCTGCATAGCAGGGCTCTGAGGGCGGAGCTTGCAGTTGTAAGAAATCTCCCTGCGTCTGAGACTCCCGTTTGGGTCTGCCAGAGATTCACAGTGATTTAAATGCAGAAATACTCAGAAATGAAATTTCACTCTTGTATTAGTGATGATATGTCCTGTAGCTTCTGGAAAATGATGTATGAGCATGTAGACAACAAGAATAACATGATTTTCATCAAAATGGGTCTTTAAGTTTATTTCAAACTGTTTAAAATATTTTTGTTTGCCTGCAGAAATAAAATTTCCTTTTCTCTGCAGCAGTTCATTTATTTCATAAATGCAACTCACTAGTTTTTTATAAAAGTTAAAAAAAAAAAAAAAACAATATGCAAATGTTGTCTTCATTTTAGATGCCAAAGGGGTTTTGTGGCTCCCTGTGTTTTTTCTTTTCTGTGGGAAACTGGTCCAAATGGCTTTTTGGGTGTTTAAGGTTGTCGACCCCTGGGTTAGGGGATCATCAGAGTCCATGTCATGGGTATCTTCCACATCTGTGAAGGCTCCTTTAATGCTGAACAATATCTCCAGGTTTAGGAGCAACATCTGCTGACATCCAGACAAAGACTTTTTCAGGGAAGACCTTCATATTTCAGGAGGACAATGACAAACCACATTCTGACAACAGGGATTACAACAGCATGGCTCTGTAGGAGAAGAGTCCTGCTGCCTGTTTGACATCCAAAAAAACCAAAATAAAAGTACAACATCAATATGTCGTCTTTGACTATTCTCGATGAAATAAAGACTTTAAGTGAGTCACAAACCAACAATTTCTGCAGTGTGTTTTAACTCTACTGGAGTTGGGTTTGTAATTTTAGCCGTCGTCACTATCAGTAGAGGTTTTACTGCTCTCAGAAACAAATAAATGATCAATGTGACAGGTTCATAAAGGAAGCGCAGACAGACAGACATGTAGTACGGAGTATTCACACACAGCTCAGTGAAAGCCGAGCTGGGCGCTGTGACAGAGCGAGAGAGCTCTTTACTGAACTGTCTCATCCAAGAGCACACTCGCATACACACATTAGTGCAATACTACCTCCCATCCAACACCCAGAGGAAACTGGACCATTGTCTCACTGTGTCCAACTCAAAGAGCCATTTGTTCAGCTCTGAGAAACAAGCCAGTGACTACGACCCCAGTAGCAAAGTAGTAAAATACTAGGGGTGTAACGATTCATCTACAACAACGATGTATCGATTTATATATTTCTATGATCCAACTAAATCAATCTGTGCTCAGCAAATTGGCCTTCAGGACGACATATATTGATCTAACATTGTTTTAAAATGCGATAAATCGATTGTATTGATACCAGGAAATAAGCCACTAGATTTAAGCATGGCAAAAACATAGCATGGTGAATGGTAGAGGAATAGTTGACAAGCGAGAAATTATCAAGCCACCATTGCAGCCCAGTGTATGTTGTAGTTGTATTATTTCTATGCTGAAAAACAACAGCAGAAGTAGCAGAAATGTTAGATGCACTTACTGTATTTTCATCCAGAATTTACTGAATATTTAAAGACCCACACCGATGAAAACCCTGTTTTTCTTGTTGTCTACATGTTCATATGGTATTTCTCTGATGCTACAGGACATATCATGAGAAAAGTTAGTGCAAAGTTGCATTTCAAAGTATTTCTGCATTCAAATTGCTGTGAATCTCTGACAGACCCAATTATAATGATTACAATATTAACTTTCATCATGGCCCCAAAGACACTAATGTCCGAGAGCTGAATAGCTCCTATGTTACCTGCCACTTCTGCCATACCGGCAATGTTAGGCTACAAGCTAGCGTGGAGAGAAGTATGCAGAGCAGCGCTGTCTCTGCCCACAACTCAGAGGCCATTAGAAAATGAGCTACTGGAGCTCTGCAGAAGAAAAGTCTTTGAAAATGACACAAGTAAAACGATTTTGGTTAAAAACTTCATAATCCCAATTTAAAGACCGCTGAGAACACTTTCAGTAGTAACACACACACAAAAAAAAAGATTGTAGTGGGACTTCCAGCTGTTTATTTCACAGTCACACTCTTTGAATTTTTGGCTAAAAAGTTACTGAATCAATTTCAAGTTACCAAATCCCCTTGTCTCACTGCTTCAATCAGTTGATGTTTTTCAACATGAAGATGATCTCGGCCGCTTGGATTTGCATTCTGCAAGGAAAACGATTCCAACAACAACTTCAAACAGCTGCACTTAAATCTGCAGACCTATGGCAGCATGTACGTTACCAACAAAGTCAATATCTGCGTTAATCCAGTTACACATGCATGACAGAAGAGGGCTGTAAAAGTGATGGACCCTTCATCTCAGGTCTCCATTCTTGTCTGCTGACGAGGTTTCACCTCAGACTTTTCTTTGTTCTCACTGTGCGGCTCATGTTAGCTGGAACACAGTCTTTGGATATCTGATTAAAAAGAGGAAGACCTCCCAGCGAATAAAAACATTCATCCGACAGCAGCACACAGACTGACAGGAACAATCAGGCCTTTGTGTGACTTCAGGAGTTAATAATAAACGCTGAACTACCAGCAAACAGGTCATCAGGCTTTTGAAGCTCCACAGATGCGTAGGTGGGAAATGTCACACAGCATGGTGGACACAGGATGTAAAGAACAGCGTGTGTGTGTGTGTGTGTGTTTGTGTGTGTGTGTGTGTGTGTGTGTGGGGCATCAGAAGTTCAGCAGCAGGAGACGACCACAGAGCAGGAAGGTGTGGGCACAAATTAAGGTCAAGAATGACAGTGAGCATTACCACAATCAAGAACAGGTAGAATAAACACAGAACTCAGTGAGCCGGCCTCACCCTCAGAAAACATCTGAAATCCTTCACCGGCACAGGAGCTGGAAAAACACAGGAGCTTTAAAGTCAGATGACTCACAGTCTTCACTCAGAGTGCTGAAAATCTAACTGATGATGATCACAAACCTCAACATCCCCCACTCAGGTGTAGCTCTTTTGTCTCCCGACAGCAATTTTTATGCAAAAAAAAAAACCCTCCAGTTAAGAGATTAAACAAAAAGCCTCACAAGGCTTAACATGTGGCTTTGGAGATCATTCACACATTTACTCATTTTCCTTAAATCTTCACATGCATTCTCATCTCTGAATGATACCTGATGGTGTCACAGCAACAGAGGTTGTGCTTACCTGTGTGGATTTATCTTTCATACAAGATGGGTAGTGCACATGGGGGTCACGAGGCCACTGCCCAGTGAGGTAGGGCCCAGTGATAGTGCCCAGGGAGGAAGTCCGCCAAATAGCCCCTGAACTCCGTACCTGCTGTGATTTAGTCCTTTCAACTGCAGACACAAAGGCGAAAGAGACATGGACACATTAGCTTGATCAGAAGGAAACATCGGCAGTGAGTCATCTGGATACAAACTCTGAATCTATGCAGCTTTTAGCCGCCTGCAGACAGGCAGCAGTCACTGGTGAGAACGCTCATGGTCATTTCTTCTCATGATGCTCCAAATGTTTTCAACGGGGGACAAGTCAGGACTGCAGTCAGACCAGTTGATCAGCAGGACCCCTCTCCTACAGAGCCATGCTGTTGTAATCCCTGTTGTCAGAATGTGGTTTGGGATCATATGAAGGTCTTCCCTGAAAAAGTCTCTGTCTGGATGTCAGCACATGTTGCTCCTAAACCTGGAGATATTGTTCAGCATTAATGGAGCCTTCACAGCTGTGAAAGACAGTTTTTTTTATTTTGTAGCTGCCTCCTCTTGCTTGCGTTACGATCTCAAGTTAAACCCCTAACCAGGGTTGGCAAATTCTATCACCTACAACAGCCTACTAATCAAATCAACAACAGCTCCATAATTAAGTGGTAATTATTGTGCAAACCTGAGCTGGAAAGCAGATTAATTAAGCTCAGATGATCTCCCAGCCTGCCTGTCAAAATAAAGTCCAGTTCCAGAGACAGACTGAAACATACTCCATGGAAACAGTTAAGCGCTGCGCGGCCTGATGCCGGGAGAATAACATCTACCATCCTGCATGTGCTCACACACGATGCCTCATATCCAGCCAATGTTCCAGTTGTAATCTGGTGTCTTCCTGGTTTCTGGTCCAACATTAGAGAATCCTATTAAACCAGGTAGGGAGCCAGGTCACTTACTATAAATCCACAGGATTACAGGTGCTCTCCTGTGACTAAATTAGACCTGGCCATGACCCTCCAAGTGTGTTAAGAAGCTCAACGAGGTACCAAGGAATTGTATCACAGTCAGGATAGCCCTCCTCCCTGATGAGCCTCTGTTTTGTAACTGTTGCTAGATTTCTCTGAACCAGGACTTCAGCCTGTCTACTGAAACTATCTAGAACAAAGAACACAGCATTCAGCAGCAAAAAGGTTGACATTATGCTGTCTTTTAATCACAGTTTGTTTGGTTGTTTGTTTGTTTGTTTATCTGAATCTTTATTGAGGCTTTTTCAGGACAGCAAAGCCTGCTATCATCCCAGTCCTCTGGACTCGTAGTACTGCTGGCAGGCAGTTAATCCCTTTCACCTTGTAACCGAGCTGTAAATCATCCCTGATTACACAGGCAGTATGAGCACGTTTGTGGTTAGAGCACAGCGGTATAAGGGTGGGTCCATGTTTACTAAGATAGTCCTTAGCTCACTAGCTTCTCTCACTGAGATCAGAAGCTGTGGTTTACAGGAACCAGTGGATGAGAAAATAAAGATATCTTTTATTTGAAAAATAGCCCAGTTAAAAGATTACAGTGAAGAAAAGATGGCCCTGAATAGATACCTGTGGGACAGCCTAGCCATAAACTTGGTATCATCAGGCCCATCTTTGACACTTTATGGGTGACTTTGTTTTCTCAGGCACAATTCAGTTTAAATTAACACTGAAAGGTCCAGATTGCACTCACTTCTTTAAAGTTAGCTAAGTCTCTGGGGTGTCTTTATGGTCTTCCTGCCAGCATCATGGATAATAACTATACCCTCAAACTTCTGGGTGACACATTTTACTTTGAAAAACTTTCCAGATGGATCAGCTGACAGGCTAAAAGTAAAATTCACTTTGTCTCAAACAGAACTGAAATGTCACTCAAGTACTTCCAGTTTGAGCTAACACCTGAGAGCTAAGAACACAGGTGCAGCTAATCAGACTGACTTGGCTTTTATTTTAGAGTGTGAATCTTCACAGATATTTACTGCCGCAGGGAACAGCACTTCCTCATATACTGAACCTGTGCGAAACAAGAGAATCAAACAGAGACACCTGTAAAGTGCCAATGATGATGCATTAACCAGGGATCCCTGGACGTCAGTTAGTAATCAGATAACTCTCAGAATAACTGCACACTATGTTAACGCTAACTGAACAATGCACTCCTTGGTCTTCTACCTGTGCGACGTGGTTTTAGACCATTAAGTAATTCAGAATTTCTATGATTAAGAAAGAGTGCAGGAAATTATGTCTGAAGGACTTTCAATCAGGCTAAAAAGTCAGAAATAATCCAAACTCAAAAATCAGAATCAAACACAAAAACTAAATAATACATGTGTTGCTACAGGAATAAAGGATGAAAAATGCAGCCAAAAACAAGCCAAATCGGATCACACAACCCAAGAAATGAACACAGCTAGTAAGTGCTTCATATCCAGATTTCTGTTGAGGTTCTCCTGGAAAATGACCCAGGCCTGTCTTAGATTAGAACAGTTACTGGACAGTATCTAAATGAAATCTGTCATTTGAATAGCTTTATTGTACTATATGGTCTAAAAATAGATCTATGCTGCTGTGGCTCTTTAACATCATTTGCCTTCAGAAGGGACTGAACTTAAGCAGGGTCTAAAGGAAGTTATGTAACAGGAAAGCTTTTAACACAGAAACCTAATATAGCTGGACACTGAGAGGACTTCTCTGTACGTTTAATGGACAAAAATATGAGGTTAACATGGGTGAGTAAACTTTTAATACTGCACACATATCAAAACTAAATTCAGACTTTTTTAAGACCCAAACAAAGACAATTCAAGTCTCTCTTGGAGTAAAAATAAGCTCCAGCTTCAGCCAAAACCATTTTTGGTTACCTGGGAAATTTTGAGTCTTCTTGTAACTGTTTGATTTGTGTTTGATATTGTTGTCTCTAAAATCTGTATTTATTGTGATGAGTTTGGAAGTTTTGAGTAAAATATATCTTATAATCAAGCTTTAGAGCAAAGTTTATCCATCTCTGCAGACACTGTGAGTGCTGACTGATAGTGCATCTGTGAGTTCTTTCTTTTATTTGTCAGAGGCTGAACTGATTCTGTGATAACAAGGTCACCCAGCATGACTTTGAGTCATGTGACCGTCTCAAACCTCAGAGAAACTCTCACACCGGGGGCTCATCCATTATTCAGAGGGCTCGACTTTAACGACCATTTCACAGGTTTAGCATCTCATATCTAATGTACAGATGCTCCGTTTGTCGTAGGGTCCTGTTGTCCATTTAAGGGGGTGATTGTTCTGTTCGGAAAAGAGGGGAAATGTGGGTAGGGGCAGAAGTTTTCAAAAGTAAACTGATGACTTTATAGTATTTTTCTGTGTAGATAAAAAGCTGCATGAAACCACCGTACAACAGTGAAATATCAGGGAGGGTTTAAAAACAAAATCAGCCAAATTGTGGTGCTGTAAAGGTTGAATTTTGAGGCATTTAAGTAGAAAATTTATCGGTAAATCAGTCTGTTTTTGTGAGTTAATGTAAAAATATGTGCTTGTATAAAGTGCCAATTCCATTAGAAGTGATGAAATGACCTCTTTGGTTTCTTATTAGTGTAAAAAAAAACATGAGAATTTTTCCTCATAGATGCCTTGCTGATGGATTTAAACAAATAATGTCCTCACATATATCTTTGTAATGTATAAAACAAGTGATGGTTTTTCAACAGCCGACACCAGTGCTGATATTTATGGAGCAGGTCAGCCCATGGGCAATATGTTATTGAGATTATCATATTGTTGTTGTTTTTCTCTGCACTAATATTAAAAAAATCTAACAGTTTTATAACAATAATAGCCATTATTTCACACACATTAAGATCTAATATACATGGTTGACTAAGTAAGGTACATGGTTCAAATGAATTCAAAGTATTCATGACATTATATTTAATTATAATCAACCACATCAGCATATCAGCAGATGACAGTTTTTTTCAAAATGCTGTTAATCTACCCAACCGAATAATGTGTCTATCACTAGATAAAACAATCATCTAGTGCCTAATTGGTAATCTAAACTCATCATGTTTGGTTATCATGTTAAGTTTGTAAGTAAAGTTACATGCTCTACAATGTCTTTTTTTCTCAAGTTTTAAATATTTAAAGGAACAGTGCATAGAAATAGAAATATTTAACAACATTGTTGCAGAGTGTAGACTGAAATGCTCCCTTGCTCACCCTCTTGTTGGTAAAACTACGGTGGCTTTCAAAGACAAGAATACCTAAGTATGATATTCCATTTATTGAATTTTCCATCAGAATCATCAGTTTTGCACAGATGCTCACTAGATACAATATTAATTTATGAGTTTGTCCATTATGGGCTACTGTAGCAACATTGCGGTGCAAGATGGTGACCTCCATAGCAGCAAACCTCCCCATATGTATTTATAAAAGTTTTGTCAAAAAGTTTTGACAAAAAATAAATAAATAACACTTCAGTAATAAAACACTGATTTAAACACACTCTCCTTATCTACCAAGCCTGTTCTGTTAAACAATGCTAAAACCTACACACTGTACCTTTAACAGAGTTGTGTCATTTGAGATTGTGTGAAACATTCAACTAACCAGTTTTGAATTTATGTGAAAAATAACAGATTAAAACATACTACGGTAGGTGCTCCAGGCATAATTTTGTATTTTCCTCTAAAACTGTTAAATGTCCAGTTCAAATTGTTGTACAAATATTCACCAGGATGCAGGAAAATGGGTGTCAAATGCTCAGAGTCCTGTCACCTTTTTGGCTTTCCAGTCATTTTTACAGATCAGCAAATGTTTGCTTTATTGGTTTCTGGTAGGGGCCCATGCCAAGGGCCACCCGAGTCCAAATATTCTGTACACCCCACTGTCAGCAGTCATAAAGTTTAATTAAAGAGTGTGAATACTAACAGCTAAAAGCATGTGAAAGCATATTTCACACCTTAATCCAGAGCAGTCAATCATAGAAGCATACTGTAAACATGAAATAGCCATGACACATGCAGAATGATGTTAAAAAAATAAAAAATAAAAAAAAAAGAGTGCACTACATATAATTCAGTGTGTTTGCCTGATAAATGTTCTCTGTTTGAGTGCATGCATGTTCTGGTTTATTAACACGGTCCAAATAGTGCTTTTACATGCCTTCATGTAGTTGCAGAGGCTGGCCTGCTTACCCAGAAGGCTCTGTTTATGTCTCACTGACTGCTAGGCCCCAATGTTGCCATAGGAGCCACAGAGCTACCAGCTGACGACATTTTTTTTTCCCATTTCAATAATCGTAAACAATCTCCCTGAAAGAAACTGACAATCGTCTTTCAGTGTTTATTTCATATTCTGAAAATCTGGCCTATCATCCGTGTTCTAGAGCTCAGTGAGCCTGTTTATCCTCGACAGAGTAGCTGCATCATCACTACACAGGCATCCATGTCCTGGCATATTTACTTCATCATAACAGGGGCAACACTAATGTGCTGTGATCAGAAATGCATGAGCCAGTGTCAAAATATTTCGACTACATTGCCACTGTAACGTTAAAGCACTGGGATAAAATACTTCAAATAGCATGGGATGAGCTATGTTAAAAATAAACTCTTAATAAAATGAAAATCGGAGCACGTTTGCATGACATATTATGGAGAAACAGCAACAAAATGCATCTCCTCGCTGTTTTTGGCGACAAGCATCAGCTCCCCAATGTATTATGACCCAATTAGCAAGCTAGCCATCTAGCCTAGCATCTCGCAGCAAAATGGGAAGCTGGTTCCATCGTAGTTACAGAGCACAGCTGGCTACGTTGAATCCGCTGCTGAAATACATAAATGTAAGGTAGTCTGGCTGTTACGGAAAGTTTCAGGAGTTTACAAAATTACAATGACTCTCCTACGAACAATGATAGTTCGTTTTATAATTCGGCATAACTGTAATGAAAAATAAAATCACTAATTAGAATTTAAACATGACATTTGCAGCTACTTCGTCGCTTATTTCCACGAGCTTCTGTAATCAAAACAACGTGGCGCCTAATGGTGGCGCTTCATGGCGAACGGTAGAAAAAAATAATAAACTAGAAATTTTACTTAAAATCAAACCTAAGTTGTGAATAAATACTCGCCGAATGAAAGACCAAAGCATATTATCCCCAACCAATTCTTGGCTGAAAAATTGAAACGCATGTACTGTCCTCACCCGTCGCCGAAACTATTTATTGGCAGATTTTTTAATCTAGTTTTGCGTGTGGATTGCTCAATAGCACAAGTTAGCACTGAGCTATCTGCACGATGATGTGTGCATTAAAGGGGAGCCGTGTTTACTTTAAAAGGCAGTTTTTACCTTTAGAAGGGGGAGAGTGTGGAGAGCATTCAGATGAGGTCTTGCTGTCCGGCGGTGAGAGTCTCTGCCTGGGGACCACCCTGCCGTCCAAGCCGCTTCCACCCGGGTTGGCGGGACTGGAGCAACGGGACGTCGTCGGTCCTGAGTTGCTCCCGGCTACTAAGAAGGAGGAGGGAACGGAGCGGGTTGGGCTGTGCTGGTTTCCACGCAAAAGCTGGTACGGCACCGTGGCGCGGATAGGATGTAACCGGACCGCGGTGGTGTTGTTGCCACAGGAGGCAGGAGGGGAGCCGCTGAGGGTGACCCGCTGCGGGGAAGAGCTGGCTTCTGCTGTTGATGCTGACATAACGTTCGGTAATAAAGCTGTTTGTGTAACAATATGAGTGATAAAAAGTGCAATGTCCTGTTATAAAGCTCACTACATCAGTTTACGAGATTGCAATCCTGCACCCAGTTTGCACGTAATCCATTTAACGAAGTTTGTCAAAGTTTCTCAAGTTATTTCACCTCTTTGAGTCCCACAGTCTTCACTTTGCATCTCTGCTGGCGACAACTTCTACACCTGTTTCCAAGCGTCCGAATGAACAACTCCCAATGAACAAAACAGATTCTAAACCCCCAGAAACTTGCAACCGTATAACTTTGGAAAATTCCCAGTGTCTCCAGACTGAGTCCCCCTGCCAAAACACTCAAGACAACAGTTGTCAGTTTAAAACTACAGACATAGGAGGTTGGACTATGGGTGGGACCAAATCAACACTACTTTTCTCTGATTGGCCCTAGGGTACTTCCCGGATCGGTCAGTGGGTTGATCGTTGGATGAGTTGGAGTTTTAACCAATGCAAAAAGAGCAGCAGGTTTACCTGAAGTGGTTCGTGTCTGCTAGAATACAACGCTGTCTCAAAAAAGTTGTGACATTGTTTAAACTATTCATAAAAACAGAATTTGATGATTTGATGAATCATTTGAACCCCATGTTTCCTGGTAGGATACATCAGCTCTTCATTTAACAACACTGTTGTCCAGGAGAACAGATTCTGGCATCTGAAAGTAGAAGGTTGTTCCATTCTTGCCCGATTGTTCTATTCAGGCCAGTTTAGCAGCAGGACTCTTCTACTACAGAGCCATGTTGCTGTAATCCCTACAGAATGTGGTTTGTCATTGTTTTGCTGAAACATGTACTGTTGTAAAAAAAAAAAACTCTGTTTCACCATTTGATGTATTTTCACACTTGTCAGTTTCAACTTTTTAGTACTTGTTTGTAGTCACACCTTAAAAGTGATTTTCCTTAGAGTTTGCAGCAGTACTTACAGCTAATCATGCCAAAAAGTAACTGTGTGTTAATGTTATCACAACCAATGATAAAGCCTTTCAATCATCCACAGAGACAGTCACAAGTTGGATATCATTCTTGAAATATATTTGTAACATAAGTTGCAGTCCATGGTCAAAACTGAATGAATACATCAATACCAGCATCAACAGCTACAGTACATGCCTGACTGTAAATACAGACCTACTCTAAAGGGAGAAGAGAGGATTTAAAAGGAGATAACAGATGACTAAATATTGATCTCTAAAATGTTATTCCAAAGGTAAACTTACAGTATGTTAAAGGCACAGCAGGTATGAAGAGAGAAAAAGTGATCAGGTACAAATAATCATAGGTACAAACATGGTATGTGATTATTTCCTCTGTAAATCAATGACTCAATGCAGTTATACGAAATTCAAACCACAATGAGGTGAAATTTGCTCAAGCAACATCTGTGAGTTTTTTGTGTTTTTCAAGAATAAAACCCAAGAGACTGGACATTAGTTTCTGAAACTCTCACTCTCAAAAAAAATTTAAATAACCAAAACTCTAAGAAAAAACGGCATGATCATTATAAGGTTTGGAGCTGATGTTACATTCAGGATTAGACTTTTTTTTGTAAAATCAGCAGAACTGATCCACTCCAAACCAGAAGGAAGTCTTAATCATCCCACTATGGTTCCAAGTTGACTGAGATTACTACATTCATTTAGTCATTTTAAGATCGTAATTATTGCTTTGATTGATTTTAAGCAGCTGTTAGAAATATTTCTGTGATCTCTCTCCCCCCAAAAGATGACCCAACATAAAATTAAAACCACAATTAAGAGGATTTTGAGGGGCCACCTGTTAGATAATCGATTCCATTTGACCCTGAAACAGTAATTAACACAACCAAAGTGACACAAGGAATCACCTGACGGCCACGCCATATCAAATAAATCCATAATAAAGAAACCTGGCACATTTGACCTCTCTGCCTGTTGACACTGTGGCAAAATGTTAGCTTATAAGCATCCTTAATCTAAACAACAATCCTGTCCTGCCATCTGTACACTAACAGCCCAACTTGTGAGAGCACCTCTGAACAGCTGATATCTCCAAAGGAGTCCCATTCATCATGTCTAATATGACCTTCAGAGGAAATGTTCACTTTGATGTTTATGCAAACAAATTCGAACTGTTAAAATTAACAGTGAACTTAAATGTCCAGTTTAATGTTGATTTGTCCCGCATTAAAGCTGATAGAGGGAAAAAAAATGGATTGAACTAAATATAGAAGTAACCATTTAGGAATGATTAGAAAGTCTGAGTTAAGCAACAACCTCATTTTCAGGTTTTCATCAAAATCAGCTCAATATTTCACTTTTTAAAATGATCATACAGCTCAATCTCTTGGGTTAGCTCTGAATATCATACATGGGTTTTCGACTTTAATTCATTTCTGTAGGAGTGCTTAAAGTCCAGGAACTTAGTCCCAGCATTTAGCATGTCACAGGTTGTATAGGCACACAAGTGTGTGCCATAAACACAAAGACAGACTAGCAAAAACATCCATACAGAAAAATAGCACAACAGACAGGACACAAAATACACCAGATCAAAAGAAAGGCCGCGTTTAGGGAGGAAAATCAAAGTATGGTGAAGGTTAGCAAGAACCACAGATGTGTGATAGCTGAAAAGTTAACTGTTGTAGGGATTTTTTTTTTTTTTTGCTGAATGTAATAAGATCATAAATGGCATTTAATCTATTATTATATGAAAGCTGTGGTGGCGTAAAAACAGTACTTTGACTGTGGGATAAAGCAGTTTTTAAAAGGAAGGTAAGAAGATTTTCAGAAATTCCAAGTGATTATATTTAAAACTCTGGTTTAGTTTAATAAAAAGAATCTCTTTCAGGTCCTCAGCTTTGAACAAAGTTATTGCTTCATTATCTCATTACTGCATCTTTAAAAAAACCTCAAAACAATCCTTCTTTTGTACCGTTTGAAAATACAGGACACTCAAACTTTGCAAGGTTTGTAGCAAATGCAAAATGTAACGTCATTCAGGGAGAATTCAAAGGTCTTATACTATGGTATAGTAAGCAGTTTATAACAAGGCTCAGTTGTTTTTTAAGCACTCTTGAATTCAATTACCAAAAATGGAGCCTCTGTGGAGGTCCTGCAGCCTCTCAGTTTCTTGAGCTGCTGCACTGATACACTAACTGCTACGCTAAAGTAGTCTGAGGGGGGTGGATTCTGACAGATGCAGAGGCGGAAAATCACCAAAGCAAATATGGCGAGTGCCCCAGAGGAACCCAAGCAGGAGGAGGTAAAGGGTTACGACAGCACATCCCTGAGTGTATGACAAAATTTGGATGTTATATTTCTACTTTTTTGCGCTCCATGAAACTTATGCAGCGGACATGCCAGCTGATAGCTGCAGTAGTGTGAGAGGAGACATAACTGCTCATGGAGTTGGAGTGACTTTGCATGCTGGCTGATACCAATAACTCCTGTTGTTACATCACTGCAGGAGAAAACTCACATCACCTCGTAGAAGCCATATTTTCCCAGGAGGTGGGCTATAGAAGCAACACAGAGACCTTTTCACTTCCACATAGGGCTGGGGGAAGTGTATAAGAGGAAAAGTATTCTTCATTCGTTGGACACTTCCCTCTATGTTAGATCTGTGTCTTATGTTGCTTTTAAGGTTACCATTTTTAAATGTAATAAAAGGATGGAAGTTTACAGGATAATTGCTGAGGTTAAAAAAAAAGCCAAATGTCCAAATCTGTTTCCATCTGACCAAAAATGTCCAGACTGTCAACAGCTCTGTACATGGATTATTGCGACAAAAGTAACAGATATAAAAATTGGCACATTTAGAGGAAACAAATTCTTCATTATTAACTGACCCAAGACCAACCAACCTGCAGATAACTGTGATCTGTGTCTGATCTGTCTCCTTCCAATGAGGGCTGCAAATCAGGCTCTAAATCGGGTCTTGAATCTTCTTGGGAGCTACCTTATGCTAGATGATTGCTATTGTTGAAACCTGCATTCTTAAAGGGACATATGCATTAACTCAACCCAAATAAAGGGGCTATGTCCAATTCTTGTATACAATCCATGATTGTAAATCTATCTAGAACAGTTTAACTACCACCGTCCTGGTTTAACTTTGACTAAACCCAGTGCAGTGCAGTAATTGGAAATAAAAGTTGTCCCCCATTACTTGAGTTTTGCCCATTTTTGGCTTTCACCATCCAACTCTCTTGGAGAGATTTCTCCAGTTTTCAGCAAATGATGACTTAAATCTTACTGTAACTGTCAGATCTTAAGCGTTGACAGCAGTTATTTTTGTTAAAGAAACAGAACAAGAAACAAGAAAACAAATCCATTCAGTAACCGACAAAAGCTTTACAGCTACCAGCTGTGCAGAAAGTGCTGTTTTCCTAGTAAGGTCATGAAATTTCTTTCCCTCTACGTTTAAGATAGAAGACAGGGAAAATCTGTTATCTTATATTTGATTCTTGGAAACTCTGGAAGTTATTTGTGTTAAATGTAATTTCATTATTACTTATTTATCACACTGAAAAATCAGATTTACTTGTTCAATTAACCACCGAGCCCTGTATCGTTACCACAAAGTGTCAACCCTGTAATTTGTAAATTGTAAAAGCCTACACACTGTGTAGCACTGAGTTTTCTAGAGTAAAGTCATACTGAAAATTAGCCAGGTTGTAGTTTATATCCCGGGACATCAGCACATCAGGGATCAGAGGGAATCCAGCCTGCATGGCAAGGATATGTGGAGCCAAAGCAAATGGAACGTCTCCAAGGAGGTCTGGGAGTGTCGGAGCAGCTTCCACCGCTGAGGTTCCTGCTGCTGTGGAGGAGGTGAACGAAGGTGCTGGGACGTTTGTGCTGGTGGGCGGAGCTGGAGCAGGACAGGAAGGCTGTAGGGACAAGGGAGAGACAGATTTGAAGCATTAGTCTGAGAGTTTGGGGTCTTAGAGGTTTTCTTTACGGTAAGTATTTTAGAAGTACTCGCTTCTGCTCATTTTAAGACATGTGATTGAAAATTAGAAAGGAGACAGCCTTAGTTATGTCTTCCACAGCAAGTATTCACAGTATGTCATTAGAAAAAGGATGACAGGGAGATAGTTTTTATCCATCAACTCCACTTTCCCAAAGATGTGATCAGCAACAATAATAGAGCTACCTCTTTGTCCACAGGGGGCGCCAAATTCAACACAAACCCAGTTCTTTGCAAGAGCTAGAGATGAACTTAAAATCAATGTTTTGTCTCAGCTTGCTTATGTTTGTAGGTGGGTATCTGAATTATTAATGGTGTAATATATTGATAGTAAGTAGTTTTAGCATCCTGTTCACTATTCATTATCTTTGAAGACACAAATAAAAGATTTTCAATTTAACTTGAACTTCCGTCTCAGAAATTATTTTTAAATTCCAATTTATTGATCACTAAAATGGTCCTTTACTTTGTTCAAAGGTTTTTTCTCCTGAAAGGGCAGGTGTCCTTGCCCTCTAATTTGCCTCTGCACTCTCTTGCCTGTTCAAGTTGTTGCAGACATTAGAGTTGTGCTTCTGCAGAGTGCAAACACCAGTCCTCACCAGTTGCATCTAAAGGAAGGAAGCAGCAGAGGCGTAGTCCCCGCATTAAACTGACTGATATAACAGGACTATCTGCAGACAATGACAGGCCATATTGAAGACTTTTAGGCGGCATAGTGCAGCTGTTGTCACACTGTCTGCATCCAAAGGGTGACTTTGCATTTCAGTGATGAGTTTGTGTAATATGGATGAGGTCTATATGCAGCAAAAAGGGCTCCGAAATTGTAACAAAACCACTTTTTATGGCAAGATCTTCTGCCTTCACACCAGTGTATACCTGCTTCTGATATATATTGAAAAAGTCTGATTTTGTTCTGAACTAATAACTGAAAAGTTACTCAAAATGAAGGAAAAGATGTAACAGGAAATGTTTTCCCCTCTGCAATTACGAGACAGAGGTTTCCTTGGGGACTGAAGCACAGGGAAGGAATAGCAAGAGCAGTAACAAGTCCTCCCGTCTGTTTTCTAACAGTTTCTGTAAACTGTCCACTAAACAAAGACCCTACCCCTGTGAACGACTGAAAACCTAAAGAATGTGTAATGTCAGAGTAGATCAGCGCTCCCTGTTGCATGGTGAAAATGGCTCTTACTGACTGTGTGAAACATGGGACCTCCAGGATATAGTATGCATAAAATGTGCACAAACAGACACACAGGAACACAGACATATTCCAATCTCTCTGTATGAGTGTGTCAGGGAGTTAAAACTGAGGTATTACAGTCAATCAGGTGGCCAGAAGAGCTTTTTTTCTTTCAGCTCAGTTTCACAGCCAGCCTGGTAAATGCTGGAAACCCATTTTGGCACTCTGACTCAGCTCTCAGCACCTGCTAACACCACAGCAGTGCAGATCTTTCTGAATGGACCACGCAGCACCAGACCAGCTGGAATGTGAACAGGTTCCAGTGTTCAAGCTGAATCACTAATTGCAGGGAGAAAAACAAGTTTCCTGTTGATACTGAGATGATAATAAACCCACCCTGGACGGGTGCACGATGACGTTTGTTGACGGCTGTAAGATGTTCATAGTCTGCGCCTTCCTCCTCTGCTCCTCCGCCGTCTCACCTGCACAGAAAGCATCGGAAAAATAAGTTAATTGGCAATAAACCCCAAACATAGGGACTATAATCCCCACAAATTACAGAAACATCAATAAAAGCTTTAAAAAGTTAAGCTTTCGTCTTAAAACTGAAATGCAAAGACTTCTGCTGCGACATGCAAAGTCTAAGAAATGCCCTCAGTCTTAGCTCTTGAGAGGTCAGCTGCTCTTTGTTTACATCACAACAAAACCTTAAAAACAACCAGAATATGTGGAGCAATCTGTGTGAGCTGAGTGTGCAGCTGAAAACAGAGAATTAATCAGCAGCACTATGATTTATTTTTAGAGCACATCTCTGTCTATTTTTAGCTTTTACTCTGGCAGCGGGCCGCTGTCACTGAGCCAATTCATTAGAGGTTCCTCGTCAAACTGAGCGAGAACAGAGGAGATCATGAGAAGGTAAATCTGTTATCCTCCTCTTCCTCTCCAGAGTCAAACCGACTGTTTCCACTGAGTGAAATCATTCACACAGACGTCATCGTTTGTCTCCACAACAGTGTCCTCAGTAGAGAAGAGGAACTTCCTTGGGGGTAAATACGGCTGCAAACCCACATTGTTAAAATCTGATCCTCCATCAGCTCACTGATTAATACTCTGACATCTTCAATGTTTCTTTTTACAAGTTTTTGTGAGACAAAAATGTCATCTTACAGTTTCAAGGCTGATTTTTAGATTTGAACATCAAGGGACAATTCATGTCATGTGGAAGTTTTGCTGCTCGTAAAAAATATGAGCGCATTTTTGTCCCAGTATGAAGTCGGCAGTTCAAACTGTTAGCATACTTTAAAAAAGGGTTTAAATAAGAAGCTTCATGGTTATTGGTTCGACTGGTTTCCCCTTGGATGTCCAAGCTCAGATAAAGAGAAGGGGACCTTGTTGTGACAAAAGTGACCAAAGGTCTGGACCTGCTGTGACTCTCCACAGCCTGACACCTGTTCTCAAGACCTGCTGTGAACCACCAGCTCAGCTTAGGACATCTGTTCTGATCAGCACTAATACACCAAAGTCTGTAAGAGTGCAAGAGCCGAATGCATCACCACAAACAGCATTCACCAAAGACACCAGACATGGTAAAAGTTACTAGTTACAAGTGTCATTTTCAGCTTTATTAACCAGGTGTGTGTACACATACATTCAGCACAAAGATCATACTGACATGCTCAAGCTTCATAAGACAATATAGGAATGGTGAAAAGTGCAACAAAAAAGCCAAGATAATTTATGTAATTTTTGAGCTCATAAAGTGACTCCCAATCCAGAGTCCTGTCTGTTTTTAATGCAGTGCTTCCTGAGGGCCTGAAGATCAGGACCATCAGTCTTGGTTTTGGTCCTTGTCCCATTATTGAAGAGATTTCTCCAGACTCTCTGAATCTTTGAATGCTATGATGTTCTGTAGATGATAAAATCCACTCATTCTTTCACATTTGACACTGAGGAACATTATTCTGAAACTATTCAACTATTAGCTCACACAGTCTCTCACAGAGTGGTGAAACCTCTTCCTGTCTTTCCTCCTCAGAGACTCAACCTCTCTGAATGTCCTTTTTATACCCAGTCACGTCACTAACCTGTTGGAAATTAATGAAATGAGTTAAAGATGTTCCTCCAGCTGTTTAAAGGTTTTTTTTTAATTGTGTTTTTTTTCTGTGTCTTAACTTTTATTTTATCTCCAATCAAATTTAGGCTTTAAACGACTGGATAATGAGAGTCAGTTAAATGGCCTTCAAATTATGTCACTGTATTTCAAGGAAATTTGCAGTAACGTTACATATGAATAACCCTTAAACGTTTTAGAGTTGTCTGCAGCAACTTAGCAAAGCACATTCAGAACCTTTTTTATCATCCTGGTACAATATGACACAGCCTTATGAGGGAAACTTCAAAATCTTTTTTTAAATCAACTTATTAAACCATGTGCCAACTTCTACTCCAACTTTGGAGTAGAAATTATAGTCAATATGTCAGTTTTGTTCTGCAAAGAATGATTTCAAATGCAATATTTAGGCTAAAAGAAGTGGTAAAAAAAAACACACCTAGCTGCTAAAGACAGTAATCGAGTAGCAGCTCCTGAGTTCTTCAGAATCAAACTACTAGAAGTTTTTCACATCTTCAGCTTATTTTAGTTATTTAGACTTCAAAATAGGTAAAAATAGTGCCCCGGGTTTCAAAATACTAACATTAAGTCGAGAAAACAAACTTCATTGAGATTAAATCGTCTCTAACACACTTTTGAGTCTCCTCTTTCTCTCATGAACCCTCTGGTGATCATTTCAGACTGGGCTATGTTTAGGACGCCCTCTCATTATTGACATTACTTGGGTTTATTAAAGTCATTTACCAGCATGTTGCTAATTATAAGCAGCTCTTTGATAAGATGAGTGATTGGTGAGCAGGAGGTTTAACGTGAACGTCTGTGAGCTCAGCGTGTTGCCGCGGTCTGAAAAAGAAAGCCTGGCTCTGACACTCGTCCTCTTCCTCTGCCAAAAATAACACACAGCTCCTGACCATCTGTGTCTCTTACACCAGCTCAACAATTAAACCCAAGAGGAGAGATAATACCGGATTTATCCCTGAGATAAAGCCACATACAGTTTAATTTAGGATGAACCCTGATTCATGGAGATCGCTGTGCTTGTAGGTTAAAACAGATGGCCTTGATAAGAAGTGGGAGAGTGTAGAATCATTGCTATTATCCATAAATAATCAAACTAATTTTACACACTTTCTATTCCAGGATATACCAACAGTATGTCACCATAAACAGCAAGATTATATAACGTCCCTACAACCAAGAAAACTTTCTACAAACACTAATTCAAAACTACAACTAAGGTGAATCTTTTTCTGTCTCTTCATACTGACATGGTTGTTACTGTTATTCAGTCATTATCATTTTTTATATTTTACAAACTTTTATTTATCGATTTTTATTTTTCGTTTTATATTTCATGTGTGTTTAATTCCAGAAAGTATTCCCAGTGTAACTTTTATCTTTGGTTATTGATCTATACTTTCTCTCGTATCAATATCTCACCTGTGTGTTCCCTATTTTTTTTTTATTTTGTTGTGTGAAGAAATCAGAGACGGATTGAGTAAAGTGTGACTGATTAACTGATAGGGAAGAAGTTTGAATTTCCACATTTGTTGTTAAAAGTGCTCAGCTGCCATCATCATTTGACTAATCAAAAACACGATCATGACACACCAGCAGCTTCTCCGGACCTGAGTCCAATTAAAAACAGACTGAGAGGAGGTGGGAAAACTGTCTTGTGGTCTGAGGAATCAAATGTGACATGTCTCTTTAATATTGTGGACGCCAAATCATCTCCCTGAAAGAGGAGAAGGACCACCTGACTTGTCATCACTCTCCATTCCAAAACTAGTATCCCTGATGGTATGGGGACCATTACAGTTCATGTCACAGGTAGCTTCCACATCTGTGAAGGATCCATTAATGCTGAACAATATCTATAGGTTCAGGAGTAACATCTGCTGCCATCCAGACAAAGAGTTTTTCAGGGAAGACTTTCGCATTTTAGCAAGACAATGACAAACCACATTCTGACGACAGGGATTACAACAGCATGGCTCTGTAGGAGAAGAGTCCTGCTGCTAAATTGCAGTCCTGACTTGTGCCCTACAGAAAACATTTGGAGCATCATGACACCGAAAATAGAACAAAGGAGACCCTGAGCTGTTGAGCAGCTGAAATCCTCTGTCAGACAAGAATGGGACAACATTTCACTTTCAGACTCCAGTAACTTCAATATCTGAACCTAAGTGATTGGGATTGTAACCGAGCATCTCCAAATGCCAAATCATCATTTTCATAGTAAATAATCATAATAATGGTCATGTTAAAACTCACCTATGATGACAAAGCCTCCTTCTACCTCCTTCTCTGTTGTAGATTTCTTTAAATCTTTCCGAAGTCCAAGAAAACTGAACATGATTATAGCTCTGTACAGGAGAAATCAAAGGTGAAACTAACATCACAGTGAGCTGAAAATATGTTAAATATTAAAGAAAGTGATTAAAATCACCGTTTACAGGCTATAATGTTTCTCTGAGTAAGGTATTAGAAGGAACATTTATATAAACCATACAAAATATAAAGATTACAAAAATATAGTTGTAAAAGTAAGAAAAAAGATTTAGTAATTAGACTATTTATACTATGGTGATTTACAAATTTTTCTGGTTTTACTGGATTTTATCCTGTTAAGTCTTACTGTCACGGCAGGGCACTCTTAATGCCATTTTCAAATTTAAGTATACATTTTTTAGCTTTAAATTATGGTTACAAAGATATTTCATGAAAGTTAAACTAATACTACATTTACATAAATGAAAAGTGTCTCTTACTGTCGTCGGGCTCCGTCTGAAGTTCAAAATAAACCAAAAAAGTCAGTTCATGATTTCTCTGAGCTAAAGAACCTGGTTAGCCTCACTCCATTTGGTTAGTTTTAGCGACAGTTAAAGTCAGTTTCTCTAAATTATTCAAAATCGAACTTAATAAAATCAAACTTTAAACCCTTTAATTAATCTGTTTCGACTTCACCCATCCGATACCGTTCGTGTTATTGTGCTACGGTAGTGACGTCAATGGTTTCACTTTTATCTCTGTTCGTGTGGAAACTACAACCGCCGATGAAGTTCCGATAGCTGGCCAGCTGGTTTGGTAGCTTAAGTAAGAGCAGTCGGTGTTTATCAAAAATGTGTCTTCTTTTTGTTTTCTTTTGTGATTATTTTTGAAAAAGTATTACGTTTTATTTTAATTGAGGGATAAATAATAAGTATCCTATCGCAAAGTTATCTGAAAATTCTTGTGAAAAAAATGTTTAGCAGTAGCCTGTGTCAAATTTTGACCAGGCAATCAAAATACTATTTGAAGAAAAATGTTGACGCTTGGGTTTGTTGAAAAGACAGAAAGTTAACAGTCAGAGGCTTGGTGTGGATTTTCAAAAAGTAGCAGTGCTAATAAGTGACAAAATGGTTTCAATAAACGATGCAAATCATGTTGTCAGAGACTGTCGCGGAACCACTCACTTGTGTCTTGAAACTGTCATTGAAAGTATATTTTACTTTTTTAAATCTGCTTTTATGTTATCCATTGTTTTAATTGTTTTTTTTATTATTTTTTTATGTTACGTTATTTTGTCTATTTATGTACAGCACTTTGTTCAGCTGTGGTTGTTTTAAAGTGCTTTACAAATAAAGTTGAGTTGAGTCTTCGAGGAACAAAATGTTGGAGCACACCGGATATGACCTCAGAAGCGTAGGAGGTGTTCGATTCTACTACCCGAGTCTGCCGTTGTGTAGTGTCGCGAGTGGTTGTCGCTAAACGTGTTCACTCCGCCCGCATTGGGTCTAGGCGTAATTTAAAACAAACACACTGTGCATTTCCCGCGCTCTGTCGTATTGTATCGAGCTCAGTAACGCCAAAACAGCCAAACTGTCAAGATGGCATCGATTGTGGACGTCCCCAAGCCGAGAGTAAACTGCTCCATGCTGTCCCAACACATCAACAGACCGGTGTGCTTCGTGGGAAGAGTGGAAAAGGTGAGTGCTGGATCAGTGAGATGGAGTGAAAGTGTTATTTTAATGACAGTAAACATGGCTGACTTTGCTCCTCTGTGAATGTGATCAAATAAGTATTTTTTTTTGTTTTGTTTTGTTTTGTTTTTTAGGTTCACCCGTCAGGTAGTGCGTTCACCTTGACAGACGGTGACGGGAAGACTGCAAACATTGAGCTTAATGAACCTGTGAGTAACTAGCTGACATATCATTGTTTGACCCGATATATCGCTGGATTTGTCCATTGGCATGTAGCTACACTCACGTTCCCCCTTAAAATGTGTATTGAGCCCTCTAAAACGTTCTTAAACACAATAAATACAACAAAGTAAAGGACTCTGTTCCCTTGATGCCTGAAAGTTTGTGTCATTAGCCCACCACAGCGTGTTTCTTCAGCTGGACACTCGGGGGCAGCAGTGATTTATCTGTTGTCATTAATGCAGAGGGTTTGCTCTGTGAAGGGGCAACAAAGAATACTGTAAATATGACTTGCTTTTTTGTCATAGCAAACACAGTACTAGTTACCGTGTATCTTTGTCTTTGTAAATAATTTCAGATAGCTGGACAGAAATCCTTAATTCCCTTATTGCAATATTTTACTAAGCACAATAATAAGAAAAGACAATGGAGTGTCGTTGTTTATCAGCCACCAGCCAACTAGCTGTCTCATTTCCAGCATCGGTCAGTGAAAGAACTAATAATTGGCAACACACATTGCATATTGCAGCTAAAAATAGACAAACTTAATATTACATAGAAATTTTCCCATCCTTTTCTTTTAAGTGTAATTTTGCTTGTGAGAAAAAAAAATCTTTACAAAGGTTTTATATTTATCTTCCAGCTCGAGGAGGAGCTGAGCGGTGTGGTGGAGCTCCTCGGCATGGTATCCAACAAAGGAGTGATCATGGCTACAACATACACCATACTGCGAGAGGACAAAGGCATTACTTTTGGTATGTCCTTATTTAGTAGTTATTTAAACATTCTAAAAGCATCCCCATTACTGGACATTGATATCATATCTGATCTTTCCTCTGCAGATTTAGAGCTCTATAACGAAGCCCTGAAGGTGATCCATGATTTCCCACAGTACTACCCGTTTGAAATGGCTGCGAGTGGATGAAGTTCATTTGGATTGTCTCTGCTGTTTATGTGTCCACTGTTTGTTTTATGTGCTCAGTTTCTGTTGTCACTCAAGTTGGATTTGTACAAAAATAGTCTTATATAAGTTTTGGCAATAAAATTAAAACTTCTTGGAACTATATGAAGCTTAAGCCTTTTTTTTTCCTGGAAGTTTGATCATGAATTTACCTGCCTTCAGTCGAATAACCTTTATGATTATAGAGCCACTGTAAGTGTCAGTGCAGTCTTTATAATACACTGTTGTTCTGACAGCTTTATTTTAGGAACTATGTGTGCTATAAACATGATGGCCAGTAGAAGGTAGCTTAACCAGACAAGCTGTTAGGACCAGGATCTCCACAAACCATCAAATCTGTTCATGTTTGAAACTGTCTCTCAAGTTCAGATCATTCACTTCCAGCCTCAGAAGTTTTTATTGTAAAGAAAAAGTAATCCATCAAATAATGTCAGTCACATGACAACCAAAGCTTACCTGTTTAGATAAAAAAAATAATTATCAGGTGTGCACATAAAAAAGGGGCATTGAGTGAAAATCTGAGCCGAAAAACTGTGTTCTTATCTCCAATATGGGTCAACACAGTGTTCTGGAACCCCATTTTCAGAACCAAACATTCATCCCCTTGTATTCTCAGACCCAATCATTCCACAACCAGCACTCTGGAACCAATCATTCCAGAGCCCAGCATTCTGGGACTCAACATTCCAAAACTCCAGTGTTCCTATAACCCGGCATTCTAGAACCTGTATTCTTGAACCCAACACTTTGGTGTCAAACATTCCAGAACTCATTATACCAAAGTTTAAGATTATTTTTTAAAAAAGAGAAAAAAAACAATCGTCCATAACTCAGTGTTCTTGACCCTGCATTTTGGAGCCCAATATTCAAGAACCAGCATTTCAAATCCAACATTCTAGAACCAAGCAACGTGGATCCTATCTCATTTTGGAACACAATTTTTCTGGAAACCAGCATTCTGAAATCCAGCACACATGAACATAGCATTTTGGAACCCAATATTCTGGAGCCCAGCATTCTAGAACCCTGCAGTCTTGAATCCAGTACCCCAGAAGTAATTCTTTTTTAAGTTATAAAGTCTATAAAATGGATTTTTGACCAGAAAAAAGTCCCATTCCTAGATTGGCTTCCAACCACAGGGTGGATGCAGCTGCCATGGACACAGCCCACAGTTCAGGATTCTGGGCCCACAGATTGAAATCAGTGTGCCTGGGTTGTAACCTGATAGTACAGATCTACACACGTCTCTTTTTTCCTCACCTGACTCCAGGGGGTACGGTAACTTACTCTTGTCACTCACCATTTTAGAGCATTCTGCTGCAGCTCCTGTTATATAACCTGTTGATTTATAGCTTTAAGATATTTATGTCAATGTGAAGACAGAGCAAAGAAAGCTGTAAACCCAGATCTACCGTCTCTACACTGAGCTAGGCTAACTGGCTGGTAAGACTGAGTTTATGTGAACTGTGCTGATAGGACAGTGTTAAAAATCTGAGACAAAATGTAAAGTTTTCCTCTCCTAAAAGCTAGACACTTTATTAAAAGACATTCTAAAGCTTTAAGAGGTGTTTACAAACCATGTATTAAAACTATAAGACTCATCCAAAGTAGTTTATGGATTGTTATTAATCTATACCGTGCTGCATTTTTCCCAAAGGCCCTGTGGTCAGGATTATGTTGACAGGGTTTTTATTAAAAAGTCTCCTCCTCCAACAGAATGATAAACGTCAACACGCTCCAGATTGAGACAGCAAGTTTAATCAAGAGGAAATGATGCCAGTGAATTTTATCGTTATGACTAAGCCGTGTACAGGTGAGTATATCACTACTGAGGGGGCGGGGCATCATGTCACTGCTGTTACTGCAGAGTTTATTCGGTCACAGAGGGTTTGATGGGGCTGGGGGGGCTGAGATGCCTTGGGGGAGGCAGCTGCCATGTTCCAGCAAGTCAAGACACTTTGGTTGATGTAGCTGCATCTGCTCCATCTGCACACACACAAACTCTGTCTAACACATGCTGTCAAAGTTATGTCTTCATTCTCTGCAACTACACAATTTTATTCTTACATTGTTTTGACATTTAAATCAAGTGTCTTCCAACCAGATGATTATCACCGACACCACTCTGAAAACCAGCAAAAAGCATTCAGAAGTTTTAGGGTAAGTACTGAACTGCAGTTTGTGTTCAGTTTTGGTACTTTCAACTATAAACTTTTTTTTTTAGCTTGTCATTTCACACGTGCCTGTCAAAAGTGAGTTGAAATATACTATAGAGACATGTTTTCTTCACTTTTTAGAAGTTGGCTATGCAGAAAAAACAGACTGTGTGGACAGCCACCAAAAGAAGGTAGAACAGGATCCATGAGGATTCGGTCTTGGCTGAAGTCATTAATGATATGAGGAGAATTTATCTTTCTCTATAGCAGTGGTTCTCAAGTCCAGTACTCAAGGCCCACTGTCCTGCATGTTTTGGATGTTTCCCTGCTCCAACACACCTGATTCAAATGATCAGCTCGTTAGTAAGCCATTACAGATCTTGATAATGAGCTGATCATTTGAATCAGGTGTGTTGGAGCAGAGAAACATCCATAACATGCAGGACAGTGGGCCTCAAGGACTGGACTTGAGAACCACTGCTCTATAGACAAATATCTGCATGAGGGTGAGTTAACAAGATCAGACACTGACATGGGAGTGAAAAATCTGCTTGATACTGAGTCACTAGAGCCTGTTAGCATTTAGATTTCCTGACTCCCCTGAATCTGTCAGTACTAATGATAATTTAGTGCTTACATTTTACATTTAGACATTTATACCAGCTTGTGATTGAGTTGAAGCTCTGAGGGCGGAGACAGAAATTCCTTTACAGCAGTTTTACCAGACTGACTCTCCTTAAAGTGTGAAATAAAGTTTTCTTCTCGATCCTGAAGGTGGGCCTGTGTTTGATGGACAGAACTTTGTTTGCTTTATAAAACTATTATTCACTCAACTCATCATCATGGACGTTTATAAGTGCCTGTCTGCCTCGGTTTGTGTCATCACAGAGTGAAAGTCATCATCAGTCATGATAATGAACATTTCCCTCTCACGGTGGTCCTAAGAGAACTCTTTTTATGTTTCTTTGGAGGTCTGGATCTTTATGACACCATTCTGCACTGCTAGTTAACCCTGAAATGACCACAGTAACTGCTGGACTGAAGCTTGGATCCTGTAAAACTTTGAGTTTAACCCATTACCATACCTGCAGAGGTGAGTAGTTCACATTCTTCATACTGGGCTGGACACCGTTACGGTTTATCCTGAAGTTGCCTCTGAACTCAGCAGCTCATCATGATGCAATGTGAGCCAACATGTTTAAAACAAACCTTCACACATCCATCACACGCCTCTGAGGGCCCCTGAGCGCAGTGTTGGACTGGCCATGTGAAGCTGTCAGGCCTGCCACAGTCTGAAGCGCCACAGGGAGCTTACACTGATGATCCACATGACAAGTTCAAGACAACTTCATACCGGTGAGCTCGTCTTTGTAAGTGTCTTCAAAGGCTGGTACTGTAACATTCTGTACAATGCAGGATGTGAGAGTTTGAAGATACAGTCAAACAAAGAATAACAGCATGAGGGCTTGTACTTTTTTTTTTTTTTTTTACATCATGAGACTTAGATAATAACTTCGAACTGTGATGGTGCACAGCTGACGGCAACATGATTGTGCAGCTTGACTAATGTGTAATCAATTAAGTCTTGCTCCCAAAATTCTGACTCAAGGTATGGAGAGATGGCGCCAAGGCTACACATTTTTAAAGTGGTTGTATTTTTGCAAACTGAGAAGAACTATTCCATATTTTAAGTGATTTAATGGGTCAGGTGTCAAAGGAAGACACATCTGTGTGTCACCAGTATAACAATGAAAAGGAATATTCATTGTGTCGCTGAGTTATTTGGCTGAGAGGCAGCATTTAAATAGAAAATAAAATGGGACCTAAAACTGTGCCATGGGGTACTCCACATGGGATGTAAGGAGCCCAGGAAAACTGGAGGGCTGGTCCCCTGGAGTGTGCTCACTCTTTGTGAGTATAAATTGCTCCCTGTCTCTCTCTCTCTCCTTGTCTCAAAATCTAAATCCATGAAACAACAGCAGATGATATCTTTATTGCACGCGCTGTGCTGCTTGACAGTTTGTCTTACAGCAATTCATCACAAGCAAAGTTATGTTGGAGTTTATTTTCAACCATTGTTGAGTTTTTACCAATTAAATGATCAACATTTTGATTTTAGCCATGATAGACATTATCTTTGTATAGATGACAAATAAACAGCCAGCAGACATAGAAGTTCTGACTATTGCTGCACAGAACTTTGTAAGTGTAGGAGCAGCTGCCTTTTGCACACAATTTTATCTTCAGTTGTTACCTTTATTTGCAGGCTCAATGTCATTAAAATATACTTAATGACACAAAATTATAAAGGTAATGGTTACACTTGAGCTCATAGGCACAACATTTGACATTAGGGTCCAAATCGTTGTCCCCATGAACTCCTCCCTCTGTTTCCACACAACGTGAACCTGGTGCCCCTTTAATATTTCCCTGCCCCTGCCCTCAGACAGTCTGAGTCTACTCCTGCTTCTGTCAACTTTACCAGATTACTGCAGATCTCACATAGTCATTTTGTCTCCAAGTATATTTTCTTTATTAATTTCTGGATTACTGGAGAACATGTGGGAGCTGTGGTTCTGTTAGTGTTCCACAGGGCTGGGCTCTGCTTGTGTCCAGAAGTGTCTGGGCGTGCAGCCGTGTGCTGTTTAAAGCCTGTTGGTCTTATGAAAATATGTTGACCTGCGGCAGGAAGCGCCCTGTAAACTGCCAGTCTGGTACTGGCGTTGTTGCTGCCTGGCTGTGTTGTTTTACACAGAGCTGTCTGCAGACAGTGTGCCACAGCAAACACCAGCACCAGTCTCTTCCCATACAGTATCAGCAGCCAGGCCTGGTGTCAATCCAGCACACTGCCTCTCTGTATACATGCAGCATGTGTCAAATAAACAAGTTTCCAAAATGTTTTTACCTGCATTTGAGACCTGAAGGAATTCATTGGCAGTGAGTGAAGAACAATGGGCAATGATTATTTTCTTTCCTGCAAAAAGGTGCATTCAGGGCCTGTTGAGCTTTTTTGGGTGCAAAGTAATCGCATCAGAAATGTACATTTTTTTTTACAGTTTTAATACAGAATATTGTGATGTAAGGCTAAGTATGACAGTTGGCTGTGAACCTTGAAAGCAGCAGAGGAAAAGGTTGACCTTGTTTTGTAGCTTTTAACCATCAAACTTTCCCCATTGACGTTTATTTATAAAATATAATTGAAACCTCTAAAAATGTGTCTGTTATTTTTAGAGAGTTAACCGTTATCTGGAGGAGTTCAACAATGGAAGCAACCCACTGTTTCAACAGGTTCAAACAAGCTGTTCAAACATTAAAAGGATCTTTGCTTATAGAGCCTTAATTCTAGTTTCCATTTAAAATATTCAGGCTGACTTAATTTAGTGATTTTAAATACAAGAATATATAAGAATAAAAGTGTGTAATTGCAGAGAATGAAGACATTGCTTTGACAGCATGTGTTAGACAGAGTTTGTGTGTGTGAAGGTGGAGCAGATGTCCTTTCTAATACAGGAATGACAGACTGCACAGTGTCCAACAAAGAAAGTTCATGTTTTTGATCCTTCAAGAATAAAAGGGAGAAGTTTAGCAGAGGCATGGTTTCACAAAGAAAGATACTCCAATGTTCGAACCATTAATACAATGAACAATGAGAAAAACTATGTTCAGCAGAGATCGACTCTGAGGCATTTATGTTATTTACTCAAGAAGCTCTGGTCTGCTGGTATCAGAGGAGCAAAACTGAGTTGAATACGAGAATGAAACAGCTCTTTCTTTGTCTCTTTAAATTGTTGCTGTTTTCTGTTTCCTGCTTTCTTAAAAGTCCATACAGGCCGGATATCCACATGCAGCACAGGGCAACTGAAATGAATGAAACTATGTTTGACATATCACAATGAACCATTAAGAACAGGTAAGCAAGTAGACTGCTTAGCACCTGCCCACAGCACCAAAACTACTCCCAAATGGTTTGCTCACCCCAAACATAAGGCCGTCTCAATAACTCTTAGTATTATTACTTAAAATAATATGATCACTGAATAAAAAAAAAACTCCATCAAATTAGTTAAATGTAAATGTTAGCATTTTTTCAGAGAACCTGGTTTTAACATCTACTTGTATCTGTTAACATTGCAGACCTGCCCTATGTAATATGGCCGACGCACTGATGTACTTCAGCAGAGGGAGAACAAGCTGATGTAGCACCAATGTTAATATGTTTGTGGCTCATATAATGTAAAAAAGGTGGTAACTGTAAGTTGGAGCGTCACTGTTTTTTCTCTCTCTCTTTCTGTTTTTAACGCTTTAGACAATGTTCCAAATAAAATTCCCTATCTATGCACAAACAGATTCACTTTTAAGAAGTTGAACATTTCTGTATTTGAATCTTTTTGTTGATTGAGCTTAAGTCTTATTCTAGTGACTTGAGATTCTAGATATGAAAGCTTATCCTTCAGTTCTTACATAAACTTTGTAAGAAGCCGATCTTCAGAGGAATGTTTTCTGGAGCTTCCGGGTACTTTTTATTAAATGATCTGTAACTTTTCACAGAAGGAGCAGCAGCTTATGTCAGACATATCTGTGATTTATGTTTGGAATCGGGTTTGAGGCCTCATGGCAGCCTGTCTGAGTGAATTATGGGAGCAGTTAATGGAAGTTTCCCACAAGGACAGGAACACAGGCTCAGGTTCCCACTCAGCATACGACTCCATAAAGATTAGCCGAGTAACATCCAGAACAGTGAATGAACCAGATTTTAGTATGACCCCAGACTCTGGTCAACTTCATCCTCCGTGTTTGGCCTTTTTCACACTGTAAGTCATTTTTAGTGCACAGTCCTTGTGACCTTTTCTTCTCTGTGGAGGACCGTGGAAGCTTGGATCTTATCTTAGTTTTTGCAGAGTGGATGGAGCGCATTCTGTGAGAAATAACTGCATTTCAGACAATTCAAATAATGCCAGTAAAGAAAATATTTCTGAAAAGTTGTAAAAGGAGGGTTGGTTTATGAGCAACTGATGTAGAATTATGGCAGAAAACTTTAAAACAGCAAGGATACACTATTATACAGAGTTCAAAGATCATTAGTTAGAGAAGCCTGCTACAAAATCAGAATTAATTCAAATGCAAAAGGTCCACAGCAGCAGACACAAACCTGCAAAAGCAGAGAGCACAAAACTGGTTAGTACCACAACTGACACAGAGACAAAGAGAGGGCTTTCTGGGAACATTATTCGTGCCATGACAACGTACTGTGGTCATGCAGACTGTCATGTTGTGGGTACAACACATGCTTCCATTTAAAATACAGCAGATTGAAAATGACACACAGAAGTAAATACATGTCCACAAACATGATTAAACATTCAACGTAGACTGCTGTGGTTTGAAATGATCACCACCTCCTCAGGTCTGCCTTTAAGGTTTATTCGTCTCTGTTCGGTTCACTCTCTCTGCTCTCATCAGCTCTGTTTTATTCCACCTCTAGCAGCTATTATCACTCATTTGTAAACACAGAAAGGGAAAGAAAAGGTGAATAACAGTAAAAATATGTAAAATTAACAACAAAAAAAAATGTATACAGTCAAATAGTAGATAGCACTGCAAAATAACTGTATGTTTGTAAGTTGTAAAAACAGAGATATTGCCCAGAAGACAAGAAGTAAAGTGTCCTTTTCTGAAATATTTTAATGTCAGTGAAATTATATGCAGAGTGAAAAACTTGTGAAGTACTGTAAAAAATCAACATTGCACTGTTAAATGCATATCACACAGATTGTAATGTTTACTGCAAAGTTAAAAGTTTTCAAATATTACTTAATTAAAAGTAGAATATGTAGTTAAGTTCTGTGTATTGCAAAGACAAAAAGATGCACTGCAATGGTTGAACGATGCACTTTTGTAAAGTGCAAATTCACTGCAAATGGCAAAAACGTATACTGCACAGAAAATAATGTTAACGGCACCGTAAGGATGAATAATAATAAAAGTTAGTTCGAAAATATGCAATACACAGTGAGAGAAAACTGGAGCTGCACTGTTTAAGTAAAAGTAATTCTGCACAGTAAAATAATGCGTAATACACAATAAAATAGTCTAAATTTCACGGAAAAAGGAATGAATTGTATGGTAAAAAACGATAGCTTCCCTTTAAAAAGAACTGAAAGGTAAATATGTTTATGCAATATTACATGAACGAAATAGATTTATTAAACTAGTACTTTATTGAAAGTGAAACATGTAATTGCACAGTAAAAATGTCTAGTGTAGAGTAAAAAATACTACAGTCTGCAATGTAGAGAAGTATTTTAAACTCACAAAATCTCTTTACAAAATTTTCTTCATGATCTTTGATTTTTTTGGACCAAACTTTTGTATATTTTTGCAGTATGACTTAACTTAGTCCGACTTCTTAAATCAATTTTACACCAAAATAACCTAAACGAATAAATATTTAAAACCAAAGTTTGTAGAATAAAACGTTGTGATGAATCATATTTTTTATAGGTGAAATATTTTTGTAATTATTGTTTTAATAAAATGTTTCTCTACATTTCCACCTGGGATACATTCAGGTTCTACTTTTCAGTCGGTAAGTTATAAAAATTGGTTACTGCTTCCATAGAGTGCCAGGACGTTTCTTTAAAAATAAAAGCAGACATTTTGTGATATTTGGGGAAAAGTTTAAGTCATACAAGTTTAAACTTGTTATTTCATAATGACGTCTTTCTTACACAAATAAACTTTAAGAATAAAGCATGAAAAGCGACTCTGACTGTAAACACGCTCAGAATCAGAAATTCGGCCAAAGCTGTTTTGTTTTGTGTTTTATTGTGAAGGTAATAACAGGAAGTTATAGGTGCAGTAGCACGGGTTTCTTGTCGTGACCCTGATCAGAGAGCACGAGAGCTGCAGCAGGTCCGAGCTGAGTCTCTGCAGATATTACAGTGAGACAGTCTGCAGCTCTGACTGATGGATTAATCTGGAGCTTTTATTTCATCTGTTTCATAAAGGTACGTTTATTAAAATATCATCATTCAGCTACTTCACCTGAGCTTTGAACACTGTAGATGCTGTAAATATTCTGCCAAAGAGAAGTCAGATTATTCTGAAACTAAAAACAACTCATGTTTCCCTCAGTCAGTAAAAAATTAAAGACACTGATCACTGTTATTTCTTTAAACTACATTGTTATTGCAGCCGTAGATGCTGTTTTTGCACCGAATGTGAGTTCATTTGCAAAGTGCTGAGAGTTCACACGTGTGAGTCATAGAAATCAAGCAGTAACATGGTCAGGTTAGGTTATAGGCGGCTGCACTGTTATAGCAGCATTACTAAAGAGCTGTCAGAATATGTCAGAGAATACTTCATCATGTACTTTGTGCTAAAAGCAGAACTTTGACTGACATGTGGGATTAAAAACAGGAGATGGTGCAATTGAAAGACAACTACATGCTTTAATGAAAAAAAAAAACATGAATAAAACAGATGCAATAGAGCTACAGTAAAGGTGTGTTCAGTCATGATATAAAGGCATTTCTGCAGTTTAATGTAAACAGTAGCAGCAGAACTGTTTACAGTAATTTAACAGTAACTGGTCACAATGGAGATGAAAGGTGCATTCCAGATTTATAATATCATTTGTAATTGTAATAAAGGCTGGTTAACATCTTCAAGCATGCTAAATGTACACATACAGTGGCCCTGAAGGTCAACTGCACAAACACTTGTGATATTTAAGTGTATGTAACAAAGCATCCTACAAAAGACTAAAATATTTCACAAAATTAAAAAGAAAACTAAACTTAGAACATCATTCATTGAAATATGCATAAAGTAAGTGACTCTGAACACTGAAAGGATTCAAGAGTTACCAATATAACACCACTTGTGATCCTATTCTTGCCTTTTTTTTTCCAGCCCTTAAAGTTGATGATGATGATGATGAAAATGCATCCTACCTGACGTGTCCTACACCAAAAAAAATATTACTTTCAAGCAGTTAGGGTTAAATAAAAGCCTTTTTGTGTGTTTTGCATTAAAAATATTAATGGCAAGATGTACACTAACTGCTGTTTAAAGGGTGAAAACACCAAAACATGATTTAATATTTTGTATTTATGAAATTATCTGATTGACTGAAAATGACAAATAACTTTGCTAGTAGTTCTAGAGGAGCATTTTACATGATGCATTTAATTATAAAGCAAAAATGAATTACTCGAGCGCCATTCTTCTGTCATGCTTTTTGATTTGCATGATTTCCTACAGTGAGTGTAACAATGATTAAAGAGGGATAATAATAACAGTTATGCAGGGATAATGGAAAGAGAGCATAAAAAGCTTTGTACAAGCACGTTTAAATGTGCTGCTTTGTACTGTGCATTGTTTAACATGTGTATTCTGGCTGCAGCTGCACGATTTAATCAATGTCAAGGTACAATGACAATATCAACAGTAGTAGACGCTATCGTAATATTAACATCAGGAGCCATGGTGGTTGCAGTTGCAGCAGAACCATTTAAGGCATCATTTAAGCTATCTCCAGTTTCTGCAGTAGTAACAGTAAAAAGTAAGTACTAGGGGCACCAGCAGGGGTAAAGGTAACAGTAATATAATGTTAGACAGCTGCTGTGTGACCTCACCTGAGACAGGGAGCAGATACCTAAGCTCTCTGACTCATAAACCTGCCTCCTGAGAGGAAATCATTCATCATCTGTGAGCTAGGTGTCTCCCTCTAGTGTTGATGTGAAGTCACTGCAGAGTTGGGTAAGATTGATGCTGTGAAATAACTTCAGAGTTAAAAAAAGATGCAGAGTGTACCTTTAATGCTGCTGTAATTCCATTTGTGTTTCCCCAGGTTGAGCAGCAGGACTGAACCATGACTGTGTGGTGGATCCTGAAGGTTTTGATTGTCACCTTGACCCTGCTGAGTCCAGCCAGGAGCCAGAAGAGGAGGAGGAAAGGTCAGAGAGATGACAACCAGGTTATCACTAATCAGGCCAAAAGTAAGTGTGCAGAGCGAATTAACAGAATCTGAAAAACACATGGATCTGAGTATGATATAAGAATATATCATACGTATCATAAATGTCATATAAGAAATTTGACTAAAAACACTGAATTCTAATTTTGAACCCTTAAATCTCACCTTACATAAGGATTCTGACTTTTATCAAACTATTTCATATTTGTCTGTATTCCAACCTCAATACTGGAATTCTGACTTTGATTTAGGATGTCCGACTTAAGCCCTTCAATCTTGACCTTAATCTCTGAATTTTACTCCAGCCCCAGAATTCTGAGTGTAAAGGCACATTTCTGACTTTTTCCACAGTCTGAGATTTAATTCAGAATCCTAAATGAGACAGTCTAGAGTTTGAGGATGTCCTCCTCTTGAAAACACTCTGTGGTTGAAAATTGAGCCTCATGTTTGTTTTAGTTATATTTTTGGTTGTGTTTGCCATCGTTAGATGTGACAGCTGAAACAGAGACAGTAAATGTGGGAAGTAGAGAGTCAGGAGCAAAAGTTCATGGAATCAAACCACAGACCACCGTGATAGTGACGCTCCAACACTGTGAGGCCATCAGTAGCCTAGTCCTGCACTTCGAAAACTGTCTCTGTACTGAATCTCGTCATGTGTTATACTAAACTACTGAACCAGCTGTCCACCTCCCTCTGAACGTCTGTTACCTGAATGTTTTTCCTCCTTCTCAGCTCTGATCTGCCCGGTGGAGATTATGTTCATCGTGGACAGCTCAGAAAAGGCCACATCTCTGGTGTTTGAGCAGCAGAAGGACTTTATTTTGCGTTTCAGCACTAAGCTGATGCAGCTGCACTCACCTGGCTGGCGTCTGCGCCTGCGCCTGGCCGCCCTGCAGTACAGCAGCACCGTGTCTGTGGAGCATAACTTCAGGGACTGGCAGGACCTGGACGTCTTCCACAGCAGGGTGGCTTCCATGACCTTTATCGGACACGGCACCTACACAGCCTACGCTATCGCCAATGCCACACAGGTGTTCAGCAGAGAGACTTCCTCCAGCAGCCTGAGGGTGGTGCTGCTCATGACAGACGGGACGGATCACCCACGCAGCCCCAGTGCCATGACAGCTGCTGCTGAGGCCAAACAACACAACATACGGGTGTTTACCATTGGGCTGACAGGTCTGCCCAGAGACGGACCCATGGGTGCCAAACTAAGATCCATCGCCAGCGCCCCCCCTCAGCAGCACGTGTTCAGCCTGACTGAGGGCCACCTGGACAGCAGACTCTTCAACGAGCTGGTGAGACAAGATTGTGTTAGGGTTTGAGACACTATTTGAGGTACTCGGATAATGTTTCACCAGGAAGTAAACTTAACCACCATGTTCAAAAGTGAAGCCAAAGTGGAAATGCCTTTACGTTGCATTCTTTCCAATGATCAGCAGGGGGCAAGGGTAACAAATCATGCTGTTCTGAATTCAATGAAAAAATTGTGGATTAAATGACAGGCAAGCTGGCTGCTCACCGTGAACTAAAACTGAGACTTTATTCCTTTATACTCCTAATATTATGACTTTAGTACGACTATATTTTTGTGACTTTTTTGTAACTTTTGTGATCTGTTTTGTGACTTTGATTTTGTAACAGAACATTACAGAGACAGCAGCTAAATCTAAGTGTTTCAAACTGAGGCTAAAATAAAGACATTTTTATATCAGAGTGAAAAACAGGACGTTTTTTTTCCTCAGAAACAAGTTACAATTCTGAATTAAAGTCAAAATTCCGACTTTTTGTCTCAGAATTCTGACATTTAAGTCAGAACTATGATATTTCTCAAAGTTTTCTTACACTAATTTAGCGCCCCTTTAAACATAAATGATTGGATCTTGAAAAATAGTAGCAGAAGTTTACCTTGTAACATGCTCAGAATCTCTCTGTCTTTTTTTTTTTCAGAACATAATCGTAAAATCTGGGGTAAGTACTATCACATCTTTAATTATAAAATACTTTTCAAATGAACAGATCCAACAGATGGGCTGAAAAACTTGTTGGTATGGTAATAAAAGTTTGTCCTGTTTCTGTGTTTCAGTGCCCACAGCCAAAGACGTGTCTGTGTGAGAGAGGAGAGAGGGGTCATCCTGGAGCACCAGTGAGTTTATTACTGTTCATTCATATAACTCAACCTTATTGTCATATCTCTTCTGAATCAGCCTACCTGCCTCACACTTACCTGATTCCTCATTCCTTTCCTGATAGATCGAGCTCAGTCCTGAGTTCAGAAACAGACGATTAAAAATGACAAATTTTAAAACTTAATGAAAAATACATGTTCAGTTTGAACCTGATGCGAACGTAACGTCGCAAAACAAAGTTAAAACAAAGTCATGTTTCCCATTGTGTGTTATCAGCTCTTCTCTTCCCAACACTCTAAACCTTAGGGAAGGCAGCAGACCAGCTTCTGGAGTCTGAAAGTCAAATGTTGTCCCATTCTTGCCTGATAGAGGATTTCAGCTGCTCAGCAGTTCAGGGTCCTCTTTTGCCCTGTTTTTAGTGTCATGATGCTCCAGATGTTTTCAATGGGGGACAAGTCAGGCAGACCAGTTTCTCAGAAGGACTCTTCTCCTACAGAGCCATGATGTTGTAATCCCTGTTGCCAGAATGTGGTTTGGGATCATATGAAGGTCTTCCCTGAAAAAGGTCTTTATCTGGATGGCAGCAGATATTGCTCCTAAACCTGGAGATATTGTTCATTCATTCTTCTGTACCACTTATCCCTTCTGGGGTTGCAGGTGGGCTGGAGCCTATCCCAGCTGTCACCAGGCGAGAGGCGGTACACCCTGAATCGATTGCCAGTCAATTGCAGGCCCACATAGAGAGACACACAACCACTCACCCTTACTCTCATACCTAAGGGCAATTTAGAGACACCAGTTAACCTAAGGAGCATATTTTTGGTCTGTGGGAGAAAACCGGAGTGCACGGGAAGAACATGCAAACATCACACAGAAAGGCCCTGCCCGACTCGAGGATCAAACTGGTGACCTTCTTGCTGTGAGGCTCATGCACTACCTGTTGAGCTACCATGCTGCCCCACCTGTAGATATTGTACAGCATTAATAAAGCTTTCACAGATGTGGAAGTTACCCATGACATGGACTCTGATGATCCCCATACTATTAGGGAGGCTGGATTTGGACTGGGAGCTGAGAAAAAGCCAGATGGCCTTATCAGAGCAGAGGATTCAGTGTCCATGATTCCTAAATCCTTTTCTACCTGGTTTCCTCTTTGCATGGTACCATCAGTCTTGGTTTTGGTTCTTGTCCCTTTAGTTCAGAGATTTTTCCAGATTCTCTGAATCTTTGAATGATATGATGTTCTGTAGATGATAAAATCCACTCATTCTTTCACATTTGACAAACAGGAACATTATTTTGAAACTGTTGAACTATTTGCTCACACAGTCTCTCAGAGAGTGATGAACCTCTTCACATCCTTATTTTTAAGAGACTCAGCCACATTTGGTTGTTGCTCTGTTTTTGATTAAAGAAAGATTTAGAGAAAATTGCAAACCATCATTGACAATCGTGCTGGAAGTGGAAGTTTTAGATCAAGTGTTGAATGAGCTGGTTTCCTGGCCTGAAGCCCTGCAGATCTGTGGGTACAGCTCACCGTTCCTTTGGTCTCAGGGAGCCCGGTAAGCCTCACACAGCAGCCTGTTATCCCTGCACAGCTGGGGAGCCTCACCACCCGGGCTGGTGGCCCCCATCAGCAGGTGCATCTGGACTGCATCCAAAACAACTATGGGGGAAAGAAGTGAAAGAGCAGGAAATGTTTCCCACAATGCAAGTGTAGCAGGTGGTGAGAGTGGCAGCTGAAAGCGCTGTTTTCACTGCCGCCGGTGCTGACGGGAGGCGCTCAGAGGGAAGCAAAGGTCAAGGACGGAAGATTAAACCTGAACAAACACTGAGGCTGCCATGATCTGAGAACCTGCTGCACCAAGGAGGGGGTTTATGTTGGACCGGGGTCACAGACAGGTCACACTGAGAATGACCTACCTCACCTATGACTATACACACACCAATCCAAACTGTAGAGGGGCCCAAATATTCTCATTCATCTCACACAACCTCTCCTTTACTCTCATGCAGGGAAAACCAGGCGAGCAGGGGTCTGATGGAGCTCCAGGTCCAAAGGGATCCCGTGTAAGTCTCCATTGTCTCAGTAATCCAGGTAACAGAAAGAATCTATGAGGTGTTGTTTGATGAGATGTTTTGTCTGCTCTCGGTCACTGCAGGGGGAACCTGGACTCAACGGCCGACCCGGGATAGAGGGCCTTGCGGTAATCATCAGATACTTTAGCCTCAACTATAGTCATGATTGAAAATAATCCTAAAAATAAACCATATCTATGATGGGGACTCTGCTTGGACTTGGGCACAGGTGATTAGGACTTGACTTGAATTCTTCTCTGAAGACTTGTCAGTAAAACCAGATCTAATACAGGTGTTAGGAGTTACTAATCAGCTGTTTTTACCCTGTAAACAGTATGTATGTAACTTAGGGAAACACTTGGCTCCCTGTTTCCCCTTCTCTTTGGCTTAGCTGGACATCTCCAAAAAATGAGTGGATGTCAGTAACATCATGGTTAGTGATAGTCTATTCTTTAACAAACATTTTGGAAACTTTTAAATACAAGAAAACTTATTTTCTTCAGGGTCCATCAGGCAGCAATGGAGAGAAGGTATGTCATGTTTTATGATTACTTATCATGAATAATTTCTGCCAGATCCAGGTTTTAGATAAAGATAATAGTCTGCAGCTTGATCAGAGGTGTTGAGATATTTTAGCTTCACATACTGTATCTGATATTTTCTGATTTTCTCTAAAGGGTGAACAGGGTGAATGTGGAGCTCCTGGTAAAAAGGGAGAACAAGTAGGTTTCCAAACTGTTTCATTTCCCATTTCATTTCCCACAATGTCTTGTTTGTTTAGGAGCTGCATTAGAATAAATCATTTATCCTGCTTCTCCTCAGGGTGCGAGTGGATCTCCTGGACCCCGAGGTCTCAGAGGAGAGACGGTAGGATCTCTGATATCGTTATCATCTTTTGTACACAATATGGAAGTTGTTTGTATGCCCTAACCATGTGGTTAAACAGGGATAAATGTTTACCTCTGGCTCTGACACAACAGAAACACTTGAGCAAATACAGCAAATCTACCTCACTACAGAAGTGTTTCATATGACATTTAGAGGTTCTGTCAGGCACACCACAAGGAAAAATAACACTTTGAGCACAAAAAACTGAAATATCAGCTTTTTAATTGGGTTTATTGAGATCATTAAAACATTGGGCACACCCTGCAGTTCTGCCCAGTAGGAAACAGTTATGTTACACGAAAGTCTGACTTAAAAAGACTTCAGACTCCATATTTTTTGACTTAAGGAACATAAAGTCGAAAAGCAAAAAAACCCAACAAAAATCTGGTTAGAAACTCAACAGACATGAATGAAAAGACAGAGAAAAATGTTTCAAATAATAACAGTAAACAACATGTGCAGCAGTCTGGAGAAACGATTCGTTAGAAACTGCAGTTCCTCAACTGTCCACCAGAGGGTGGTTCCAAACATACCAGAAGCCACATACACACTCATTTAAAAAGCTAATTTTTCACAGCAGACGTAAACGACTGTAAGAGAGGTGAATTTTTGATGATGCATTCATTCAAAAAATAAGTTCTGCAGCCTCAGAGGCTTGACAAATGCTGCTGTTAGCTAGGAGGCTAAAACAGAATGCCTCCAAGCCTGTAGGGGGTGCTAAATGACACATCCTTTTTGCTGATGAGACAAAGCGTAAGACCATCATATTGTTAACTACATAGACTGTATATACTATGGACAACTTGGTTCTGCCTCCCGCCTGTGTACAGATTTGTAGCCAAATAGCTCTCGGTATATCCGGGATTTTTCTCTATTTCCTGAAACCAGCGCTGCGCAGTAGCGATGCGCACATTCGGGCGTGCAGTCACCGGGAGTCGCTGTGATGACCCTCGGCTCAAACAGCGTATCCCCCGGGAGAGCTACGCAATCCCTGAACGCCCATAGGCTGTATCAAGTGTCAATTATAGAAAACATGAACCCCCTAATAGCTTTTAAAAACGGAGCTGTGCAGAAAAACGAGGACTTGAGCACAAACCAGTCTTTCTGTAACTACATGTCAACATCACAAGCAGGGGGGAGAAAAATTTATGTTCTGTGTAATAAATTTCTAAAGTTTGTCCACAGCTCCATAAACTTTGCTGGCGGAGGCGGGATTTATGACTTAAACTGCAGCCCATCAACAGAGGGTGCTGTTCTCGGAGTGGCTTCACTCAGCAAGGAGGCAGACTCTGTCCATTTTTTATACAGTCTATGGTTAACTATCACTTAAAGGGTCGGCAGAGGTAGTGTGTTTGACAATTATGTCCTGCTAAACTTAACTAATGGAAAGACAGCTGTGCAGAAGCAGCTGCTGCAAACTGTAGGTTAGCTAAAGCTTAGGTTAGCTTTGGAGCTTAATTAGCCATGCAGCTAGCGCTATTAGCTACCTCATACCAGGCTAGAGTACAATGGCGTGCTGGTCTGATTCAAAAAGAGAAACAGTGAACTATTCAGACTGCAGACGAGAAGCTTACAGAAGATAGAGAGTTTTATTTCCTTATCTTTAATATTGTTAGAGAAATAGCCTCCAGAGTTTGATACAGAGTCATGAATAAAAATTTTCAGTGGATAAATCGTTTGTATGAAGCCTGAAAGGACTGATCTGTGTAGATTTAAAAGCCTGTTATTGTCTTCATGTAGGAATAGAAATATGAGATAGAAGCTTGATTTTAAAGGGTCATATCTGAGTAAGTGTGTGGTCAAGTTGGAGGATTCCTCCCGTCATCCTCCCATCCAAGCTGGAGCGATCATGACTGCAGTGAGAGCCGCACTCTCGGGGTCCGTCTCCCGCTCTGCACTTGTGGAATGTGAGCTGTGGATTAGGTCTTATCCCCCTCCTAATGTAGCCTTTTAAAGCGGGGGAATTCGAGCTTGTAATGTTTGGTTGTAGTTTTAGAGCAGACGTTGTCCCAGAGGATTAGGATTTGGGCACATGTTATACATTCCCTCTCTTCTTAAACGCTTGCTGCCCCTTCAGCTGTGCCAATCACCAGAAATGTCCTCCTGGTTTGTCCACAGTTCCCATGAAATGATACACACAATGTCAAAAATGATCACAGACCACATTTCACACAGTTATAGGAGCATGACCCATCAGCTGTGACTATACAGCTGTCATATTGACCTGAATATACGACAGTCCTTCCATCTAAAATACATAAGGAAAGGTTAATTGTCAAGGGTTAAAGCTGGAGCATTAGACTTACTAATGTATTGCAGTATCAGCTCTAATAATAAAACAGTATGACACTGTGACTGACTATAAAATCCACTCCATCCGTGAGACAGGCTGCTTTACGGTAATATTAAGTGCTTAATGTTAGAGGCATTTAGATCCAGTCTCTCAAACATGCAGGTAATCAATATTAATTTTGTGAAGTTGTGTTTTTTTTTGGTGTTGTTTGTTGACTACCTGAGGCCAATACTGACATTTTGCATGTACGTATATGAATATTACAAATACAGTATAAAGAAAACTTAATTTTTGGATTTTGGGAAGCAAGTGGAAATTTTTGGAGATGCTGAGTAAAGAAAAATTTGATGAAAACACTAAAAAAGTAAAGAGTTGATCATGAATAAACATTAAAACAACATAAGGATATACAGGGCAGCTGTGACTACTAAGGTAGTTTACCACCAACGAGGTGTGACTGTGTGAGCAAATGAACAATGTATCCAGTGTAAAGCGCTTCAAGGGTCTCTGATAAAGCGCTATATAAAATCTGATGCGTTATTATTAGTATTTAAAGACATTAGCAGTCCTGTATAAATGTAGAATTAAATGAAATTATAAGACCTTCCTATTAATATATTTCTCACTTACTATTCCTGACACGTCTTATTCTGTTGAACTGTGAGGATCCACCTACAAAATGACAATAAATTTAGTAGTTGTTCTGCAAAACTAGATAGATAGATAGATAGACTTTATTGATCCCAAACTAGGAAATTCTCAAAGCTAAGCTTCATTATCATTAAAATTGATTATTACGCCCATGTCATGAAATTAAATGGCTTATTTTATCACAAAATAATGCAAATAATGTTAAGGAAAGTGTCAAAAAGCTTTGTACAGGTGGTTTAGAAGCTAATAACAGTTAAGGATTTACCTGTTGCTATTTCCTTTACACTTTGGAAGTTTAACTTTAAAATAATAAAAAACAGATTAGCATTTTTCTGCTGCCTGCTCAGTTTCCCCCTAAAAACACAACTGTTAGGTTTATTTAAAGTGTACATTTAAAGCAGAAATCTGTGCTTGATGTGATTTGTTAGAATCATTTAAATCTTGACGTAAAGCCAAATCAATATACATCATGATTCCACTAACTGATCAATTTACACCAAATAGACGTAAATATATATTTTTAAAAATAATTGGCGACTGTGACTCCAAATTTTCATACTTTCACAGTCACATTAATAAGATGCTTACTTTAGTTTTGTGTTGTATGAGACGATGTGTGTTTGAGGTTGATGCAGAGCAATGTTCGCATCTGATTTCTCAGTTCTCTGTCAATCCAACAGAGGGCAGCAAAAGCCCACCCGGCAGGACCTCGCACTGTCAGCCTGATGCTTGAGAAGTCAAATTCTTTAAAATATTAAATAGGAAGATAATCTGATAATCTCTGTTTCAACTTAGTTTATAACTCTTTATTACTGATCTATTCTTCTTTCTATGAACATTCTGGTATTCTTATTGTCATGTTGAGTTAAATTTTGACTGCAATGACTAGATTTCTCCTGAGATGACAAAATTTGATCTGATTCTGATTTTAATTTTCTTTAATGCCTGCGTCCGTCTCAGGGAGTCAAAGGAGGATCAGGAGACCAGGGACCAGAGGGACCACCTGGATCTAAAGTAAGACCACATTAAGTCAGCATGTAGATAGATGAGGTTGAAAGGTGCACCTGTAATGTTTTTCTTTTCCTCTCCTAAAGGGTGATCGAGGACTTAGAGGGTTGCCTGGACCTCCAGGAGATAACGGAGTTGGCTTTCCTGGGCCTAAAGTAAGTGTTGCTTTCTTTGAGTCTGAATTCAGCAGGTGTCATTCCTTCTCTTCAGTTCATCTCCTTTCTTTAATTTTGTTTTTCAGGGTGACAAGGGGAACCAAGGAAGGCCCGGTCCTCCTGGACCAATGGGGAGGGGGGAACCAGGTACATCGGTGAGTTCACAAAACTAAATAAATCTAAGTAGATTCAGGGGAAAATGTCAAAAATGTGACTGAAAAGGTTCAAATACTAAAATACTTCATGTCTTTAGGGTCCAGCAGGGCCTCAAGGGATTCAAGGACCTCCTGGGTTTCCAGGGGAAGGTCTTCCTGGTCACAAGGTTAACTTCTGTTTCTTTTGAGTGTGTTCTCTGGTGTGCACAGATAACTTTTACATACGCTCATACTTCTCAGTGTTTGATATTTTAGTGCTTTAAAGCCTTTAAGGGAGGCAGCATATTCACATTTTACAGTCCTGTTTGCTCAAAAATTTTAGATTTAGAGTTTTGGAGTCCATCTAATGGCTTTAAATATGATGTTAAATCATACCTGCCAACACTCCTGTTTTTCCTGGCATTCCCCCGTATTTCAGACCTATCTCCCGCCTACCGGGAACCTCCCGTAGTTTGCATGGTCCACGTTCATTCATGAATCGGATCACCATATTTGTCCAAAGTTGCCAGGTTTCCAGACAACTGAAGTTTGTCCTGTGTTTCTGCTGAGCCTCACAGACACTGGATTGGGAAAGGGAAACAAATGTGAGATATAATATTTACGTCGATAGTCTTGCACCGTCTTGGAGTGATGCGTTCAGGGCAGCCTCAGATAAAAGAGTGCTGGATTGCACACACAGATGTTTCGAGAGCCTCATACGGGAGAGCATTTAAAACATATGAGGACTTAATCACTAATATTAGTGGACTGAATTAGTTTTGTATTAGTATTGTTAAAACAAAACAAAAAAACATCCCGGATTTTATAACTCAAATGTTGGCAGGTACTGTATGTGTTAAGTGCCTCTCACACTCCTAGTATTTTGTCCCTACAGGGTGAAAGAGGTTATGAAGGTCCTAAAGGAAGCCGTGGACCTCCAGGACTCGGGTATAAAGGTGAAAAGGTAAGGCTTATCATCAAACATGGGGAGATCTCATTGAAAAACTCTAAAGGATAACCTGTCTGACCTCTTACCACGCTGACCCTCAGGGAAATACAGGAGCTGCCGGGCTGCCAGGTCTGGTGGGGTTTCCAGGTGCAGGGATCCAAGGAGAAAAGGCAGGGGCACTAAAAACTGTTGAGTTAATAATCTTCATCTTGTTACCTTTGTCAATTTCATACCTTCTGCCTCTCTTTTAGGGGGACCTAGGGCCAGCTGGGCCTCCTGGTCCCAGGGGACCTCCTGGACTGGGTATAGTTGGACCAAAGGTAGTGTAACAATATCAGAGAAGAAATAACTCTCTGCCTTCTGATGGATTCACCTCCAAGGATTATGATGCAGACGTTCCAGCCTGTGTCACTGCTGTAGACCAAGACTGTCAATGAGAGAAAATCCTGAAGTTTTGGAGATCGTCATTTAAAATCCTCATAAAAATTATGACAAAGCCAATAGAAAAAAACTGACTCAAACTTTTCAGATCCAAAGTACCCCTTTACTGTTAAGTCACCTGTGCTTTTTTTCAGGGGGATCAAGGTTTTCCTGGAGAGCCTGGATCTCAGGGACAAAGAGGAGTTGGTGAACCAGGATCAAAGGTGAGACCGTCAGAGTTCCTCTGAATAAAAACACATTTAAAAAATGAGCTTAGAGATTTTTTTTTTTATTTTTTAGGGTGAGCCGGGGCCTGATGGAGCCTCTGGGATACCTGGTATTCCTGGTGAGGATGGAGCTGTTGGGCCAAAGGTGAGTCACTGAGGAAGGTCAAAGGTCACATTAGTACATTAGAAGTACCGTTTAACAACACCTTTTAAAAATCTTAGTTAATCACGAGTTTTCAGTGTTAATTGCTTTTAATAAAGTTCTTTATTATTAGCTTTAAATTCATAACTGTATTGTAAACTGTTTTCAACATTTTTATCCCATCAGATTCTTTGGGGGCATGAAAGTAGAACAGAAATTCACCTTTTTTTTATCAAAGACTTGAAGTTTCATCTCCATTTCTCAGTATAGAATAGAATAGAATAGAATGGCAGGGTATGGTACGGAATAAAAAAGAATAGAATAGAATTCAGTAATGTGTTTACTAATGCAAGAGCTTGCAGTGGCATTTGGTCATTGTTTTAGTTCATCAGAAATGACCTTGAGAGCTTTGTCTGCTCTGTTATTGTGTGTTTGCAGGGGGAGATGGGGTTACCAGGTGAGCGAGGCCCTGAGGGAGCACCTGGTAAGGGTATCCCAGGAGAAAAGGTAATCTTTATATGGAGCTGCTCATAGGTGTCAAGAAGTAAAGATCAGGAGCCTTAACATAAACAGCCAGCAGTCACAATGGTACATACTGACATACCTGTACCATCTTTAGCTCCGCTGAATTAAGTGTATACATGCTTACTGAACCCCTGTCCGGTCGTATTTACCTTTCAGAGCAAAGATATCTTAGAGATGTGAAATCACACATGCTGCAGCTTCTTATTAAAATCTCAGTAGTCATGAGCAGTGAAATGTGATGTAATTTTTAAATTTTCACAGGGAGACAGAGGCGATCGTGGGCCAAGGGGGTTGGCGGGGTCTCCAGGCCCAGCTGGACCTTCAGGAGCTAAGGTAAGTTAAATACAGGTTTGACCTTAAGGCTGAAGGTTAAACACAGTTGTCTGGCTGTGCAGGACCTGGTGGATATGTGACTAAAATGTTTCATTTACTGTCTTAACATTCAATTATGACTTTAGATTTTACCTGTGCTTTCTGAGTTTTTAGTTAATCACCCACTATCACACCTACAAACTAGAATGAGGACAATATTGCTTTCAATATTAACTCTATCTATCAAGTGCAAAACTTTCCTATCTTAGGCAACTACCACAAACTTAAATGATTTCTGCTCATGTCTGTAAATCCACTAATGAAAAAATACAATTAGATCATCTGCTCTAAAATTAACTATAATAACTTAAAAAATGTCATTAGTATACAAATAAAAATGTAGGGGCCAAAAACAGAGCCTTGTGGGACTCCACATTTAATGTTTGTATACACAGATGTAGCAGCAGGAAATTGTCTCTCAGATCATGTGTTCACATCTGGATCGTCTATCTCTGATTTGTTATGGACTCTGTTTTTCAGGGGGAACCTGGCAGCACAGGAATGATGGGCCCACCTGGACCTGCTGGGCGTGGCTTACCAGGATCAAAGGTGATGATCCCCATCACTTTCAATAAGACAACAAAAATGTCTTACCTCAACATGAACTGAACATTGTCTAAAGTTTTAGGACCAGTTTCTCGTGTTTACAGTCTATGTCAGTGTCCATGAATACAAAAATAGTAAGTTTGTTGTCCACCTCATAAAACAGGGCGATCCTGGGCCCATTGGACCAGCTGGACCTGTTGGGGAACCTGGAGTGGGAATCATGGGGCCAAAGGTAAAACCAACTGAAAGTACGATCCGCCAAATATCACTTAATTTGCAGACGACTGGGGACCAGACTGCAGCTGAGTCAGTATGCTGATATACTGTGCAGCACCTTTGAAAAACATACCTCTCAGTACTGTATGTGGACTCACCTGCAGACCAATATTGTTTCTTTGCATTTTTTCACAGTACTTTCCCTCCCCTGACTGTTTATCCTTTAGGGTATCAAAGGAAATCTTGGACCTGTAGGACCTCCAGGACTGAAAGGAGATAGCTTACCTGGACCACAGGTGAAAGGAAAAAGTCTTTAAATAATACTGAAAGATCATCCCTGGATTCACAGATCAAAAATGAACAAGATCTATAACATACTTTCTTTGATTTTTGGGGTTCCATTAGGGGTTACCTGGCTTACCAGGAGTGCAAGGAGAGGTGGGACCTGAGGGGAAAGGGATACCTGGACAAAAGGTGAGTCTGGAGGGCTTTTGTACAACTTTTAAAAACAAATAAAAGTCAACATGAGGGATATTTGCTTGAGTTCAGACTTTGTCTTTCAGGGTGACAGAGGCTTACCCGGGGTGCCCGGTCCATCAGGTCCTCCTGGAATTGGACTTTATGGACCAAAGGTCAGTGTGTATGTCAGCATTATGAAGGAAGTTTAACCATTTTTTCAAAAGAAACATTTTCCTTGAATATCATATTGAGAGTTGATCTGCAACCAATCTGTTTTGTTCTGCTTCTCCAGGGCTCTACTGGGCAGCCAGGTCCACCAGGCCCTTCTGGAAATCCAGGAGAGGGCATCCAAGGACCAAAGGTAGGCAAACCTCAAATAGGGCTAGCATATTCCAGTCAGATATTTTGCTTGGCCAGTTAGAGGCAAGGATGACCTGACTAAAAAGTAGCTGTAGCTGACTTACAATAGCTGTTTGCAAGTCAGCTTATGGCGCTTCAACTTTACCTCCTTACTTCACTGAAGGTCAAAAATTGAGTACAAATTTCTGGCATTATGTGTAGCGATGGGTTTCGAAACTCCACTTTTGATTTAAATGAGTGGTGTCACTGATGCTACATGCATGTCACACACAGTCTGTGGTAACAACATGAAGTCACTAAAGGAAGTAACTTGTGAAAGACCAAAACAGAAAGGTGCAGTTTGATCCTGCAGTAGTATAACATCAACTTTCATTTGACTGGTACAAGCTGTAAACATCCTCAAAGCTGCACTGTGCGCTCTAATCCTGACATCTACATACAGGACATAATGATCTAGATTGAAAGGTATTATTCAGATGTGACACAAAATTCATAATTCATAAACACCTTGCTTTTTTGAGCATAATGGCACAGCTTGTATGTACATGTCTTATTTAAATGTATGCAAACATCACTGGGGCACAGTGATGCTTGTTGCTGGACAGTGCCGTTTGTGGAGCATTTAAGCCTTTGCACTTTGTTGTGAATTGGGTTATATGTTTTGGCTTCCATCTTTAATCTTTAAATCAGTGCCTGGGAGTATTTCTTCAGTTAAAAAGACTCTTCTCTTGCGACTGAAGTCATGTGTTTCCTCGCTGTGGGTTAACTGACTGACGATTTAGTCCTGCAGGGGGAACTGTTGTCTTCTTTTAGTTGTCACCCTGTCCGCATGCAGCAAATTGATCAGTTCCTATTGGTAAAACTTCAGGACACTGTTACAAGATGCGACTCCATGCAGATGATACCATTCTCTCTTATTCTCAGGGGGAGCCTGGATTTCAGGGACAGATGGGCCCCCGAGGACCACCAGGGGACGGTCTTCCAGGGGAGAAGGTACAAACAGTTACAGCATGTGATCAGTTATGTGAATATGAATACATGAATATGAATGCCAGTGCACCAGAGTTGTTGTATTAAGACTATTTTCCTCTCTCAGGGGGACAGGGGCATCACTGGAGACCGAGGAAAGAAAGGCGACAAAGGAGACTTCGGAGAACCTGGATCTACAGGACAAATGGTAACATCTCCAAGTTGTTACTGGATAGTGCTTTAGCATTAAGGTTCAAGGTCTGAAGAAAACTTGGTGTTAATTGATAAGAATGTTTAAAATAAAGCACGTCAGACATTTTTAGGCTGAGATAGAGGTCATGAGGATCCACTGGACACTCAAACAAGTCATTACCAACAAGTCACTTTTTATTTATACTTAAAAACAACAGGATTTAACCACAAGTCCTTAACAGGAAATGCCAACAGGTGAGATTCTGCTTCTGAACAGGCATCTATAATTAAAGGAGCAGTACAAAAGTGTACAGGTTGTTGTTTGTAATGATTTGTACAATAAAGAAACAAGTACACAGGATGGTTGGTTTTGATTGTTGCTTTTTTAATGGATTTTATCTTGTAATGTGACTTCAAATTTACAGGGGAGACCTGGAGATAAAGGAGAACCCGGGCTGACGGTGAGTACATATACTGACACAAACACTGCTGGGCTTTATCTATTTATTTCTCATTAAGAAAAAAAAAAAAAAAAAAAAAACAATGTCCAAACCTAAAGAAAGCTTTTTGTCTGCTTTCTTTGCACAGAGGGATGAAGTCGTCAGGATTATCAGGGAAGTCTGTGGTAAATAGCATAATTTCAGTCTTACAGTACAAGTAAACTAGTTTGTGCTGAACAATAAATTATTGATTAAAGCTGAAGAATTATCAGAAACATCTTCAGCAGTAGAATAATCTTTTGTAGCAAACTGAGTTGAAGTTTGAAACGATTCAGCATTTATCGACCTGATGTTTTGTATTTTTTATGCATGTTGCGCCTGTGTGTTTAAACACTTGTATTTTGCACAATTTGTTCCATTCATCTCTGACATCTCCCCTCCCTCAGGTTGTGGTCTACGCTGCAGGCCGAGTCCTCTGGAGCTGGTCTTTGTCATCGACAGCTCTGAGAGTGTGGGACCTGAAAACTTTGAACTGGTGAAGGACTTTGTGAATGCTCTCGTTGACCGGCTGACTGTGAGCAGTTCGGCCAGTCGTATTGGTGTGGTCCTCTACAGCCACGTGGATCGAGTGGTGGTCAGTCTGCAGCAACAGCTAAGCCAGGAGGAGGTGAAGAGCGCTGTCAGGACGATGCCATACTTGGGCGAGGGCACCTTCACGGGAAGTGCCATCCACCGAGCTCACCAGCTTTTCAGGGCCTCGCGGCCGGGTGTGAGGAAAGTGGCAGTGGTTTTAACAGACGGGCAGGCGGACCCACGTGACATCATGCAGTTTGAAGCGACGGCGACAGATGCGCACGAAGACGGTATAGAGATATTTGTAATAGGAGTGGCGAACAGGACGGACCGTCTGTATGAAGAGTTCCAGGCTGAGATGAACGCCATAGCCTCAGATCCTGATGAAGAGTATGTCTTCCTCACCGACGACTTCAGGACACTTTCCAGTAAGAAAACATTGAGATCTTAGTCCAGTCAACCAGCCTCATGCTGTCGCTGACAGGCAGAAGAAAAGTTACTCAACTGTTCCCAACTGTTAGGTCAAGCAGTGTGGGAGGTGGAAAAACAGGTTTATGTTTGAGAAAACAATCTGAGTCTGACGCAAATAAAAGTCTCTCTGAATTCTGTCAGAAACTCGATAACAATCTGAGCCTGTAGGCAACAAAAACAAAAATTATTAGTGAACAAACGTTTTAGAATTTTCAGATCAAAGCCTTACGATGTTAATAATAATGATGAAACCAATAGATGAAAAAGATTCAAAAAACACATTTCTATATATATTTTACATATAAGTTAAATATATATAAAACAAAAACAACAATAAAATAAAAAATCGTTTTCACCATATCTCATCATCGACACACAGAAGCATGGACATACACATTCACAATGTACCAACAAAAAAACAGGGGAAAACAAGGACTATATATGCACACAGGAGCAATGAGAGGCAGGTGAGACAGAAACACAGGTGCAGACAATTACTGGAAGTAAAACAAGACTAGAAACACTGGGGATAAGCTACTACAAAATAAAACAGGAAACACTGAAAAATGATAATAGAGAATAAAACACTGAAACAGGGTCAGACACAAACTGAAAACTCATAAGACAAGACCCCGGGGAACAGGAGCAACAGGGCACAGAAACACTGGGGAAAATACACTCAAATCACAAAATCACAGCCCCCCCCCCCCCCCCCCAGAGCCCTGCTGTGTAGGCTGGACTTGGAAAAGTGGAGAGGACAATCACGGAAAGAGCATGTGTGTTGGTGGATTGCAATGCTCGTAAAAAAGCTAATTATGATATTAACTTTGATCAAGTCCCCAAAGACATTTGTGTTCGAGAGCTGAATAGCTCCTATGTTACCTGCTACTTCTCCTACACTGACATTGTTAGGCTGCAAGCTAGCGTGAAGATGAGTGTGCAGAGCAGCGCTGTCTCCTCCCACAACTTAGAGGCGAATTGCTAATGAGTGACTGGAGCTCTGCAGAAGAAAAGCCCTTGAAAATGACACAGGTATTGTGATTTTGGTAAAAACTTCACAATGCAATTTGAAGACCACTGACACGCTTAAAGTAGTAAAAACAAAAAACAATAGGAGTGGGACTTTAAACAAAACAAATACCACAGAGGGGACATATCATAGACTGTATGTCTATGGGACGTATCCTGATAAAAGTCGGGGTTTGTTTATTTACCAAGGTGCAGCTCAACTTATGAGGGCAGTCCTACTTTAAAGCCTACATGTCACTGAGGTGAAGCAGAGTGAAGCACTTGAAACTGAGATTCATTGAAAGCAAGCGAAGAAATGATGGTGACAGTTTCTCTGTCATTTCACATATTACAGACCCCCAGTTACATTTTTACTAACTCCTGTACGTCTTTGTTTTCCAGCTGTGGAAAGCAGATTACTGAGTCGGATCTGTGAACAAGAAGACACCATGGGGTACCTCCCAGAGTCAGTTTTGGTACTTGTGGAAACTCCAGATGCTACAAGAGACGGCAGCTTCAGACCGTTGCCAGATGAAGAAAACATTCAAGTAAATCTACTGTTATCAGACTGGGAAAGTGGTAGAGAGAAATCTGTTAAAGTTCACTCCTTAACAGATGAATATGAACCAGAATTCTGCATCAGTTTAAACTGAGTCCAATCCCTTCCTTTGCAGATTGAGCTCCCAGTGGAGATGGTCACAACTCCAACCCCCCAATCCCATAAGTCTCACAAGTCTGGACATGAAGACGGGAACCTGATTGACTCTGAAGTCTTGGTGGACCCCTGGAACCAGCTGCCGGACCACAGGTTTGCCCCTCCTGGTGGCAGGAGGCAGCAAGGACCTGGCGTGGGCTCAGTGGTGGGTCCCCAGATTCCAAGCGGGCGCCTGTACGAGGTGGAGAGCACTCGGGCTCCGGGGGGTCCTTCTCCTCTTCTAATAGACTCAGCGAGGCCAGGTAAGCTCTCGGAGGATTACACAAGACATGAACAGCTCCAGGTGTTGTTATAATTTTAATCATATTATGTTATAGTGTGTCTTCTTCCTGCTCTGAAGCCACACAAGGATTTCAGGGGAACTTGAGAAGATCACGAGTGTTTGGTTTGGTTTAACAGAGACAATAAAACACACCCATTACACTAAATACTGCATCAAGACAAACACTGCAGGCAAAGTCATATTAATGTTTGTAATGTCTCCAGTGTCTTGCAAATGTAACAAATATATATTTTGGGAAATGACCCAGCTCACACACAGACCAGGATTCATCTGTTTGGAGGCCTCAGTGCAAATATTAGACATAAGGCTGAGAGGTGGAGTACAAATACAGAGAAAGTTACAGACGGATTGACCTGAAATTTTCACCAGAGGTGCGTCTCAGCCCCAGGAGGATCCCATTACATTTTGTTGGTGATCCGGATCGCCTTCTGGATCCAGGAATTTTTTGAAGGGTTCTTTATCACTGTGAGATAGGGCAAATTTTGGAATTTTTGCATTTAACTCTATAAAAATGGCCAGAGTCTTTAGTAAAAAATTACACAAAAGGATCTCAATGAGTTTTATTAGGTGTCAAAGGTTGATCCTGATCCAGACAAAATTCCGGATACTGTGAGCTGCTTGGCGGAGGTCTGCGCTTTCCGAGTGCTTTTCTAGTTAATAGTAAACAAATGGTTCATTGCACATTATCCCACCTATTATAGTTAAGATGAGACAAAATATTGACTTAAATATGATTTGACTGATTTAAAAATGATTTATTTATACAGCTTTTAAAACAAAAAAATACCCTCTATGATCCCAGTGTTGGTGATGCTTCCATGGTAACAGATTCTGATCAGCCTCCTTTTTGGGCAAAATAGCTTTTCATATCAAAGCTCCCATAAGGAACTTTTGGTTTGTATCTATTCTGGCACCTCCTGTGGAGGTGGAGGAGTCCCTGCCTGTCTTTTCTCTGCATGCTAAATCAAAGTCTTCTTATTCGGTTGGCTTTATATTTGATATGAATATTTTATGTGGTAGTTGTAAAATTATGGTAGCTCGGTTGAGACTTTTTAGTTTTTATGACTGTCATTATCATTGATGACATTGAGTAGACTTTATAGGGGTTGATTATAGATTTACAAACTCTTATTATTATGGCTTGTCACACACTTGTAGGGAACATATCTCTAAAGGCTTAGAGTAAACTTTTAAAAATTAATAAGATGTTTTTCAACATTTATATTTTTATATTAGGACTTTAGCCTGCTTATTTATAACATAAAACTGAACATTTTCACTAAAGACAATGTCAGGCGAGGTGGGCGGGGCTAATGCAGGAGTACTTATGTCAACATTTCTGTCCTTATTTTACTCAGAGGTTTGACGTTTACACACCTTTGAACATAAATGTAAAATATGTCACAACCTTTAACTCGGCTGCTATTATTTCTACCACTCATGGTTCAGCAGCTTCAAGATGCTCTCATTAATTCTGCTGCTGGTGCACGGTTTGCAGGACAAGATGGTACTTTTCCCCGTCAGTGATGGTTTGGGGTCCAGTAGCTCCCCAGGCTGCTCTTGCATCAGCACCCACAGCAAAAATATAAAATCAACCATATTCAGAAGAGATATAAAATCAGACCACATAATATACATTTTCAGTTGAATAAAATCAGAAAAGTCTCTCCAGTATTGAAACAAAAGAAACAGCACTGATCAATCATAAAGCCATATATCTCATCTCTCCCTCCATGTTGCTTTAGGGGAGGGCTGCAGTCAGCCTCTGGACCCAGGACCCTGCAGAGAGTACATAGTCAGGTGGTACTATGACCCTGAGGCCAATGCCTGCGCTCAGTTCTGGTTCGGAGGCTGTCAGGGAAACAGAAACAACTTTGAGACTGAAGCCGACTGCAAGAGTTCCTGCGTCTACACGTAACAGAGTGTGTGGAAGAAAGTGTGTGTGTTGCAGCTTCACAGAGGATCAGAGAGGCTGGACGATGACGATGGTGAATCTCAGCACTCAGACCTGCATGCTGTGTCACTGTTTGTGCTTGAGGAGCTGACAGAGAGCAGACTGGGACCTCATCATTGTCTTACAGGCTGTTCATGCTGCAGGTGCATCTGCTCAGCTCTAACCTGTTGCACACCTGTGAACTCCACCTTCTGCTCTCGTACACCCGAATCTAATACCAATAACAGCGGACAGAAACAACAAAAAGACCTCTGCAACATCTCATTCAAAATGCAAATTATTTACATATTTTCCTCTTCTCTGTGTTTGTCTAACTCTTCTCCAGCTCTGTCAGACAACAATTTTCTATGCAAATAAAAAGACAAACTTTTTCAACCTTTGTACTGAGCAGACGTCTGACTTGAGGAAGTCTCACCTGCACTGTGAAAACAGTGCTGTAAGAGTCAAGGTCTTGTAGTTTATGAGGCCAACAGTGTGTGAGTACTCTCTCTTCATTTAGGTGTGTTGTGTTCTGGGATTGTATTGTAATATATTGATTTTGTGAGTCACTGTGTGAGAGCCTAGTCTTTACAGCACTGTGTATTCTCCTGTAGTGTTCATTTATTAGAGTTTAATGTTGTTTTAGTTCTTCTTAACAAAACGTTTATGCCTCCATTATGATGAATGTTGTGTTGACTGTAAAATATATTTTATTAACATTGTAAAAGTGCCAAAAGGAATAGAACATGTAGACTTTAACATAGAACTTTTATATCAATAAAAGAAATATAATTTCGTAAAAGCTGCTGGTTCCATTAGTGTCTCTAAGTTTATTTTTGTGGCTTTTCTGCCTTTATTTTGAAAGGATAGGACTGAGGTTAGAGAAGAATGCTGGGAGAGAGAAAGAGTGAGGAGCTGCAGGCAGGATGTACTTTAACCTGAGCTTCTGGAAAAGAGGCGTTCAAGTTCTTCTGCATTTTTGCTGATCTCATCAAAGCCAGTCAATGAGCTCTGCAGGTATTATAGATCTGCAGCTGATGTTTGCATTTTAATTTTTGGCATTTAAATTGTGTATTTACTACAGAGACATTAGGGTTGCGCTAAACAAACATTTGGTTCCTGTTCAATCTTTATCAACGCTTCACTGTATGGTGGTGAATAGAAAACCTTAAATTTTAACTTCATGTGGCCACGTAGGATAAGGGCTATGACAGATTTACACTAATATAGACTAAACGACACCACCTAGCAACTTTAACTCAAGGAGTTTTATCAAGTCCTAACCATAAACTGTATATATACGATGGACAACTTGGTTCCGCCTTCCGCCTGTATACGGGTTTGAGGCCAAAAAGCTCTCAGTATTTCTGAGATTTTACTTTATTTCCTGAAACCAGCGCTGCGCAGTAGCGATGCACGCATTTGGCCGTGCAGTCGCCGAAAGTCGCTGTGATGACGCTCGGCTCAAACGGCGTATCCCCCGGGAGAGCTATGCAATCCCTGAACGCCCATAGGCTGTATCAGGTGTCAATCATAGAAAACATGACCCCCCCCCCTAATAAGCTTTACTGGTGGAGGCAGGATTTATGACCTATACTGCAGCCCATCAACAGAGGGTGCTGTTCTCAGAGTGGCTTCACCCAGAGAGGAGGCAGACTCTGTCATTTCTTTATACAGTCTATGGTCCTAACTATAAAAGGCAGACACAGGTTCAAAACTCTACATCCAAGACAGACATTTGGTTAAAAAACTAATCAAAATGTACTAATATTTTTGAATGCAAAATATACTGTATTCATGTAACTGTGGAAAGTGTCTGTGGAAAACAAAAGAAGTAAGTGATTGGCGATGAATTTCAAGTCAAAGTTATGGAAGGAATGGATCAAAAGTTTATTACAAATTATTCTGTTTCACAATGAATCTATATTTAATAAAATACTTCAAGGTGAACTGAATAAAACTAGCAAAAAGGAAGGGGGAAGTGAGAGGAAGCTAGCAAGAGGGAGGCAGTCTACCAAAGGAAGTGTCCCAGTGGTGCACTTAACCACCACATGTGAACTCACTGCAAACATGACAAACCGGTGTAGACTAAGGTGTCACAACAAAAAGGTGCAAGGGAACACCCAAAGTGCCAAGCTTCCAATGCTAACCAGCAACCACTGCACTGTAGGGGACAAGAAAGAAGATGTTTTAATGATGATAATTTAAAAAAAATGCTTACAAAACAAAACAAAGTGAACTTAACCAATATCTAAGGCCAAAACAGCAGCTGATCATGTCTGTAATACAAAAATAGGAATTATTACATTGTTTAAGAATGTAATAAACATGTCATTGTTTTGGACACTTCCTGTCAACAAACCTGCAGCCACTCATACCTGCACAGGTACATTTACCCAGAGTCCTGGATCACACTTTACACCATAACAAAAGATACAAATACAAATGTTTACTTTTGGTTAGATATAAAATGTGTTCAACATTGTTTTAAGAGTTGACAAACCTCAAATCATTAACATGAGTCTAGTCTTTCCCAGGGTTTCTGCCCATTAAAAGGAAGTTTTTCTTTGCCACTGTCACTCATGTTAGATGAGATGGGTCGAATCTGTCCCATCTTAAGGTTGGGTCTTGATAATTCATCAAACATTGAACATGGTCCAGACCTGCTAATTTTATTTGGAAAGCATATTGGGATAACGACTATTGTGAAAATTTGATTTGATTGATTGATTGACACCAAGACGACCAGGTAATAGAGTGCAAACAGGAAAGAGACTACTTTAAAACAAACACAAGTCAGCTACTGATGAAAATATCACAACTCAAAGTTAATTGTGGACTACAATTATCAGAAAACATTACCTTCCTTAGTTCTGACACATGGCAGCCACCAGGCACAGACAAAGAGGAAAAGGCAGCTCACCTGACACAGGTGCCTTAAATAGGCTTGAGCAATTTAGGGGGGGCAGGCTGCACTGCTTGCAGCCTCTGAGTCCAGATCCTCTCTGCTGCAGAAAGCAACATAAATGAGGTATTAGTTTTGGAATTTAGGCGTCCCCTGTTAACAAAGTAAGGAGTCTTTTTTTTAGAGCTCATGTAATCTGGATGTAGAAATCCTCAAATCTTTGTTTATCAGGATGTACTGAACTAGGTAACATTCAAATCTGAGATATAATCAAAATAGAGTACCTAATGATGGATTTCCAAATCAAGATCATTCACAATGAGGCAGTTTTATCTGATCAGATTTACACACTGACTGACATCTCTTAAACCAGTTCCCTTTTACTCCGCTGTGATTGGCTGGGACACACCAAGTCAAACATAATGCTGCATTTAATCTAGAAAGATCTTGAAATGTTTCCCCTCTGCTTTCAGGTCCAACCAGTTATACATCTAAAAGTATCTACAGACTTTAAGGTATAATCATAGTTTGTGCTAATATGTCAGGTATGAACATAGTAACATTACACAGCCTTTGTTGAAAGAAAGAACACACCACATGCATGTCAGAAACATGAGGAAGACTTCATCTACAGTAGTTTAGATTTAGCAGTTTGAACAAAGCTACAGTCCTGCTCATATCTATCAGCTGTTTTCCCTCTCTTTTCAATTCTGCAGCTTTGTAAGTTTTAACCGAGTGAAAGATCCCATTTCTCTAAAATCACCAGGTTAACATGATAAAGCACAATGTTGGGGTTCACATTAATTTTATATCAACCAGAAATATTCTTTTTTTTTCAGAGAAAAGACACACTCTTTAAACAAGGGGGTAAACATTGTTTAGATCCGCAGAAGACGTCGGATATAAACGATTTCTGACGACTTTGCAAAGTCAACTGCAGAATAAACGGCATTTTGAATGAACGGGGCTTTGAAAAGTCCCGCAGCATGTGTTAGACATCACCATCTACACATGGACCAATCAGGGGCTGCCTTTCCCTGTTGTCCGGGGAACTGTGGAAACACGGTCTCTGATTGGCCAGGTTATTTTTTGATCGGGAACACACGCTCCCAATTGGCCGAAGTCCAGACTGTTAACGTCCACATATTTTGTTTTTCCTGCATCAGTCAAACAGTGTTTAACTTAGAGTTGTGGCTGCTGTGTACACCATAAAAAACAACATCAAGGAGGAGGATGTTGGCTTAGCTGTCACACACGCCATTTAGAAGACAACAGCTTTCTCACACTGGTCCCTTCCCACTCCATTACAGATCCAGTTTTAAGTCCCAACCTTGGCTGCATGAGCTGGCAAACCATGTGGTTAGTAGTTTTGGTGCTGTGAGCAGGTGCTAAGTCTTGTTGACAAAGGAAACTAGCATTTCAGGAAGCTTGACACTAGTTGAAAATATAAGGGCCTCTAAAATCTTCTGGTGGACTTCAGACCATGCTGACTTTGCACCTCAATACTATAATTTCCACATTTGTTGTCTGTTTTTTTTTTTTTTCAATGCTGTTTCTTTAGCCAATGATCCCACCTAGAAGTCATTTATTCAGTTCATCCAAATGTCACCATGATCTGTCAAAATATGATCCACTGTTCTGTCACAGTACCCTTCAGCTGTCTTCAACAAGAGCAATAAAGTTCTGCTTTATCAAAGTGCAAACACCCCTCTTCCAACAAAGTGCACAGTTTGATAGCATTGTAAAGACAAACACCGGGAAGCTTCATTTTTATATCACACAGTGATATATCACAAAGTGACAGCTCAGGCCAACTCACACCCCAAACTTCATGGACAGTTTTCACATTTAATACAGAAAGCGGTCCAATAAAGGAGATATACGTGCATTTACACCTGAATAGATTTCAGTTTAAAAAAAAAACAAGAAAAAAAAAAAAAAGAATTAAATGGATCATCAACTACATGCTGATACCCTCAATCCCTCCCTCAGAAAGTGCAGACAGAGAGGACTCATGGAGTTTTAGTTGTAGTTGTAGTGCTGCTGATTATATCTGCAGTTTTTTAGGATTTTGCTCATCAGGGTTAAATCTGTATTTGTATCCATATGCCCGCAGGTGGTATGTCAGGTAATGCAGAACATACAGCTGCTCTGGCTTTATGTAGTGAAAGGACACAACAAAATCTGAGCAGCAGTTTGGACCCTGCAGAGACACACAGAGAGAAAAGATCAGGTCAGATGTGAGAAAAGAAAAGACTGACAACAACCTTAAATTATCTCAGTTTGGCACACAAACATTTTGTTAATTGCAGATGGTATCAGTATCCATATTCCCATCTACTTGCAGACTGAACATAGATCTAAAAGAGGTCTGCATCAAAGACAGAACCAAATTATTACTCTGTCACTGTACATACCGCTTGGGTTTCATAGGTGTCGTATGATAGGAACCATGGCCTTGATCGTGTCAGTTGTCTGGTCATAAGTAACTCTGGAGGGTAAGGGTTAAACCTCTCTCTCCCTTTAATGTCTCTAGTGTCTGCAGCCTCCACCTTCATCGTCTCCATACACTTCCCCAGAGCCATGTCCTCTATGCTGGAGAAGTGGGTACATTCTCCAGTTTCGAACCCTTTGACGAACCGTCTCAGGGCCTCCTTACTGATGACATAACCTGCTCCTCCGCTCATGTAGCCTTGATTAACGAAAGGGCTGTACCTCTTACCCATATACAACGGTTTCTCTTTGTCAAACTTGGACAACAAGTAACGTAGATTCTCCACAACAAGAAATGTGTCATCATCTGCCTTCAAGAACCAGTCTGCATCATCCATGTGGTGCTTGTGGATGTATCGAAAGGCTTCGATGGTCTTCCAATACAGGTTTTCCCTCCCCTCACTCACATTCAGTCCCACAGTGGGGAAGGCAGAACTAACAGAGCTCATGTACAGGGTTTTATCGCAGCGTTTGGCCCACGTTGCTCTGATGTGTCTGGTCCTGGACTCCAGGAACATGGGCGCCGTCATGATCCAGCACAAAATCCTTATGTTTTGAGTTGAATTAGATTGTGTGCTCCTGATCTGACCTGGAGGAGTTTTGAAACAAGTTTTAGACATGCATGATAGGGATATTTCCAGATATAAGCCAGGGCTGTGGTGCTGGCCATCATTGGTTTTAAACTGTGTCCTCACATCCTTCAAGTGGATTTACTGTCGTAAGGTCCCTCTGGGGGGGCTTTGTTGTGGATAAAATGTAAAAACTTTTCTCTTTAGATTTGTTTCACCACAAAAGAATACAGAAAGAGAGCCATAAATCATAAAAAGTCAAGACTAGATGCACTTCCAATGCACAAAATGTTTCAAGGTGTCCTTTTGGTAATCTTAGAGTGTTTGGTTAAAATACTTTCCACTTCATTAGGGCCACAGGGCAAACATACCGAGGCATTGGCGTACACTTTTGTTATACTGTGGGTTTCTTCTTATTCCTCTTCTAGACAAATTTTGATTCGCGACTAGTCGTACAGCTTGAAGAGTTGTAGGATAAATTATATATCAAAAAGTGTGTTTCAATCAGATCAGTGTACTATTACTTTTCTCTATTGAACATAAAATGTTTTGCTACGAAAGTTGCCAAAAACGTTCTAAAAATTTTACACTGAGTCAACGGGACAAGCCAAAAAAGAGTAATTCTTAGAGTTTTTCAAACATCTCCTTTTATTTGTTGTATAAATAAATACTTGAAAAAGGAATGTTTGTTGTGGGTGTGCTCTTTGTATATTAATATCACAATGCTACAAGTATAAATTATCCATAATCTCTGAAGAATACCATCATTATGTAAACACCCTGGCAGTAGCCCCTGCGGCCCTTTCAAAATTTCTTAAGGGAATTTTCAAGTTTACTTTTATCATCTTAATTTTTAAATGACCATTAAAAAAATATATATATAATACAAAGGTGTCATTTCAAAGATAATCAATTTTAACAGCAATTTTAAAAAGTCAGCCTGCTAAAGTCCCCAAGGCACAAAGTGTTGTATTTGTACAGATGCCTGTGGTTCAGTGCATCAAAAACAAAACGTTCATGACTCTTATCTTCTACAAACAAAACTCGGAACATAAAAAATCAACACTGAAACCCTGACGCCAATGCAGTCAGGCTACTTTTACACCTGTCGGTTGTCACCTGGATCCTTGGTGCTAGGCACATCTCACACCATGTCTTTCTGTGTGCTGGTGCCTTTTTAAATCATTTTTGCCCTTGCCCCTCAAAAAGCCTGAACATGCCACTGCACACTCAGGTGTCAATCACAACATTGACAAAAATGTCAGATTTATTTAAGTCAAATATAGAGCAGTTTAGGAGCCAGAGAAGCTGAGCTAAGCCAAATGATTCCGACTACTTCCTATCACCAGTGTGCACACCTGTTGTAAACATAAGCTCTGAATCAGGTCTCACCTAGAGGAACATGCTGTGCAGAGGGACTGTTATCCAGTGGTGCATCTTGCATCAAATAATCAACGTGTCCTGCTGAAATGTTGGAGTCAAACATATAGTAGAAACAGAGAAATCCTGACAGCAGACCCATGAAGAAGGATAAATGAGATGAGCTCCCCCTCATCCTCCCGATTTACCTGCACACACAAACCCACACAGACACCAGAAAGGAGGTGATGACATAATTGAAGCCCCATTATCATGCATCGCTTCTCTGTCATGGGGATTTCTATCAAGACAGAGGATGAACTGAAAACCTCAGAATAAAACAGCAGCCCTCACCTGGTGGAACTGAAAGGAGCTTTGAGCTGCAGGTCTGTGTTTGACCCCCGGAGGACGACTGAGGGAGAAGAGACACAAACACACATGTACACCGAGGTGTCTCCACTCTGACTCTGATAAAACCTCCTCAGGTCCAAGTGGGCGGGACTAGGACAGACAAACCCCATCCACACCTTACCATCAAATTTAGGTGGCTGAGGAGGATGGGGGAAGATGACAACGACTTCTGAATAAATATCTTTGTATTTCTATGCCTCTACTCTCATGATTATTGTTTTTTTATTTTAAGGTCCACATATTTTGTTTTTCCTGCATCAGTCAAACAGTGTTTAACTTAGGAGGAGGATGTTGGCTTAGCTGTCACACACACAATTTGGAAGACAACAGCTTTCTCACACTGGTCCCTTCCCACTCCATTACAGATCCAGTTTTTAGTCCCACCCTCGGCTGCTTGAGCCTCCTTTCAGCAAGGTGGAGATAGATCACAGTATGACCATTTGGTAGGAGTTTTGATGCTGTGAGTAGGTGTTAAATCTCGCTGAGAAAGGAAAGTAGCATTTCAGTAAGCTTGGTGCTGTGGGCAGATGCTAAGTTAGGCTGACCAAACTTCCTGTTTTACCAGGACATGTCCTGTTTTCACATCCTGTCCTGGTCATCCTGGTTGTTTTATATACTGTGATTAAAATGTCCTTGTTTTTAATTGTTGTTCATAGGGCAACTAGGATGAAGAAAACTAAAGAGAAAGATGTTTTTAAGTTAGATTTTGTAAGTTTGTGAGAGCTATTTTTTGTTAAAGTTGGATCGCTAATATAGCAGAGGCATTTTTTTGTTATTTATTTTTAATTTAATACAGAAGAGAAATGATTTCTATCATTATTTCATTCCTCATTTTTGAAACTTGCCATAATAACCATGTTGAGTAACCTCTTAGAAGCCAATCTGAATTAGTCTCTTTGGTTATACAAAACCATTGAAGTTGGGAAATTGTGATAAACGTAAATAAAAACAGAATACAATGATTTGCAAATCTTTTTCAACCTATATTTAATTGAATACACTACAAAGACAAGATATTTAATGTTCAAACTCATAAACTTTATCTTTTTTTTTGCAAATAATAATTAACTCAGAATTTCATGGCTGCAACACATGCCAAAGTAGTTGGGAAATGTGGAATCTTCATTTTTATATCACACAGTATAACAAAGTGACAGCTCAGGCCAACTCACACCCCAAACTTTATGGACAGTTTTCACATTTGAATTAGACAGACAAGTACTACAACAGAGGGGATCAACATTTCTTTACATCTGAAAAGGTTTTAGTTCCAAAAAAAAAAAAAAAAAAAAAAAACAGTATTAAATGCAAGGGCTTAGAATTGAGTTTGGACGCTAGGGACATGTCCTTTCCAACAATCAGCTAATACAGTGTAGTCTCTACAATACAACCATTGTCCATGGTGTTTTATAAATTATTTTGGCACACAAAGGGTTAACAGTCGGTCTCTGCGAGAAGTCCCGCCTCCAAGCTAAATATTGCTCTTTGACTGGCTGCCGGTTTCTCGCTTACATACATGTGATCGGCTGTCCCCACTGTCACTACATCTGCCTGTAAAAGTTACCTGATAGTTGGACCCATAGACTTTATAAAGAATGGACAGAGTCTGCCTCCTTGCTGGGTGAAGCCATTCCGAGAACAGCACCCTCTGTTGATGGGCTGCAGTATAGGTCATAAATCCCGCCTCCGCCAGCAAAGCTTATGGGGCTGTGGACAAACTTTAGAAATTTATTACACAGAACATACATTTTTCTCCCCCCTGCTTGTGATGTTGACATGTACAGTAAGACTGGTTTGTGCTCAAGTCCTCGTTTTTCTGTGAAGCTCCATTTTTAAAAGTTATTGGGGGTTCATGTTTTCTATGATTGACACCTGGTACAGCCTATGGGCGTTAAGGGATTGCGTCGCTCTCCCTGGGGATACGCTGTTTGAGCCGAGCGTCATCACAGCAACTCTTGGCGACTGCGCGCCTGAATGCGCGCATCGCTACTGTGCAGCGCTGGTTTTAGGAAATGAAGAAAAATCCCGGAAATACCGAGAGCTATTTGACTTCAAATCCGTATACAGGCGGTAGCAGCCGTGTTGCCAGACAGATTTCACTGGGGCACGTGCCCCAGTATTTATCTGCAGCGTCCCAGTAAAAATTTCACCAATAAATAAAAAATCACTTCAGATTTTTAAGTCTACATAGCATAGACTACAGCGCACATACTATTTAGTATGGCAATTTATTGCTACTGTATTTACTCCACATAAACAATGCGCACATGGCTAATTAATATTGTAATTTATTCACGTGTAGCGACTTCAGTTGATAATACTTCCGTAGTTGAGAGAGCGAGAGAAAGAGAGAGAGAAAGAGGCAGGCAATGAGAATCACTGCATGAGGTAGGTAACGTTAGCCGACAACAACTTGTTAACTATATTATTTTGATTTTGATTTCACTCGAACTGTAACTCCTAGATGGATATCAGAAAGTTATTCGCCCACAGCAGGGATAAAGCAGCGAGGAATGAGAGAGGTAGGTGAAGTCCTGGCTAGCTAGGAAACATGAGTCTGTCTTAAGTTAATGCTAAATTAGCTAACATTATTTCATGTATCAAGACAACCATATTAATTTGCTGTACGAGCTGTGGGGGGAATTTCCATTGAGTTTCACCAGCATGAAATATAATGTTGGTTATGGTCTGCTGATTCTGCTCAGGACCTCTGCATCAATGATGATTTTGAGTAAGTTTGTATTAGTTGACAGATATAGCTTATGGATGGTGCAGTGGTTCCCAAATGGCCTATCTTCAGGAAGAAAAACATTTTTCCCTATCATCAAGTTGTGAGCCAAATTTTTAAACCATTCAAGTTTATTTCACAGAAAAAAAACGCAGTACACTTGTGTTATTAATCAGTTTGCCTTTGGCTAAACTAATCTTGTTTTGTCACCAGAAAAATGGCTACAGCTAAAGCATCTGTTTTTTGTTTGTTTTTTTGTTTTGTTTGCCAGAAAACATAGTAAAATTTCTGTATTTGTTACCAGAAACATGGCTAAAAATATCGTGTTTTGCTGCCCCAATTAGATTTTTTTTTTTTATACACAGTGCATCCGGAAAGTATTCATACCACTTCACTTTTTCCACATTTTGTTATGTTACAGCCTTATTCCAAAATGGATTAAATTCCCCTTTTCCCTCAAAAATTCTATACAAAATACCCCATAATGACAAAGCAAAAAACTTTTTTTAGAACATTTTGCAAAAATATTAAAAATAAGACACTCAAATGTTTCATAAAAACACAAAAAGAAAATTTTCGGGGAATAAATTACATTAAATAATTGCGTGAAAGTAAAAGCCTCAGGCAATGACTTTACCATCAAACTATATGATCTAACTCTACAGCCCTGCACAAAGATGAGAACATCAAAGTCTTATTAACTTATATTCTCTTTAGATATTCAGATATGCATTATAAACATGACAATTTTCTGACTATGATTGTTTGTTCGTTTGATTAGCTCAACATGATGCAAAATCATGATTGCAAATGCAAAAAAGCAAACTTTCAGGAGGACAATTTTGTGTCCCCACCAATGTCGAAATAAAACCTACTCCCTTAATTAAATGGATCATCAACTACATACTGATACCCTCAGTAAGTGCAGACAGAGAGGGTTCATGGAGAAGTGCTGCTTGTTGTATCTGCAGTTTTTTCAGGATTTTGCTCATCAGGGTTAAATCTGTATTTGTATCCATATGCCCGCAGGTGGTATGTCAAGTAATTCAGAAAATACAGCTGTAGAGGCTTAATGTAGTGAAAGGACACGACTAAATCTGAGCAGCAGTCTGGACCCTGCAGAGAGAGAGAGGAAAAAGATCAGATTAGAGGTTTAAACTGAACCATACAAAGAGGAAACCACAGGTAAACATGCTCCAGTTGGCCAAATGGCTTTTTCTCTGCTCCCAGTTCAAAGCCAGCCTCTCTAATGGTATGTGGATCATCAGAGTCCATGTCATGGGTATCTTTCACATCTATGAAGGCTCCATTAATGCTGAACAATATCTACAGGTTTAGGAGCAACACCTGCTGCCATCCAGACAAAAGCTTTTCAGGGAAGACCTTCATATTTCAGGAGGACAATGACAAACCACATTCTGACAACAGGGATTACAACAGCATGGCTCTGTAGGAGAAGCGTCCTGCTGAGAAACTCACTAATAATTTAGTTGTAGACTCTCAAACACACTATGGTCCCAGTAGTGGTCTGCACATGTGTCCCACACTCAGACAAGCAGGACAACACTGTTTTTAAAGATTTCTCACTCAATGGAGCATTTTGACCGGAATTGGTGGCTGCAGCAGCGTTGCAGCTGGTGATCACCATGTGTTTTAAGAAGAAACTACATTAATGAGATGTCATATTGATGTCTACTGTACATTTAATCCCGGACATGTTACATCCTACAGTGTGACTTTTGCACATGTACACATTGCAATTATAATGATCAAATGATAAATAATGCAGTATTAATCATCAGCTACAAAGACAGTGACTATTGGAAACCAGGAGAGATACCAGAGCCGTATTTACCACAAGAGACATTATCTCCCATCAGCCACTATCAGAACACAGATAACTGGATTTGCTAATGTCATTTGAGAAATTATCTGTTAGTCTCCTTTGTCACTGTGGCCTCGTGTTGTTGTTCATACCTCTGCTGAGTTATAGGTGTCATACAACAGGAACCAAGGACGTGGTCTTGTAAGTTGTCTGACCAAGTGATGGTCTGGAGGGAAAGCATGAAACGTCTGTCTCCCTTTAATGTCTCTAGTGTCTGCAGCCTCCACCTTCATCGTCTCCATACACTTCCCCAGAGCCATGTCCTCTATGCTGGAGAAGTGGGTACATTCTCCAGTTTTGAACCCTTTGATGAACCGTCTCAGGGCCTCCTTACTGAGGACATAACCTGCTCCTCCGCTCATGTAGCCTTGATTGACAAATGGGCGGAACTTCCTGCCCATATACAACGGTTTCTCTTTGTCGAATTTGGACAACAAGTAACGTAGATTCTCCACAACAACAAATGTGTCATCATCTGCCTTCAAGAACCAGTCTGCATCATCCATGTGGTGCTTGTGGATGTATTGAAAGGCTTCGATGGTCTTCCAGTACAGGTTTTCCCTCCCCTCTCTCACATTCAGTCCCACAGTGGGGAAGGCAGTACTGACAGAGCTCATGTACAGGGTTTTATCGCAGCGTTTGGCCCACGTTGCTCTGATGTGTCTGGTTCTGGACTCCAGGAACTTGGGTCCTGTCATGATCCAGCACAAAATCCTTATGTTTTGAGTTGAATTAGGTAGCATGGGCAAGTTCTCACTTAGAGGAGTGTAGGAGTCCAACATGTAGTAGAGAGAGACAAACCCCAGCAGCAGCCCAATGGAGAAGAACAAATACGACGACATCTGCCTCATCCTCCTGGTTTACCTTCACAAACTAACACACACACACACACACACACACACACACACACACACACACACACACACACACATAAATCAAACAGGAAGGGAGTCCAGTCATGTACAGCCTGTTATCACGCTGTCATTCCTGGACTGAAGTAAAACAGATTACCTCTCATTGAATCAGTAAGCAGGCAGCAGAAACTGTTAAAAAGATTGTTTTACCTGGTGGAGGTAAGAGCAGCAGGTTTGTCTTTTTCCTCCGGAGGACAACAGAAGCAGGGCAGACACACGTTACACACACACACACACACACACACACATACACACACACTCACGCCTCTGCAGCCTACAGGTGTCTCTCTGATTCCGATTACAGCTTAGGTGCAAATGGGCGGGGCTTAGACAGACAACCAAGGGAGTTACCCAGTCTTCTTCCTCTTCAGCGTTATCATGTCAGTCATATGGAGCTGGTAAATACTACAAAGTCAAAAAAATCTGTTTGTTTCTAAATGAATGAGATAACAGTATCAGAATTACAAAAACTTTGTTAGAAATTAAACTTTCTAAACTTTCTTCAATGAAACCTTTTTTTTTAAAATATAAAGACAATGTCAGATGGGAAAAAGGTAATCTGAATTTTTGTAATTATAATTATTAGACATGCATGATATGAATAAATCTTTATACAAGAGTTTCAAAAACTACAAACAGTCCTCAGATTCAATTGTCATGTTGTCTTGTTGCTCTGTACGCAGATGTAAACTGAGAAGCTCTGGATACTTTTGCAGTGGATAAAATGTGAACAAGTGCTTTATCAGTGTACATGTTAGGTTGATTTGCAGGATTTTTATGCTATATGTTAGGAACAACACTTTTACAGTCTTGCAAAGTGTAGCCCTAAGGGTCAACACAATCACCTTCTATCTGAGTCAACATGCTGTGGAGGGTGTTCAGAATCCTGTGCTAAGTTCTGCACAAAGTAAAAGACTTGTTCAGATGAAATGTTGAAGACAAAGTGCATAGTGCTAAATCCCAACAGCAGCCAGATGGAGAAGAACACATGAGTTGGATCAGTCATTGGGTCCGCCGCACCGACAACGTGTTCCCAAGCACAATTTGGTATTTTGGTGAGCGGTGCAGCCCGGCGTAAGTATCCCCCCTCCCTAACTCAGCTCCTCCCAGCGGCGTAAATCGTAGTGAGGGAGAAGAGAGGGCGTGGAGTGGGTTTAACACAGCCGAGACCTGTTTTCACCAATCACATCAGCTCCTCTCCTTGCCTTTAAATCTGCCACCGGCGAGGCGTATTACAATTTTAGTGAAGTAGTCAAAGAGATCAAGAGATGTCTGAAGACAGTAATGCCACATGATGGCGACAGAAGGCGGCTCCTCAACAAGTGTCACTGTAAGCGCTGCATTGGGCATCCTCCACACTCTCTCATATGAGCACAGATGGATTTGGTGTGTGTATTGTTGGACCCATTGGTAAGACAAACACCCTTTTCCACAAATAAAGACACTCACATAAAGTTGCATATATTTAAACCTCACGTGACAAAGGTGGGTTGTGCGCACAGATCATAACAAACTCCAAAAATGGCATTAAAATCAGAACCATCTGTGCGTAATGACATATCACGCTCTGTGGCCTGGCTCTTTCTTTCATAGATGTTGGCATATAAAATAAATTTGGCTCACAAAACTGAATATTATAATATCCGTATGTCGGCTTAAAGTAAATAACTCATCTGAGCACTGAAACAAATCATCTGTTCAGCTGCAGAAGGACGGGGAGAGGACACGGAGACATGTCCAGGTCGAGCTGCGCGAGAAATAAGAGGAAGAGGAAGAAAGAAAAGGAGGGAGACAAATAAAATATCTTGCTAACTTCATCATGTGTGTCTATTTACAAGATATTTAATTTAATGCATTTTTAGCTGTTAATTTGGTCAGGTTGTGTGTCCAAACGCAAGCCAAACGCGCTCATCAGATCAGATAAAAATCAGAATATATCAATATAGATCTAAATGTATGTGCTGACTCAGATTAATAGTTGATGTTGATTATTTATTGCACTGAAATGTGCCTGACACTGTGGAAACCTGCCTGTGAGGCATCGGTGACGTATGCCGATACGCCGCCTGTCTACCAAAATACCACTAGACCAGCTGCGCTGAAAGCTGACCAGGTTTGAAACGGCGAGCTTTCAGCGCACTTTACACGCCACTGGCGAGCACGAAAATGTCACTGCGCCTGCTGATTCTGTCGACACCTCCCCCTGCCACGCCACCACGCCCAGCTTGGCGGATCTCGGTTCGCCTCCGTGCGCCTCAGTCCACGAAAATACCAAACTGGCTGTACGCCAGGCTCCGCCAGATGTAAATACAACTGCGCGGGGTCCGCCACCCTCTGCCGCCTCACCAGCGTACACGGAAATAGAGCACATTGTGTTTGAGTTCGTTGCTGCAGCTAGTCATCTTCAAAAAGAAGGATGTTGGTTTAGCTACACAGCGATATCCTTTATTGAAGTCTGTGTACAAGAGAGCAAACCAGCAATTATGGGTTTGTTACAGGTTAAATAGAGTAGAAGTGAATCTTATTATGGACTATTTTACTTTATTCTGGGCCACCATTGGAGTTGCTTTGATATGGTTAGGTATTATATTTAATCTAAATTGGATTTTTCTTTGCTACCTTAAGCCTTACGGCATGCAGACGACCAAATGTCCTGACATCTCCACATGGCTTTTCACCTTCAGGAAGGATCATAGTTTCAGAGAAATCAATGGCAGACACCAACGGTAGAGTTGTGAGCAGCACAAAAAAACTCCCCTCTTCCTAAGTTGACTGCTTGCATAAGTTGATCACAATTCAGGTTCACAGATGAGATGTTTTGCATTTTTGCAGCATATTTCATAAAACCTTGATGCAAAAGCTTCAGACTGAAATGCTGAGAACAGCCGAACAAAAAGCTATGAACAACAAGTTTTTATAGAAATTTTATTACAGCTATAAGAGAATATAAAGTTGTACACGAGCTATAAAAAAGTTAGACATTGGATGTTCTCAAATGCTGTCTCTTAGGTCAGCATATCAGGTCCAATTAAAAAGACAAACTTTTTATTGGAGTAAAAAAACAGCTAAGTTAGTCAGTGTTTTACCAATCACAGGTAACACACATGGGAGCTTAAATTCCAAAGTCAACATCACACTGTATTGACAGAGAAGTTAAGCCCATAAATTCATGAGGACAATGGTAACTGGGGGGATAGATTAATGAACAATTCAGTTTCCTCATAAACTTCATCTTCTTTCTTTGCAGATGTTGGAGTTTCCCCCAATAGTCTTAAAAATGCAGCTTTAGGGTAATGAGAACCTCTTTTGTTTGCAGTTGACACTTGTAGCTTCACGTGGATTTTTTTTATGAATCATGATCAAATGAAGAGCTCTAATCTATTTCTGAATGATTTTAGAAGAATAAACCCTAACTTAATATAAATAAATCAACGTTTATAATTAATTTTATGCTGCCTCTCACGTCCAGCAGGTGGTAGCAAAGCACGCGTGAACCGGTGTCCTCTGTACAAGAAGAAAAGTAATATCCGGTGTAAACAAGGACATGTGTTGAGTAACTAACCTTCTGATCAGCTGTGTCTGTGTCTTGTGCTAGCAACTGAAGTTTGTGTCATATTTTTAGGAAACAGTCCCGTTGCAGGTGGATTTATTTGATTTTACTCAACTGTAGTGTTCGTGTCTTCGGTAAGCGGTTTGATGGCGGTTTCCGCTCATGTCTCCAAAGTCCGGTCTTTGTACAAAAGGATTCTGGTCCTTCATCGGTTCCTGCCCATAGACCTAAGAGCTCTGGGGGACCAGTATGTGAAGGACGAGTTCAGAAGACACAAAGGTGCAGCAGCTGAGGAGGCCAAACGCTTCATGGTCGAGTGGGAGGTAAAATAACCCATGTCTGTTCCGAGCCCTAACCAAACCCCGTTCAAAAATCCTCTCATTTAGAGCGAATGTTGACTCGATCAGGAGAGTTGACAAAAAATACACCTTCCACTTTAAACATAGTTATCATTTTTAATTTGATTAACACAGTGTACAGACAGGATGTGTTATCCTAACTCTATAGGTACTATTTAACACTAAATGATCTGGATAATGTACACTACAGGTAACAGGCCAAAAGTCTGGAAGCAAGGGCATTACAGGCCGAACAGTTGGGAGTAACTTCAAGTTTTTGTTGTTCACAATGCTTTTTTTAAAATCCAGCATGAGTTTTATGTATTTTGGGATGTATTTACTCCATGATCAAATGTTGCTTTCATGGAAATGCACCATTTTACTCCATTTGCCTTTAGATATGCATTGATGTTAACAGACCATTGGTAAATATATGTCAGCGAAAGATAATAAGGGCTTAGTTTTAGGGTTGAAAACATTTGCAAGAGTCACAACTTCAGTGCAAAAGCAAAAAAACAAATCACAGTTGGATTATTCACTTCAGCTTTTTGGCTTCTGAGAGCCTGCATACAAAAATTCTAATAAATTTCAACTGCATTCAAACTACCGCAAAAATGGCTAGAAAGAAGCAACTGAGTAAAGAAACAAAAGTACAGATTTATACATTGAGAAAAGAAGGATACACAGAAATTGCAAAACACCTAAAGGTGTCCAACAAAGGAGTCCACTGCACTCTGAAGAGACTAGAGGAACCTGGAAGTTATGATGATAGAAAAAGACCTGGACGAAAGAGAGTTACTACAAAAGCAGAGGATAAACATATCATTGTCACCAGTAAGAGAGATCAGTGAAAGACAGCACCACAAATAAGGGAGAAAATCAACATGACAAGGTTGAAACCCATATCTCTGACAACCATGAAATGACGTTTGAGAAAGGCTGGTCTGAAGGGTTGTGTATCTGCAAAAAACACTACTTCGTCCACAGAACAAGAAAGAGAGATATGAGTGGGCAAAAGCTCACAAAAATTGGACTTATGATGACTAGAAACAAGTTTGCACTGTTTGGTTCAAAACGCAGAGTCTATGTCCGCAGACAAACTGGTGAACGTCTGAAAGCACCATGTGTTACACCCACAATTCAGCATGGAGGTGGTAGTCCCATGATATAGGGATGTTTTGCAGGTGATGGAGTAGAAGATTTGTTTGAAGTAAAGGGTATCATGAAGAAGGAACAGTACCACTCCATCCTCCAGCACCATGCTGCTCCATCTGGACTAAGACTTGTGGCTCATAAGTTTGTTTTGCAGCAAGACAATGACCTGAAACACTCTGCCAAGCTCTCTCAGGGTTACCTTGACAAAAAAGAAGAGGAAGGTGTTCTTCAAAAGATGGTTTGGCCCCCTCAGTCTCCAGACCTTTCTCAATTGAGCTTGTGCGGGATGAATTGGATCGATCGGTCAGAAAAACGTCCCATGAATCAGCAGTCTCGTTTTAATGAACTTAAGAAAGCTTGGAATGCAATCCCTGGAACATACCTTAGAAACTTGGGGAACGAATGCCTGGTATATGCCAAGCTGTTGTTAAAGCCAGAGGAGGTTCCTTCAAAGAAAGCAAAGTCTAAGAAACAATAACTCAAATACCTAATAATTATAGTCAAAATGTCTTCTGATAAGTTACTCTACACAATAGTCATGTTTGTTGTGTTGCAAATTATATTAATGAAACTATGATCTTTTTTTGTACAAATCTGATCTTGCTTCCAAACTTTTGGCCTGTAGTGTAGCTTTTTCGACTGAATTAACCACTTTACTTCTTCTATGGCCTATGAGTCTTATATCAACCTTTTCAGACATAAGCAAAAAAAAAGAAACAAATAAACAACATGCACCATTAACAGTATTGCACTATTAACAGCCTAATTGAATGCAATTGTAATGCAGTTTATATGCAATATTTTCATTTTGCAATTTCCTTCTGAAATTATTAAAATCCGAGGGCAAAGGTCCCTCAGTGTTGTATTAACCCTCCATAAGACCCATGTGTTATCAGAAGAGTCCACTTTCTGTTCTTTTTAATTCATGTTATTTTAGAGTAACAATGTAATGTTACAGTATCACCACAAGGTGGCAGAGCAGCTCCAGTACAGAGCTGAGCATCACAAAGCAAAAACGGACTTCTTTGGATGAATTACACCCACACGCTGATCCTGTAACTTTTAACTGATACTGGAAAAAGTTTGAGATTCTTTGTTTCCTGAACTGATCTGCTGTAGTTCTTCTGACTTAATGAAATCAGCATTTATTGGCATCAACTCAAAAGTTTAAGCCCAGGATGTAGGTGTTCTGGTACTGAAAAGGTCAAACTTGGTCATTTGCCTTTACAGTAGATTCAAATTTTCAACTTTTCGTTTAAAAGTGCTTTAATTGATCAGGAATGCACAAAAAGGATCATGTTTGATAGAAAGTGTTTAAAGTAAAAGAGGCATTGCAGTTTTAGTCAACATGATTCAAAGACAGAGAAAGAAGGCAAGACAGACCAGAGTAAGTCAATGCCAAGAGTGCAGCTGCTCAATACAATATAATTTAACCCAATTAATTAGAATGATGAAAAAAGGGGAAATCAATGTGTGGCAGTCAATGTTGTGTGACTGCAGCAAAGGAATAACTCAACAAACAGAAAACACAGGTGTTCATATCTGTGTGGCCCTTCAACCTCCATGCTGCAAATACATTCAATTCAGTGATCCTTAATTACGATGTAAAAGCATTTATGTAACAACAGATAAAATGATAACTACACAAAAAAGTCAAAATAAGATAAAAAATCTCATTTAACAGACAGAGAAACCCAAGAATTAAGCTCAGAAACCTTTCATCATAGTGAGACTGTCTTACACTGAAAAATGTGATTGATTCGGTATGTACCTTATTCTGCTGGCGTTGTGGTCAGGTGCTCAGCCCTGCTAAGAGAGCAAATCAGCAGTTCCATAAGCTTGTGGGTAGATGGAAGCATCAAGTGTCGGTGCATTTTGTCACTCTTTCATATCAGGTCATCCCCCATATAGTATAATCATTTTGTGAATTTATAATAATGTTAAAATGGCGAATCATCTCCCTGCAGCACACTCTGCACAGTTCTGTGAAAAAATGTTTAAAAGCTCAGAGATAACAAAGAAATTTACAAAAGTGTTGGATCATATTAACATTGTTATGAACCATGCTTTTTATTATGCATATATTTTATTCACAGTAAAAAGACAGAAAAAGTGGTCAAGTTAGTTGTCAAGGTGTCCAAAGTCATTTAAAGAAAAAGCATTTTCACAATTTACAAAGAAATAAATATAAAGACAAAGAAAGAAAAACATCTTCAAAATGAAAGTAGAGAAATTCATATTTATTTCTTGTTCTTAGGGATTTTCAGTAATTAATACACTGGAAAACACACTTTTATTTCCAATAAATAGCATTAAAATGATTTTTTTCCAAAAATGTAGTACAGTAGTGTTTTTATAGCCTGGCTGGGTCCATGCTGTTGCGTGAATCACTTGACGTTCCTTCCCACCACGTCAAGTGATTCACGCAACGGGATGGTCCAGCCAGGCTAGTGTTTTTAGTGTCCTTTCCAATCCTCCTGTGGCCATGAAAGAAATTGCAAGTATGACTTAACCTAAACTATTCTTTTATTTTTTTCTGGATATTGATTAGAGATTTACAGCTTGTCTTAGATTCTATCCGATCAGCTGTAAAAGATTCTGTCGTCTTTGAGAATCATCTGACATAATTCAGTAACTCGCCCTCCAGTTTCCAGACTGATTTCAACACGAGCCTGTGCCAGGTCTTAATTTATTTCACCGTGGAGGAAAGCCAATGTTTTCCTGCAGAATTACCCTCTGCTGGGGGAACAGTAAATCAGCTATCTGCAGGTAATTTCTCTAATGAAGTAGATGGTGATTGCAGTTGGATTCCTGAGAGGTCTGCTGGAGCTGTGAAGCCACCAGGGAGAAGGAAGTCACTTTCATTAGGCTTCCCTTTATCCATGTGCAACGTTTCAAATCTGCATTCCATTTGTGTGTGAGAGTATGGGCTGATTTTGTGAAATGTACTCATGGCTTTGGCTGAATTGGACCATCATTAAGAAAAGGAGGTTTTGGAAAAAAGAAAATAATAAGGTCTATATTAAATTTCAGTTTTACAGAGCCAAATCAAAGCAACAGAAATCCAACAAAGTGCAACATAAATGAGTGCGAAAACCACCTGAGTGGGTCTGCTGGTTCAGTAGAGACAGATACTTTATGACAAGAGCTTTAAATGCTTTTAGTTTAATGGACTCTGATCTAAAGCCAAGAGAAGCATTTACCAAACTGACTGTACGCTGGGAAAACAGGAAAACAAAAAGAAGCAGCAACTGGAATTCAAAACATTTAAAGTGACAAAAACGCATAATAATCCCAAATCTAATGCAGCACAGACAGTTCCTTTGTACATGCTGAGGTGAGAGACCACCCAAACGCGAGTTTACAAAACAGAGTTATACCGATAAAACAGTACTGAGACTAATGTCAAAAATCATCAGTTATTTGGACTGATAAATCAATTACTCATGATTTGTCTTCTCATGAATTTACACAAGTAAAAACACTTTTAAAACTCGTAATTTTTTGGGGAAAAAAAAAAAAACTTTTTTGTTCACCAAAGCATGTCTGTCTGGCCAAAAGGATGCCAATAATTTTGACAGAAGTGCTCAAATGGACCGTGCATCAATTCCTCACTTCACTTTAAAAGCTTTGGCTTCATTCTGGTCGTAATACTTACTGAATTAAATGCCATGTTTCAGTTGTAGTAAAGTACTTTGATATTAAGTCATAAAGATTGAAGCTTTTGGGCTTTTTTACCCCTTACATTCTATCACGGGCTGCAGATCCAACAAATCATTCAGTCTTTATGTAAGCTTTTATAACATTCTTTACAATGTCAAGACTGGCACAGCTACTCATGATCATTCTTTCCCTTAACTTTTTAGGCACAGACATGAAACACATTCCTGCCTCCTCCTGGTCCTGCTCCTACTACTCTCCTCTCTCCACCTGTTCCTCCCCCTGCTCTTCTCCCTGCTCTCCTCTCTCCTCCTTCCTGCTGCTCTCCTCCCTCCTTCTGCTCCTTTTCCTGCTCCTTTATGAGCTTAATAAAATCCTCTCATCTTTGTTAAAAACACTTAAATTAAGTTCTCAGGTTGTTCCATTTTCATCTGTTGAACCTGTTTCTATCCCTGCAGACCTCAACTTTTCTTTTTGTTCTCTTCCCTCTTTCCTTGTCTTACAAATGGAAGCAAATTCCTGCTGCATTTCCACTTCCTGAGAAAAAATCCAGAGGAGTGGAAACAGCCATGGAGCGAGACTCTGAATGAGATTAGGAGCACTGAGTGTTCAGAGCGTAATCCGTTTATTTCAGAGGCACTCAGGGGAGCTCTCTGTTACTAATAAATCGCTCTGCTGGGCTGAACAAGTTCTCTAAAAGGAGAGAGAGATATGTTTGATTTGGATTTGAAGATGTACAAGACTGGAGCAATGAGAGACAGAGGGTTAAAACACTATGAATGGCTGTAAGCTGGAGACCATCTGACATTGTGTTGTTCTTCCATGTGGAGTTTCTGTTCTAGCAGACGGAGGACTGCGAACAGATGTGTTCTCATGAGAGAGATTCCCTGCAAAGAATTAGGCATTTTTCTAATATTCAGACATGTCTTGAAGGCTAGGGCTGCTAAATATATAAAATCAAAGTAAGATGAAAATTCTACTGAAGTTAACTTTTTTCTACAGAAAAAAAAGTTTGAATTCTGAGATAAAGTTGAAATTTTGACTCATCTTAGAATTCTGAAAAGAAAAGTTAGAGTAAAGTTGAAATTTAAACTCCCAGAGATCTGACTTTTTACTCACAATTCTGGGAGACTTAGAATTCCTTCTTAACTTTTCAGGTGTCTGACCTTTTTTTTTTCTTTCAGAATTCCTACTTTCTTAGAAAGCCAAATTTAAAGTCAGAATCTTGAGAACTACAACTGCAAAAATACACGTTAAAAACTCTGTAGTGTTTAAGAGTGTCCCGATACAACTTTTTCCCCTCCAACACAATACCAATATTGTAGCCTTCAGTATTGGCCGATACCAATATTGATCCGATATTGGCACAAACTTGTGCATCACTGTCGGCATCTCTCCTACTCTTTGCTACGTTGTTAGTACCTTAGTACACACTGTTGTTGTGATGAAGTGCACTTTGTATGCTAGATCCGAGCGCTGTTAGATAGAGGTGCTGGATTGGAGTCTGGAATGGACTGCTTGTTTTGGAGATTTTAGATCCAGGCCGATATAATCCGATATTTGGTTTTATGCTGATATCGGACCGATAGCCGATATCAACATCGGACTGGGACATCCAGAGTAGTGTTCAGATGACTATGATCTTAATGACTTTCCCTGAAAAAACTCCTATTTTGTGCGGATCGAACTAAAATGATGATGATATTGAAAGTCAGATCCCTATTGATGTGACAGATCCACAGACAGAGCACTAGACACATTTTTTATCCTAAAAGATCCTAAAAAAAAAGTCCCACAAGGACAAAGACACGCGCTGAGGCATGCCAAGCTACCGGGCGTTCCTATAAGTTGTCTCAGAGAGGATGTTTCCTCCTGGCTAACATTCAACATAATCACATTATGGGCAGGAAAAAGCCTCTCAGATTAATGGCTTTTTATGGTTTACAGTGAGAGCCTTCCAAAAAGCTTATATTCAGTATGTGCTCATTATTCATGCTCTGACAGCTCCGAGTCCACACACAAAGGCAGAATGAGACGATTCAGTTTTATAAGGAGAGGAGATCTCTGAGTTCAGATGGGCTCTGAGTGACGTCGGGGCTGTAAGTAAAAGATTTTCTCTGTTTGTGAGCAGAGAAGAGTATGGGACCACTGTGTGAGCAGGACTTTTCATTTAATTTTATCTTAATGCCTTGTTTTGAGAAGAACATGAGCACCAACATCTCCTCTCAGCTGACTGTCCTCCAGACTCATGAACCCACACACACTCAGGCAGTCAGAGTGTCCTCATGCTTGTAATGATATGAAGCTATTTGGCCATATGAAGGCTGAAAGCTGGTTTATAATAATTATAGGTGTTCTGTTTGTTCATGACCTTAACAGTACTTTATTATTTACCAGTCTGGAACCAATTCCCAAGACCCATCCCTGAACGTGCACATTTGGTTTGACTGAATACAATAATTATAGATATATCTTTCAACTCCACCTTGGACCAGATGTTTCAGTGATGTGTTAAATGAATCTGAAAGTGTTGATGGGAAGAAGACAACGTGCTGAACTCTGCTGCTATTTTCAACCCTCTTTGTGTCTATCTGCTGCAGAATTATAAGGACACCCTGCAATCTCAGGTCCTGGAGTCAGCGGGGAGCCAATTGGGCTCTGTCAAGTTTGGGGCTGAACTGTCGGAGCAGAGCCTCGGCAACTTCCAAGAGGAACAAATCGGCCAACTGTACGAACTCATGCTGGAGTCCACCAAACCCAACAGACAGTTTGACATCCAGGAGGACACGAAGTAAAGCAGAGATGCTGTTTGGACATAAAAAGGTGCTGTTTAGACCAGATCACTAATATATGACCTCAGAGGACAGCGGACGAAGAGTGGTGCTCATGAAAAGGCTTGAGAGGATGTTGAATGTACTAGAGTGCTGTATATCTTCTCCTTTAATGTGAAAAAAAGAGTTCATCATGCTGTTTTGCTGGTGCGTTAATGCAGCACTAACAACTCTTCTTTGTCTACTTTATTTGCATTGAGCTGATTCTTAGCTCCAGGAAGTTCACAGAGACTCATCTTCTCAGCAGAGTTCACACCAGTGATGCCTCTGTCAGCCTCAGTCATTGGGGGGAAACTCTTGTCATTCATGTGGAAATATGAGCATTTCAGGATGGACAACTCTAAAGCTATCAGTCATGTTTGGAGGGGGAAAAAAAAACCTAATCAGGCATGTACAGACGGTCTCAGATGGTCTTTGTCTTTCCTCAGTTCCTGTTATTATGCAGCTTTGAACCTCAGTCCCTTGCTGCTTTCTCAAGGCTTTGTTTTTGTTGTCTTCTGAAATGCATGGTCTGTTTTTCTCTATAAAGCCTGACAGCCATAGGAGTGAGTAATAAAGTCTGGTTTGATGCTGCCCACCTGTTTAAGTGCTGTTTTGTTTTGATGTGCAGGTACTTCAGAGGACAAAGAAATGAGGAGAGAGCCAACTGAAAGGCTTTGCAAGTTACTTCATTATTTATGTGATCGCCGTCCAGGATACACTTCCAAAATAAAAGCATTGAATGAAAGAGAGGGCAGTCACTTAACAAGAAAAAAAAATGCTGATGACAACATGGATCGGGAAATCAAGTACATCAATTGATCCTTACTCCAGCTGACAGCTCAGCTGATTACCTCCCACTAGGGCTGCAAGATTTTGGCTAAAAATAAAATCCAGATTTTTTTCTCTGAAAACTCATTTTATGATTTCGATTTTTGATTCAGTGACAACTTCACCAAACTTCACTTTAATAATAAGTTTTTCTATCATCTTTAAAATCAAAACCACTGAAAACGAGTGTAAAATAGAATAGAATAGAATATTCCTTTATTGATCCCCCATGGGGGAAATTTTTTTGTCACAGCAGCATCACAGACAAAGGTAGTGCAAATATATTGGTGTATATGCCAAGCCAGTAAATGGCGCTGTAACGCTTCACAGGAAATGCACAAAAGATAAGAGAGTACAGCGCATGCGTATAAAGGTTGCTTTGGCCAGACACACGCAGCCGCGTTAAAGAGTTACAAATTGCTTGGAGAGCTGCAGATAGGCATCCATACGGAGACGAAATGGTAGTCGTTTACAGATTTATGCACTCTCTGACCCATTTCAAAAAAGAACACTTTACAGTCATCCAAAATGCCATTTCCGTGCAGATGAAACGCCGATACGACAAAAAACTTTTGCGTTTACTCTTGAATTCATTATTGTGTGGACGGGTTGATTCTGCCTTCAGACAGACTTTGCAGCGGGGAGTGGTTAGCTTTTCATCCAAAACTGCAAAGTAGGGATGTAACAATATGAAACTTTCACATCATGACTATTGTGACCAAAATTATCACGGTTATCAATATTATTACAGTATTGTTGAAATATTTTTAAAATGTTTAAAAAGTACTTATACACGCCCTAAAATCATTCAACAAAGTTTTTATTTTGAAAAAACAATCAAAATAACGTGCAGAATGAACTTTTCCTTTACCTTAAATAACAGAGGGACAATAAGCTGAAAAAATTTAAGATGGGGCCTTAAGAGAGCCAGAGGTAATCAACACTAGTAAACAACACGAGTAATAACAAAGTACACAGTAATGTGCCAGTGGCATAAACATCAACATAACAAATAAATATATAAAATTTAAATAATATGACATTCCTTAATGAGTAAATTGTAAGAATCCTCAGTGCTTTTTTTAACATCGTCATAACCAAATAACCTGGGGAATAATCTTGCCAGCTGGATGTGTCGGAGGTAGGGCTGCACGATTATGATTTTAAATCGATGAATCGTGCAGCCCTACCTCCCACACATCCAGCTGGTGGCAAGATTATTCAGCCTGCCTTCTCTACAATCTACCTCCACCCAGCTCCCCATCTTTATACTGGGTTTGAATTCACCATCATGTATCCGTCTCTGGTTCCTGCACTGTTCTGTACCCAGAGGTCTTTGCTGTTGCTCTCCCTGCTCCACTCCAGATCATCCTATCATTGGTGTGTTCTTGAATCTCCTTGAATTTAGTGAGTTATAGCAGTGAGTCTAATTTCAGCTTGTTTTTAAGGTCATTTGCCCCTTAATCGACAGGCGATCTCTCCAAAGTGTGCAGCACCTCTTTCCCTGATGACAGCTGGGAAAGTCTTCATTCCCCATGTTAATGGATAGAAGTGACGCACAGCAGATAATAGAAGGATGGAAGATGGTGCATTTAAAGAACTAAAAGGTCCTTCATTACACCAGAGAAGAGTATGGCCCACATTTTGTCTTGCTACTTAAACCTGAAACCCCTTCACTTGCAGATTGTTCCTGTCACTATGAAAGATGTGTTGAATGGCAGTGAGTCAGGCAGAGTGAGTGACCCCGTTAAAGAAAAAACGCCTTCATAAGAAGCTGTAAAAGTAAAGCAGAGGTCTTCCTGATGAGGCTCAGGTTGTCTCAGTGTTAATGAGAGCCCAGTGTTATGCTATCTTAGCTTTTATTGGCTGAACCAAAGGAGGCTGGTATCCTGGCATGTTACCCAACAACATCAATGTCTAGTTATGTCAAACATGAGTGTCACTTTTACAACAGGTTTTACGTCAGTTAGTTATTACTTCTGTTTTGAATCAACTTGAGAAACTAGTTTTATAGAAAAATACATTAAGACGCTCCAACAATCCAAAACTCTCAAACAGACCAACTTGACGCCAGTATTCATAACAAACTGCATGTTATCTCATGGTATGTATATTTTCTCACTTTAGCTGGAGGCACCTGGTCCAATCTGGTAATTAAATCACTGATTAACAGCAGCTGTGAGAGATTTCAGTAATTGTTAAATGTAACCTCCATCACTTCCTCCTGACACACCGTAATAAGTAGCTGCCATACATCTCTGAGGGGACTACTTATAACAGGGGGAGGGGCAAAAAGGGACACTCAACCTCCCGAGAGCAACATGAGGGTCATAAATGTTGATTAAAACTATGCAGACAAAACCTAAAGAGGAGATGGACACAGATATGAATCGCTGAAGCAGGATGCCTGAAGAGGTGGAAATTCTGGACACATTCGTCACTTTTAGGGCTGCGGCTAATGAGAATTATAATGGCTGACTATCTAAAGAATTAATCAACTAATCAGCTAATGATTTCCACTCTTAACGGTCCTTTAGATTTAATTGCCAATGGCAAGGAAACCTAATGTGGTAAGTGTTTTAAATTTTTACGTCATGCTTCAAACTCCAAACATACCATTAAGTTCATGCAATACAAATGACATGATCAGTATGCTCCTCTGTGTGTTTCAGGGAAAGTTTTAAAGGGGAGGGTCTAAAAACTAATCCCAAACAGGAGCGGACCGCTGTAATAATAAGAAGACAATGACGGCCAACAAGGGTGAGCAATCCCGTAACAGCCAGGTTGATCTTCATGAGGAGAAATGTGCCGCAAATGAAAAGCCCAAAACATCTGCACAAACAATAACTGCTCTGCAAATGCAAAATTAATAATAATAATAGTAATCAAAAACGCATGAAGTGGGAAGCAGCAGTAAGTAAGTGAGACTTCTAAGCAGAATTGCTCCAGTGGTCTGTGGCACCAGCTCTGTGCAAGTTGTGTTTTAGGTTAGAGTGCAAAGTAGTGACTTGTGATTTAAGTTGTACCTTGATTTAGTTGAACAAAACAGATGTAAGGTTTATCTTAATTAAACCGTAACATCCAATCATACCAAACAGTAGTTGTAGTTATGCTGTTTACATTTCCAGTAGCCAATCAGAGAAAAGCTTTTCTTTTAACACAACGCTCAGATAAAGCAAGTAGAGGGTTAAAGACAGTACAGACTATTGAGGTGGGTTACCTTTGATCTGAACTTGAAAACCGGCAAGGATTGATGGTAGGTTTGGTATAGAATTGGTGTCACTTTCTATGGGTCTACTTCATCAGGAGGAGTACTTGACAGTTTTCAGAAACTCTCTGGTACATATGGTTTAGAAAAGTCTGATTTCTTCAGATATTTATCAACCAGGACTTATTTTAATGCTGAGATAAAGCTCAGGGAGAAAAGTGATACCAATCTTACTGTAGGCATGTACAAGAGTAAGGGAAATAGGAAACTTGTGTCAAAATTGTTTTCATAGATTCAATCCAATAAGGAACATTCAACAAATAAGATTTGATTGAAATGGGAAAAGGAATGTGGACTTGTCATCACAGAGGACGACTGGATGTAGATGTGCTCTGTGCAGTCTACCTCTACCAGTTCAGCCCTCTGGAGGGAATTTTGTTGGAGAAATTTGATGAGATATAACCATAGACTGTATATAAGATGGACAACGTGGTTCCGCCTTCCGCCTGTATACGGATTTGAAGCCAAAAAGCTCTCGGTTATTCCGGGTTTTTCTCCACTTCCTTGAAATCAGAGCTGTGCAGTAGCATTGTGCGCCTTCGGCCGCGCAGTCGCCGAGAGTCCCTGTGATGACGCTCGGCTCAAACAGCGTATCCCCCCCGGAAGAGCTACGCAATCCCTGAACGCCCATAGGCTGTATCAGGTGTCAATCATAGAAAACATGAACCCCCTAATAACTTTTAAAAACGGAGCTGTACAGAAAAAAAAGGACTTGGGCACAAACCAGTCTTACAATAACTACATGTTAACATCACAAGCAGGGGGGAGAAAAATTTATGTTCTGTGTAATAAATGTCTAAAGTTTGTCCACAGCTCCATAAGCTTTGCTGGCGGAGGCGGGATTTATGATCTGTACTGCAGCCCACCATCAGAGGGTGCTGTTCTCGGAGTGGCTTCACCCAGCGAGGAGGCAGACTCTGTCCATCTAATATACAGTCTATGGATATAACACCCAAGCTAAAAAGTATGCGGGGAGATGGGAGGGGGTTTATGCTGGAGGACCTGTAGAGAACAGCTGGCAGGCCATTTTCATATATTTTGGGGGTGTCCAGTTGTTCAATCATATTGGCAGGGGGTGACACGGACAATACAGAAGGTTTTTGGTGTTGGAATTGACTGCTCCTTTCCTGCAATCTAGGAAATATTGCAGCTTACCTATTAGTGCAAGCAGGAAAGCTGTAACATGAAGGTGGCTGCAGGCAGCTCCCCCAGCAGTGCTTGGCTAGATAGATATAGTTAATATTATGCAGAGTATGGAGAGAATGACCTTCTCACTAAATCACCAGGTGGATAAGTTCCCGCAGAATTGGGAAAAATGGATTGTGTAAGTGAACTCACAAGCTGATGTCGAAGTCATTATTGTATGATATCTGACATGAATTTCCATTAGTTCAGTAAAGGAATGAATGTATAGATGACCAACTTTTTGCTTCAACATCTTCAGTTGTACATTTGAGCATTTCTATAAAATGATGTTTATAAAAAAAGCAAGAAGCAAGTGGAGGGTTGGTCTCGTTGCCTTATTTGTGCAGGTCATATCGACAAGAATTTGCCCCCCCAGGAAAAATCACGATATGAATTTTTTTCTATATCGCCCACTCCTAGTGTCATGTACACTGAGATGCTTTCAAACAAGGTCTGATGAGGACAGGACCAAATTTAGTTTATTAGGGTGTTTATTAGGGTGTTGAACTGAAAGTGAGCACATATGTCTGTAAATCCCTCGCACTTACCAGTATTTATTTAAATGGACAACACCACAAAGTAGATGAGAGTTGTTTTTTTTTTCATGGGTTTATGTTTATTCAGCTTTCAGCATGATCACAGATGTTTAAAAAATACAGATGCCATTAAAAACACTGAATTATTTTGCTGATTACAAAAAATAAAACTTCAAATATAAAATGCAGAGTTCTATTAAAAAAAGGGGGAAAAAAACAGGTAAATATCATCAGACCAAGAGATCTCACCTGTGCTTCAGAAATGACAGGTATCACATAAACCATCAATTTGAGACTGAACACACAGCTGGAGAGGAGGACAGTCTGAAATGAGACCGAACACACACAGAGGACAATCCTCCAAACACTAAAGATGTCACCGGGCTGAGTGTCCATCTGACAGGCAGGGAGAAAAAGTGTCTCTTCGGGGATCACTACAGCACTTTTCAGGGGTCTGCTGGTCAATTACCGTCACCGCTCTTTCACCATAAAACAGAGCCGTGTCGAGGACAAAATCAATACTGCACAACAGCTTCATTTGCAGAGCAGTGTGAGCTGAATTCACTCAAAGAAATCATCCTCAGTGTTAACCTGCTAATCAATGAAATCGATGTGGTAATAAACACAGCTCTTTGACTGCAGTACAGACTAAACACTGGCAGTAATGAGAGGCTGAAGTGAGACGTGGGCTGTGCAGGTGCATAAGGAGGAAGCAATTTACTGAACAAAGAAACCCAGCTGTCTTCGGTCATAAGTGCTCCCCTCTCTGTTTTCTGTTTGAAAAGTCAAAAAAAAATAATAATTATCTAAAAAAGAGTGAAAATCCAAAGCCACAATCTTCAGTGCCAAAAATAAAGCAGTGGTAGTGCAAATACATGCAGTTCCTCAGCTGTTCACCTCAGGCAGTCTCCAGAAAACCCTGACAGAGCCAAAACCCCAGTGTCGGTCTGAACTGCAGAAATAGACACTTTAAAACCCTGATGTATGGAACAGTCGGAGTTTATTTATTTCATGTTTTGAATTTTGACATCGTCACAGACACTTAATCTGTTACAGCTCATCAGATTTATTAGAAAAAAGCGTAACTGGCGGGTGTGGCTGATATGATTAACAGGTGAGTGCATTTGCCTGCAATATTGCTATGTTTCCTTTTTTGCTAAAGGAACAAGTGCTGGATGGGGGCTGCAGTTAAACAATCATTACATCACAATGATGAAGATTTGATATTAAACTGTTCCGTAAATTTGGCTGACTGTTTCAAATAAATTACAAATATACAATCTTAGCTTTTCATCAAAGCTGTGGATTCCTAGCAAGCAACAGTCAGCTAAATTAAGTCTATAACAACATTTGTTTTGTAATAAAGAAAAAAATAGATAAATAACCTTATGACTTTGTGCTCTCCAAACAGCAGCTTCCAGATAAGAGAGATATTTTCTAAAAGGTATAGAAAAATCTTTAAAATAACGGTCAATATCAGCTAGTTTAAGATAATTAAACAAAAGAGGGGTCGCTGATATCAACACACAGCTCAAGTTATGTGCACTATAATCAACTCTGCAGTAAAAAGTTAAAAAGGAAAAGTTTCAACTCCACTTTAAATTACCTCATCTGTGTCGGATGAACTGTCGGTATGAGTTCGTCATACATTTATACACAAAGGTTTTTTGTAAATTGCTCTAATGCAGAACTATACGATCCAGCATGAGCCCGTCAGGTTATCTAAGAGGGGCCAGATGCTCGGCTCCAAGCTCTGATGAGTCAGTTATTATTGGCAAACAGTGTGTGTTATCAGTGTGAAATTAAGAGTGCTGGCAGAACAAACCCTGCAGAGCAGAGTCAACACTGTGACTGGACATGAGAAATTATGATATTATAGATGTAATCAAAGTAATGAGCTTCTGTCCACATGGAGTTAATTGAAAAAGATTTACTTAAAACACAGATCCAGGGTTGTATTAAAGCTGATAAACTATGCCGTTTACACTCAGTTTGACGCAAGGAAAGATGGGAAGAGGTTCACCACTCTGTGAGAGACTGTGTGAGCTAATAGTTCAACAGTTTCAGAATAATGTTCCTGAGTGTCAAATGTGAAAAGAGTGGATTTTATCATCTACAGAACATCATATCATTAAAAGATTCTGAGAATCTAGAGAAATCTCTGTACTAAAGGGACAAGGACCAAAACCAAGAATCTTTATGCTCTCAGGTAGTACTGCATTAATAACAGACAGGACTCTGGAGTGGAAATCACTTTATGGGCTCTAAATCACATTAAAAACTATTGTCTGTGAATACAGTTTTGAAACAGTGTCATATAAAGAGGGAACAGGATCCATCGGTGCCAGTGACTTCCCTGGACCTGAGCCCATTTAAGATGGACTGAGTGGAAATGAAAATCTGTCCCATGGTCTGACAAATCCAACCATGGCATTTCTTTTGGAAACCATGGATAATGTATCCTCCTGAGAGAAAAGAATGCAGTGGGGAGAACAGAAACACCAGCAACTCCTCTAGGCCTGAGCTCATTTAATGTGGACTGGATTGAAGTGGTCCAGTCGCCTGATGAACATCTGACATTCCTTTTGGAAATCATGGATACCATGTCCTCCACTCTAAAGTGGAGAGGGACTGTTTAGCTTCTTTGCATAAGCCAGCATCCCTGATGGTATGGGGATTATCAGAGTCCATGTCATCTGTGAAGGCTCCATCAATGCTGAACAATATCTACATGTTT